TGCTGGAATAAAAAGCATTGGTTTATTCTCTGACTCTTCACTGTGTCAAAAAGCACTGCATTTATTTTCTAACTATCCATTGAGTCAAAATGCATTGATTTATTCTCTAAATCTTCAATGTGTCAAAAAGCGATCGTTTATATCTGACTACTTGCTGTGTCAAAAAGCGTCGGTTTTTTTCACTGCACTTTGTCTTTAAGGAATCATATTATAAAACAAGTTTCGCATGTCCAATTCCGTTGCAAAGGCTGTCGACATAGTGGAAAAAAGACCGACTGGAGTTTTTTTGTCTCCTCGTGTGCCCTCAGTCGGTGGGCGTAACTCATGACTCGCCGACCAAGACCGTTCGTGTGTCCACACCATTGCGTTTCTGTTCTTTCTTCACAGATTCAAACAGCGTCACTATATTCTGGGGTGTGATTGGCAGTGGGATGAATAATTAATATATTCCTATCAGCAGGGTATCGTCTCGACTATTTCAAATTCTTTATTTTCATTATTTGTCTGTGATTAGAATGTCCAACTTATAACTGGTTCGCAAATTACAAACTATAATTCTACATAAACACATATTTTGAATGGGGGTCTCTTGGTGAGAAAACCTTTCTTCATTTAATTTTTGTCTGTCCCTGTTTCTTACTTTCCAAAAAATCGTTGACCAACACGAATTGACGCTGTCGAGTAATATAATTCCGAACGCTCTTTTTCATTTTCCCAAAAAATATTGAGGTATAATAATTCCGAGCATTGCGGTTTTATCAATTCAATTATACAGAAAATACTGTAATGACATTGCGGGGATGTAAATCTCATTTTTCTCTTGTCGTGTGATAAATTCACTTGTTAGAAAACATCATTAACATGCAGTTCAGGTATTCTATTAGCTTTAACTCGCGTCTTCTGCTTAGTGTTGAAATGAAGCGAGAATGATGGCGGAGTAGAAGATTGCAGATAATCGTGGGTAATGGCTTGTAAAATGGTTCTACAGTAAGACCTGATATAAGCCTGTAATAAATTGATTATTGTCTGTGGCGGATCTCGAGTATTGTAGTTCATATTGAGCAACTGTCATTTAACATACTTTAGTAATTTTACTTAAGAATATATCCTTCGGGAACATCTTATACCATTCTGTAACGCTTGTCAAATGGCTTTTAAAGATATTTTAGATAGAGTTTTTCATCATTGAACACATTAATAAACATAGATTTTGATACGGTACCAAATGAATGAGCTATAAGGCCCATGGGTACCAAAAACCCCAAGGAACTAACTGTCTCTACCATATAAGTATTTACATGTAAGCGATTCAACAAAGCAACAGTCAAATTTAAACTTAAACAACACCAATACTCATGCCCTTTAATATAGCAATCCCTTGAAGCAAATGTTTTTTACCATAGGCCTTTAAGTAAATACATAAATCGACGACAATGGTAGTCATAATTAAACATAAACAACATCAATGGCAGTCACATTTAAACATAAACAACATCAATTTAGCAAATCAATACAAAACGAACATCAATGACAGGCAGGTTTAAACATAAACAACATCAATGGCAATCCAATTTAAACATAAACAACATCAATGGCAGTTATATTTTAAAACATGACCACCATCAATGGAATTTAATACATTATTATTAACAAAATTAGGTATTCAGTAAACTCCAATTTGAATTAAAAAAAGTTACAATTCTATTCGTTGTATTACTTAGTTATAGAGATATACTGAGATATAGCGCGTTCTGACTACGTTTTGAGATGCGATGAATGCTTCCTTTTTAATCTTGTTGCAATTTGTAGTAGATGTAACTCCGCAACTCGTCTTTTAAATTTTTACGTACCTATATACCTGAACCCCAACATAAGTTTCGCCCAATATAAATTGGTGTATTGGTTAATAATATTGATAGTGACATGTTTTGTTGGGAGATTGCGTTATTAATGATGATAGAAAAGTGTGAGCAATTATTTGAAGAAAATTGTAACTATACATCGCTTGATTAGATGATAAAATTTAGTTTTTTAAAGTCTAAACTGACAGACTTTGGACGTCAATAAATTTAATGATTTTGTATGATTTATTAGTTCCAGTTTTTTATCATTTTTTTACGATATTCAGAGGCTTGTTGGAAATTGCATTGGATCTCCTAGGATAACCATTCAAATTAATGCATTTACATATTTCTTCATAAGCATTTAAATTTTTATTGAAATTTACATTTTGGGAAAAAAATCATGCATATTCTGTCAAATTTAGGGCAATGGTTCCTTTTTGATTTGTAATTTCTTGGACATGTTTCAACCGGGTTATTATTTATGTTCCATTACATCTGTCCCTATCCTGCGTTCCATTACCATCAAAAAACTACCCAAATAACAAAATTGAGAGAACATATTTCTTACTTGAGACAGACTGAAAACGTTTAGCTGTCTGTAACTTAGTTTTCATTGACCCAACGTAAAACTTGCTCCAATTCGTTCATCAATGTATTTAGACAAGGCCTCCTTACCCAGTTGGTGATCGCTTCAAGTTGAAGTCTCAGATTAAATATCAAATGATTTGAAGATGATGTGTAGATACTTGTAGAGATTTCGGAGATGTTAGTTGTCAGAAGAACTTTAAATATGTATTGATTGTCGTCCTTGTTCTTCTCTTCTACCCCTCTTCATAACTCATTAGTTGATGTAGTCCGCCATGATGACTATACAACCGACGTTTACACAGCACTTTTACTTCTTCCTAGGGGACGTGAAAAGCCAATCGCTATTGATTTTTCTACTCTCACTCTGAATTTGTTTTGATAATTCATCAATTTATTTCAATTGTTACAATAGCTACAATCTTGAGTCATGAGTGATTGACATTCAATAATGGCGGGAAAGAATCAGTGCAAACATCTCCCGCCTCCTACTTTATGGTTTCTGGCATTCGACACGTGATCTTGTCACGTGCTATGACGTTTGGTCACGTTAAGTCAACAGCCCATCTCGTTGTATTTTAGGCTTACCAAAAGCAATCCAATATGCCTAAAAGCAACACAAGAGTTAAAGAACCTAAGCGTAATATCAATAAACGATTTGTGACCAGCTTGATCATTGATGTAAAGAGGCATGTCATACTTCAAAACATTAATGGATGTATAACTCGATGTGTAATGGTTGCTAACCCCATTTATCTGCGTCTTGTAGTCTTTTGGTAAATACTTTATTCGTCTGAATGGGACTGAAATATACATGTATTCGTCTGTGCCGGGGCAGTTCTTGAGGCATCTATCTTCAGTGTCTCATTACTTCTGACAATCAAATAATGAACCACGGATTTCCACCATATTTATCACGAGGGATTGTAATACGAACGTTTGTTGAATGCAGTTGGTAGTCTTATTTCATTAAACAAATTAGTCTAACGACCTCTTGTTTCATGTTTCGACCTGAGTTTGAAAGGCTCACTCCATCTTGGGATGAAATCTCAGTAATTAAAGGAATCTTTGATCTATTTACTCTATAGTTAGTGTAAGTTGTGATCAATGGTATGACTAAAAGAATTGACATTGACAATACAACAAGATGGTATTATCCAGGATAAATTACCATTTTCACTACTTAACAAAAATACCATTGTGAGCTTTTCATTTTCTTTTACAGAAATCACCTTTGCATTATTATCTCTTATGTAAATAAAATCACAAAGTTATCATATGATTACAGACATATCTTGGGCTGAAATTCTCTAATTCCTGTATAATAAAGTTCGTATGTTCTTATAACATGTTCTCATGTTCTTATAACATGTTCTCGTATTCCTATAACATGTTCCCAAATGCTTATTTTTTCAGGGGCAGTAGCTATTAAATTTACTAGAATATAAAAGTAATCGACTCTTGCTCCTTGTTAATTTTTGTATCTTGTACATTTCAGGTTTATCAGCCTTTGTAGAAGTGGAAAAGGTTTTGGATGTGACGCCAATAGATTTAAATATTGTAGCTGGTTCGACAGCCATCTTGCCTTGTACAGTTGCTCCAAAATATACCGAGGAATATGGTGAACATTATAAGGTAAGATAGGTTCCTCCTCTTGATGATATTTTTATAAAATAGATATCGATCAAGAGTTATTTGTAACTTAAGATGTGTCAATCCAATGTCCTCAAGCTGGACCAATAATCGGATGGCTATAAAGTGGTGATATCCATTCAAAGGTCCAGTTGTCCAACGTTTAAGAAATGAGTTATTCCCATTCGAAATGTTGACTAGCAGAACCCATCTTACCTGAAGGTACAATTTAACAAAATGTTCTGAAAATAGAAGCAACAGAATCTAGAACTTATTATTTAGCTAACATTACAGTTTGCACCCAGATGATATTGGTAATGGTTTCCCATTTTTCTTGTAAGGAAATCTTATGGCTTAACATTTATAGAAACCAATAAAAACTTCAGTAATTTATTGTTTTGACTTCTAGATAAAATTCTTCTCAGGTTACAAAAAGATTAATTTTCACTTTTTGACAATTATAAATGATATAAGTGGAATGAATCACTGCAAATCGAATTTATTTCTAACATATCTGGTTATTCCTTTAACTGTAGAGAATGGGTTTTTTCTTGGCGAAATGTGATTCCAATAACTATCACTCTACTACTATTCTCTATTTCATTCAAGTTACTTTCTCTTCTTAATTTCATTCACGTTACTTTCTCTTCTTTGTTTCATAAGCTTACTATCTTTTCTCTGTTTCATTAGATTACTTTCTTTTCTTTATTTTTTTCAACTTACTGACTTTCAATTCTTAATTTCATTAAAAATATTATCTCTTTATAACTTCATTCAACTTACTTTTTCACTTGTCTATAAAGTAAGTTCAACGCCGTGCAATTCGTTATTGATAAATAATGTCCACTTTGCACTCAAAGGCTTAGTTATTTCTTTGGTGACAATGAACAGATAACGGATTGTAGATACTGAATCTGATCCAATAATTCACTTATTCTATTCCAGGTTGTGTGGGTTAATCCATCGAATACAGTAATTAGTTTACAAGATAGAAGAATGATAAATGATATGAGAATCAGTGTAGAAAGACCATATTTAGCCGATTGGAATCTACATATAAGAAATGTCACTGTAGAAGATGGCGGTTATTACAAATGCCAGATTAATACCGAACCTGTTAAAACGAAACGAATTAAACTTATTGTTCAAGGTGGCTTATGATAGTCCATTCTATAAAAGTATTCAGCACGTACCTTTTGGACCTTTGTTCTTAATCAAACATATATCGGCATAAGTAGCTTTATCTTCAAAGTAGAGTGTAACATATTATTCATTTCATTTTCATATGTATTGTTTATTGAAGAATGTAGATACTCTCTGGACCCGAGGGAATGTCTTAACTCACGGAGCCAACCCGTCTCCAAATAAGACAACCAAGGAGTAGTTTTTATTCAATTTATAACTCATTTCGCAATTGCCATTGGTTGTCCTGAATTAGATTTATCAAAGCGATTTGCATGAACTTTGAACTAGAATTGTTGATTTTTCAGTGCCTCCCAGTATAGTAAGCTACTCGTTTCCTGGTGATATAAAAGTTACAGAAGGTGAATCTGTCGAGTTAAGATGCAATGCTACTGGTGTACCTCAACCTTCAGTTACCTGGTTCAGATTAAATCAGTATACTACCAGAGAACGGGAACGTAAGTTTAGCATACTCTAATGATATGCTTGATTCTTAAAGTATGGTAGTGCCCATAGAGCCACTTCTCATTCCGCTTTTTTAAGTTTGCAGAATTCATCAAAAATCTTACACATCAGTCAACACTATTTAGTATTATGTTAAAAAATATCGATGATGGGGGAATATATACATAATAAACCACACTTACGATATCATGATATCATATGAGGTTATCAAAATATTTTGTTAATGGTTCTTACCATATTACAATATTGCGTGGATATTTCTTACCACATCACGATATTGTATATTTCTTATCATATCACGATATGATATTGTTATAATGTTTCTTACCCTATCACGATATGATATCGTATCTATTGATATTCGACTTTGTGTATTATACTAGCAATGCTAGGAATACTTATTTATCACGTTATTGTTTCAATGTATATTGCCATATCACAATATTGTATTCGTGAATGTGTATAATATCTAATACAAGATATATTTGTATTATAGAGGTAGGGATGTCTGGTGAATTATTAAGGATACATAACATATCACGATATTGTGTCGATGTTTATGAATGTGTTGCTAATAATAGTGTACCACCAGCCAGAAGCCGACAGATGAGAGTCACTGTTCAATGTAAGTACATTTGCTTTTGCTAATCCCACAAAATATGTTTATTTGGGTTTCTGCTCTCGGTATTTGCAGTAAATTTTGAAACAAGGCTTAATCCTTCCGCCATCAGAGTCATCGGGGTTATTTTGTGAAATGAAAATTCTCATGTGTACTCAAATCTTGAAGGAGAACCGATCTGCAGAAAAGAAAATATTAGAATTAGTAATTACTACACGGGACTAAATCGACTGTCAAATTAACTGGTACAAATTGACTATAATGGCTATTATTATACTGATACTGTTTAACTAGAACGATTTGACTATCAAAATATAGCACTATCAATACTAACAGTATTTTAAAGGGATTTGTCCAATATGTTCAGTTAGTTACATTCACCCATGCTTCAAATTTCTACTGTGCACATACAGACACCGTTATGTTTATCTTTATTGTATTGTGCTTTTTCAAATTTAAATTATTTAATTGCAGCACGATGAATCCCAACGGAAGTAGCAATTGAGCGCGTTCCACTTGCGCACTTGAAGTTCAGAACTGGCTTCATTTAGGGGTTTTTCGTTTAAGCAGTTCTTATAGATTCTGATCTAATGTTTTATTTGAAATACATTATTCTCCCCCACGTTTTGCTAAAATATGTTTGTTTATTTCAATCATGGATCAAAACCAGCGAGTCGAGTATAAAGATAGATGCGGATAGTAATAATACAGAGGGGTATAAACCAAACACAATTCAAAAAGATTTCCTAGAAGAATAGGTCCCTTTAACACTCTCAATCAAACGTTATTACATTTCCAATCTCAATAACGAAGTTACATTATCTTCAGAACAATCACATTTAAACAGAGAAAAACTAAAACTGCAGCGTACAACTACAAGACTATCTGATTTCTAAGGCCGGCAAAATGACAATTCCTTGTTTTAACTTAACGTAATTATAAAAACAATTACACAAATTCACTAACTTTATCAAACAAAAGCGAAAAAGGCAAAGACTTGGTGATTTCACTGCGATAATTTCCCAAAATATTGATCTTTACTATCTTGTTGATATAGTTTTAAAGAGAAACTCTAGATAATACTATCTACAAAACATTCGTTCGGGATTGAGCTAAAAGAACAATTGGTGTATTAACATAGAATACAAAATCCCATTTAATTCAGCAATTGTATTAAGTACGGTTAATGTTCTGCCGACATGGATTTGAATATCTAAATTTTGCTCCCCAACAATGTGCAACCATGCACGCCTTGGGAAGGTTTTGAAAATTGCTTGTCATGTACGTCTATTAGGTTTTGATGACAATAATCTCCTAAATCTATCGAATGTAATATCCAAAGTCTAATCCAATGAGGAAGAATAATTCCAAAGACCAGATTTGGTGATACTTGCACATCTATGTGACTTTTAACTGGCTTTTGGTAGCTATATTTCAATAGATATCTTCAAAGCCAACATCTGACCTACCGATGGGTGTTATATAAATGAAACACATCCAGGATGGATTTGTAAAAAACACCGACTTTACTAAAAGATACTATCAAGACAATGTCAGATATGTTTTGAACATGCTTTTATATAATACACGTAGTTTAACAAGAATCTTTTATCAAATTTAATGAAATTAGCAGAAATGTACAAAATATTTGGTTTTGTCGAAAGGGAAAGAAAGAACGCGACCTGCATACTAATTTCACCAACAATTACGCTCGTAATGGAGCCATTAAATTGCATAGTGTTAGTGAAAGACCACTTAAAGTGAACGTTAGCGTGAGGAATGGTATTTAGCGCAGATTTATTTGAACAATTGAGTTGTTTTCCTATAGATTTAAATATTTTACCCTTTTTCTTATCAGTAAAAACAGTAGTGTGTAATAAGGTCAAATACTTTCCTGTTATAAGTTTAAACAAAATATCAACAAAATAACAGATTAAAAAACAAAACAAAAAATTAAGAAAATATAGGTCAATAACAATAGAGCATATACACTGTCAATCTCTCATACCGAGTTGAAAGGGTTTGCAAGGACCGGAAACTCTGTATTGGGGATTGAAAGGGACTCGAAGGCCGACAACTCTGTATTGGAGATTGAAAGATACTACAAGGGCCGGCAACTCTGTATTAGAGATTGAAAGGTACTACAAGGGCCGGCAACTCTGTATTGGAGATTGAAAGGGACTGTAAGGACCGGAAACTCTGTAATGGAGATTGAAAGGTACTACAAGGGCCGACAACTCTGCATGATAGATTGAAAGGGACTACAAGGACTGACAACAAAAGATTAATACACTGCTCATACGATTCTGACCTGGAAATCATTTATGATGACCTATGGTTTAATACACGAGTATTGTGGCCTTGGTATCTTCTTTAGATAAATGAAGACAATTTGGGTTTTTTTTAGTGCTATGTATTGTTGTTGTTTTCCAGATCCCCCAGAAGTAAAATTGCCTAACACAAGAATAGGACAAGAACTTGGTAAAGAAACAATATTAGAGTGTGTCGTCTCGGCATCACCATTGGGAGTAACAGTGTGGAAGAAAAATGGCAAAGAATTAAGTACAAGTTGGAAATACGAAGTTGATATTTACAATGAAGACCATAATACAATAACATTAAGTTTAAGAATAGCAAATATTGACCACGATGATTTCAGTGAATATGTTTGTGAGGCTTCTAATATTCTCGGTGTGGCATCAACTAAAATGCTACTTTATGGTAAGTATAGTTCAGTTTATCTCGTAAGTTGAGATGATAATCTTTTGTTAGTTTTTTTTAAATACTGTCATATATCTTTCAAAGCCCTGATAATGCGACAGCATTGGACATCGTCAGGATTCAACTTTCCGTCGTAGTGGTATACAAGACATCGGAATAACGATAATAAAATGTGTTTCTTTTGCTTTTCATTCTTTTAGTTCCCTTTTAATCTTGGTAAGCCGTTGACCGAAACCATGTTTGTCTTTGTGATCATAATTTACAAAAACAGCGTCATTTCATTCCAATCAAATGCTTTCGAAAAGTTATACATTGCATGAAGTTATACAACCAAGCTATACAAATCTACCCATACATACATAAACAAAGCCTGTCTAAAGATTAGAATTGGTAATCAGGAACAGTTCATTTCATCGCAATACCTGTCAATCATTTGACAGTTGAGTTAATAAGATTCATTTGTTATCCAGATTAGATTGGAGAAATATAACACGAGTTTCTAGCAGGTCATTTAATGCATAACAAATAGCAGAAAATACCACCAACAACCATCAATGTGTCTTCAAGAAAATAAACTTTTCGGGTGGATCTGATTACGTTGAGTTGAATGTTTGTCATTCTCTTGTTAAAAAGCGGAAAACATATTTTTCTTGCTGAATAAATTTGATTTTCATCAGAAAGATTATTGGTTCATAAGTAAAATGCTTTGTTTGAGGATGTGATTTCAGGTCCACGATAAGGTCTGTGAACGAGGTGCTTATGAAGGTAGCTTCAGACAGATATTAAGCTAAACAGACTTTGATGTTTAGCTCAGAAGCTTTTTTTCCAATTTTTATTCTTGAATAACTGGTTATTGATCTAAGAAAATGTTTGTTTTGTCTAGTGTATATATAGACATAGATAAATTACATTTTATATACTACTATCTTCACAATCATTATCTTGTCTCTTTCAACTTACAATTCATTTACTAGCATCAAATAACATTATCTATACCAGGTTCACACTGATTACTGTACACTACTGTCTTCATGATGTTGATCCATATCGTTAACTATCATGAAGTAATTGGTATTGAAATAAAATGTAATGTAATGGAATGTTATTATTTCCTTTTTCGCACAACGTTTTTAACGAGCAGTTACACAAAGGTTGTCCACATGTTTAACATTTTTTGGCAACTGTAGCGTTATAAAAAGCATCTCTATAAAATAATTTAAATATGCCAATATTCGATATCCGATCAAAACTTCTATCGCATTCACAAAGCTAATATCATTTAGTCACGGGCAATAATTGGGTTGAAATAATTGTGAAACCTGAACTTATTCAAGGTCCCCTCAATATGAAAAAGTTGCCAAGATCTAATTGTGTCACTATCGGGTACACAAGCCAATTTTACGAAATAGCTCAAAAACCGTTCAAACTATTGCGCAAGGTATAGCGAATTAAGTATGTATAAGCTTAGTAAGAAGTTCATCTAAGTATTTATACTTAATAATTTGTATGAAATATTTGTCAATATTTTACCTGATAGCAATGTTGATGGTATCATCCTCTCAGACAGACACAGCTAATGCGACCCATCTTCCCTAACATGACATGTCGACTATATTTTTGATTTTCACTTACAGAGGTACGGCCAAAAACAGAACCTCCTACCACAACTACGTCTACGACAACTGTCACAACCTATCCCAAAACTTGGAATGGTAACTCATATATTAAACATCAAAATGGGATTTATGATAATGGACATATCAGGAAAAGACCTTACAACCCTTACCACACAACACCGTCACCAGTTGCTTCGTCTTCTGATAAAAAGTCTAAAGGAAGCGCTTCAGGTACTGTACTCTAGATTTCAGTATTTGTATTTCCTATTGGTAGTCGAAGAATCAATACATTGATCCATTCCATTAGTATTACCAGTATACGCCTTTGTAGCTTATTGTCAGAAACAAGCTGGTACTTAAAATAACGCTAAATCGAAATATTTAAGCTCCAAATTAAGCTAATAAAGGTTAGTTCGTGGCCTACGATCATGCCTGAAAATACCTTACAATATGTCGTTTCTAGTATTTTTGACTTCGTATTTTCAGCAGGTGTGTTCGGGACCGGAAGTGTATCATATATTGATGCTGCTAATGATTGTAGTTTATCAACATCCATGATGTGTACATTGGTTGCTGTGGTGACTCTTATCGTAAATTTCTACTTATCGTGATGTATAAAGTGGACAAAACAATCGGATCGGTGTTTGTTTAATTGGATTAGTGTGTGAAACATTTGTAAACAAATCGGATCGGATACTTCAATTGATATTGAAATTTCGGTATTTTTTCTATTAAATTTGATTGAAGGACTTCCAGCTGTTATCGATATATCTGTGTTTTTAAACACTGCCGGATGTGTGATTTCGGAATAACTTCTGCACTCTTGATTTTATTGAGGATTTTCGTGAGAGCAAAAGTTCGTGGATCCTTGTGTGTGTTTATATTTTTAAGTGTGCTAATAAATGGTATTAATTTGTGTAACAACAGCATTATGCGTTTTAAAATCATCGCAATAAGTGTAAAACGCCATATGGACGTACCAAAGTCTATAAAGACTACAAAATGAGTCAAGCGGAGTTCCAGAATTATCTGCTGAATTTACATCAGCTCAGATGTAAAATTTGTTGAGAGAATCGTAAATATACAAACTTTGGACGTGATGTTAAAAAATTGTCTTGGCTCTCCAAAAATATGGCTCCTATGTTTACTGTTATTCCAGAAATACACGGTAACATCACTATATAGTACCATACTAGAAATAGAGAGCGCATTACGTGTCCCAGATTTAGACAAGCACTTCTTTTCCAAACCCTCTCACTTAAATGAATACTACCTCTTATTAGAATCGACATAAAATTTAGTCTCAAATTTGGTCAACAAGTAAATATTTGTGGAACTTGCCAGGTACCATGACTAAAGGAAAAACAGACGATGTATCCATTAAAGGAAGTAATTATTCAAAAATGCCTATATGTTTCAAAATTACTTAGTTAAATGAATTATTACTTAGTTTCACAGATTTAGTGGATTAAAGAGGGATTCTGTTGTATAGTTTTGACACCAGGTAATTCCATTGATGAATAAAGACTCATTTTAACAAAATTTTAAAATTTCAATTATTTGTTCATCCTAAGAGGTAGTATATCTTTAAATAGACAAGTTCATGATATGCTAATCTATTTGTTGTATATATGGAATTTATTTATTGAATTATTATGTACAAAATGGACTTGTTGAATTAGTCGATCCTGTTCTCTCAAACTAAGCTGCTGAATTCATAGTCCTGGTATTATTTTAGATGTATGTTGATTCAGGTGCATATTTAGGCAGTGCTTTTTAGAGGCCCTTCCCCTGTACCATATAAAATTTCAAAATTATTTTACTATCACTTCCAAAATCGCGTTGTGCAGAAGAGTAGGACGTAAAACTCCATTTCATTTCATTTTCAAAATCGCGTTAGATGTATACTACGGCTTCCCATATTAGAAACCGTTCCAGGGAGAGATCACCCAAACCATAACCACGTCTAGTGCTCTGTAAAATCAACAAAAGAATGTAAAGAGAGGAGTGTCACAAAGACAAAGCCACTTGTTGTTTGGAAGCTCTTTTACTGCTTTATTAATACTATGACTTTGAACATATGACCGTAGTGGTTTCTAGTCTGTTCATTTTCTGACCTCAATATTTCAGTCGACCCAGCTGTACGGAACGGGTACAAGATATCCTTGGAAAGACCCATTCATTTTGCATGCATCCTCGACTGTTATTTTTAAACATGAGTTGTTATTTCTTTAAAAAGATATTGTGTCGTTGGCCTACTGTTGATGACTTTAAAGCTACACTAGCCAAGAGTTGAATACTATTAAATAATATTATGTACGTGTAAATACTGATTATGTATAACGTGTATTTTTTTTGTATTTGTATGTGTTTGTATATACATGTTAACAAGGTCACCTTAATTATTAATAAAAGATATTGAGCTCAAACTAATTTGTAGTTCTCGTGAATTTTTTTTTTAAGTTGAAAAAAAAAGATGTCAACATCTGAAGAAATAGACTTATTTGGTTATGAATTTGTGTGCAGTTTTACATACCGTGAAGTTGGTTATTCGGCAAAATGATTATTAACGTAAGAACAGTAGCTCGAGGTAGAAAAGTTCCCGCCTCATTATTTTTACATGATGATCTATCCCAGAACACTCCCATGCCATAGCGTGTGTTACCACGATTCCTTACGGATTATTGAAATACAATGGGCTGCATAACGTTTAGATTTTGAGGTCACCCCCCCCCCCCCCCCCTCCTACCTTATACACAAGTAATGGGTAGATACTCGTGTGGGTCACAAGGATCTGACTCGTTTTTATCGTACGCACCAGAGCCACTAGGTCGGGTATTCTGTGACGAGAAGGTTCTTAAACAAAGTGATTTCTTTTATAGAATTTTTCAATTCTTGCCAATATATTTCCAATAATTTATGGGAAAACTAGAGTGAATCATTTAGAAACTCGGGACAGTCGGACTCCAAATCCCCATACACTAAAAGACAGTTCTATTGAATAAATTGAGCTTGAATTGGGAGTGTTATATGACTGGTTTATATTTGTGTCTAATGAAGCATTATCCTTTAATACGCCGATGGGTTGTAGGTTATTAAATCAAGTCGTGTTATACAAAACAATTATTGATATAACAGTTTATCATGTCCTGAGAATGTTGCTGAATAAATCACAACCTCCACCCGAGTTATGTCGTAAAGTCGAATATTCTGAACCTTGTTTCAGCTGAATAAACGTTTGCTCTGATTTTCATATCATAAATTATCATATCAATATTATCAACTAAACGGATCATTGAAGATCACTTCCCGAAGGCACAAGAAAATCTGGTTTATCACAATGGGTGGGATAAAAATTGGCGGAAATCAGATAAGGGATTGTAACAGGTAATTTAAACGCCGTTAGCTGGATGAGAAAATACTCTGGATGAATTAAAAGAGAACACCAATCAACTAAAGCAGTAATACGTTACTAAAATTTAATTCAGTTCACAATCATGTCCAAGCTATCAATAGCTCAACAAAAAAAGGTTATCCATAAGTGAGGTATATCCATTTAAGATTTCATATTTCAATATTGTTTTCTGGTAGCTTCGTGTTTGGCATTTAAGAGAAAACGCTCTCCTTCATTTAACCATAAATATCGAATATAACTCGTTTAATATTGTCACTTCAAAAGTTTTAAAGTGTTTTGAAACACTTACTTGACACAAACGTGGACAATACTTTTATAGCAAGAAATACCGATGTGTAAATTGAACTTTCTTATATAGTGTTATAGTCTCCAGTGTCAACACCTTTGACACGACGACAAATTTCCCATTTTGAAGGTTGGTGTGTTTGGACTTCACTCGGAAACTTCCATTATAACACAGATGTCATATTGATCAAGATTCACAACTGACAAAGCTTGAAATAAAAGCACTCTAGAGACGAAGGAATTGCTATTAGTGACACTCTATTACTATTTTATTGATAATAGCACAGGTTCTATTGAATTAGTGAAAGCACCACTGATAGCTTGCCTTTTGTCTGTTTTTACCATTAAAATCATTTAAGAGAAATAAGTAAGTCTGTGATCTCGTACATTCTGTAAAGTGATCGTCTTCCACCTAAAATGCCTTCCTTTAAAAAGTGTTAATGTACATCTCATTCAATATTCCTCACGGAGATAGAAAAGCGTGTTTTGATGTGACTAAACATATATACTGAAACCAAGGTTCGATTTAAGTGGTATCGTATCACAGTTTGCGCGTCAAAATCATCCGTCTAATATTTCCTATGATTAGTTAAAATTAAACTTGATAACGACGATCTGCTATTTAATCAAATCAAATTGCATATTTGTATTTGAGCTTTTTCTGCCAAATCTAGAAATATACAACAAATGTCGGCCGTCTTCATAAATTTAAGGAACTAACATCATTGCAAGATTGATCTGAAGTCTACAACTTGAACATTTCGAATTAGTATCAAATTCTTATGAAATGATACTCCAAATTTTACTTGATTAGCTAAAACTATCGAAATCTGAACCCTGACTGAAACCAATATATGTCTATACGAGTATGTTGCATTAAGAAGTGTGGAATTTCTATAGCAGATATTCGGCAAGTCTGTTCAAACGTTTTTGATTTCAGTTCGTTTATATCAGCAATAGCTCTGATCTATAAGTTATTGCCTGTTAGTCCTAATGAATTTCATCAAAACAATAGTTTTCGTCATCAAAACAGTACAAAAATATCTGAATTTTCAGAGGTTTCATTGAGATTCCATTTAAGTCTTTAAAATGACATTTAGTAATTGTGAGTACGATGTATAGACATATAGCTTTATGGAACCACAATCACTCCATTTCATATATTAGATGTATTTTATATTTTGTCTTCATGTGTTTAAAAAATCTAACTGAGGTTTAGATACCACTTGATGAATCGTGCTCAGTATAGAACAATAGAGATTTGAACCCTCGAACTTTAACCATTGTTTCCTGGCCTTATTTGGGGGATGTATTCTCGTCAGTAAGAAATTTGCCAGGGTGTGTTCGATTTCTCATCTAACATACGTTTTTGAAGAGTTATATATCATTATGAAAGCAACGCCAGTTCAAACAATCCCTCAGCATGCCCTGCTATATTTTTCCCTGCTCTATTTTTCCCAATCCTAGCATGGGTGTGAACTGAAATTAGGGATTAAAATAGTTAATTTTTCAAATAAAAAAAAAGATGTCATCGAGTAAGTTGTAAGGACCTTGAATGGAGGTTCAATGAGGAAAAATCAATTTGTCTTGAATAAACAACACTGAATGTGTGTTTTGCCTAACTGAAAACTAGCACAAAATTTAAAAGCAAAAACTTAATCCGAATTTTGATCAGATTTTCCTTGCTGTAATATTACTAGACGATTACTACCATTTTAATGATTGGCCTTCAGGGACGATCTTATCACCATCTAATACACCTAATCTGGCTAGTCTAACTTAACCACGTACAATCAACAAAGAAAACCTACTCTTCTGTCAAGTGCTCTATTTTGATTATCGTTACATTATCATGTCCGCTTCTGCTATCATCTCAGATGCTTTTCTTTAACGGCCTATTGTGTTGAGAATTTTTGAAAAAATAAATCGTTCTTACTGTCTTGGTACTTCTGGAAGGAATAGGTCTGATACAAGCACAACTTGATATTGATGGTATGCGCAAGCGTACAATCCAATCAAATCGCCGCATTTACAAACTTGGAAAGTTGGTTATTGTCAGTGAAGAAGAGGAAATTCGGAATAGCTTGACCTTGTGAAGATGTCCTAACTCAGGATAGTGATGTTTCTAGGAACCAACAGCTAACTTCTTAACTCTGCCTTCAAAGAGAACGTTCTATGAATAAAGCAACATGATATAAAATTTTGTGTTTACAGATTATCTGCTTCGGTCTTTTAACATTAAACCAATTTCTCATAATGCCTGTATACAGTTATAAACCAGTTTGACTCTTACCTCATCAAACCAGGGCCAAGAGATTTCATGGTGACGCCAAATGGACCCATTGACCCAATAGGTCGCACCTATCTGGATCTCCAGTTTTATGGTCTACTTTTCTGCATGCAACTTATGTGCTAATGAAGACGAGCAACGCCATGTAGTTTGCAATGAGGGAAATGTTGCCAAGACAGCGGCATCAGCCAACTCTTTTTCGATTTCCATCTGCAGAGTGATCTTTAACGTGCAAAGCCTGTGTCGAAGGTGAACAACATAATATTACATACATATCCTTAGGCAAGCTGTACTGATGATAATAAAAAAAAAATCGACTGTCACGCTTAATGAAGCCTTTGTACTTTGCCACGGCAGGATATTTTACAGTAACCACAAGTTTCCAAAATGAAGGTATGTGTCGTATTCATTTGATTAAAATTATCTATTCGCTTCAAGAGAGATTTTTCGGTCTTTATTGTTATACACATGGTGGCAGCTAAACTAAACTTGTTCAGCTTATCTGGACCAATAAACACGGGGTTTGATCTCGCCCGACAAATCTGTCCGTTCTTCCGATGGGATATTCGCATGGGATACTGGCACGTTTAGGGACATAAAATGAGACTTTTTATGAGAGTTGCTCCCATGATCGCTATTGTTTAAGAATATTATTAAAGCATGATTAAAGCAAATTTACGTATAAGTTTGTTACCTTTACACATCTGAACCATTACGTGATGTCTATGGTCATTGGTATTCCTATTCATCATCATTGGTATTATATATTTCAGTGTTCATGGAAAGTATTTGTTTTACTTTCCATAGTCTGTGTTCTGGTTATCATGTTTTATCAGAGACAGATCCTTCAAAATCAACAGTTCCTGAGTACTTTTAAAGGTTTTAAAAGGGTCATTCAATCATCCATCGCAAAGGAGGTGTGCCAGAAAAGTGTCTTGGAAGTCATGAAAAATGGATCCTGGTTACCTCATAAAATGACAGGTATTCAAAGACAAAAAATTGAAAAATTCCTCAAATATGCAAGAAATGGACAAGGAATTCCTAAAACATTACAAAGACCAGATAAAAAGTGTGGCAATTTACCCTATATGGGACAGAAAGGCAATTTTTTCAGAGCACTGTGCAATCCCAAAGGTTCCACCCCTTGTTGTGAAAATAATAAATGTGTTTGGAAAAGTTTAGAAGAATGTCAATGTTCTAATTGTTTAGATGAAAGACAATCTATTCATGCTGAATATTCACAATGGATACCAACAGATAAAACCTGTTCTATCCGATATTATAATAGTCAGGAGGTCTGCAAGTTATTAAATGGTAAAACAATTCTGATAGTAGGTGACTCTTACATGAGACACTTGTACACTGGACTCTTATCATTCTTAAGAAATAATAGCCAAACTGGAGCACTGGAAAGAAATCCAAAACAGAGTAAGTATCCACAACATTCGTTGACGTATTCGTTGATAGAGCCTTTTTTTGATGTCCTCGTGAATGTTATCATCTGAGAAAAGCAATAACGAAATTTTAGATAAAACGTTTTTCATTTAATCAGTTGATATTAAGGTTACTCCTATAAATTCCTGAATGTAATCTTGTACAGATGATTCATTATATAACATTTATGTTTTAGATATACTAAAAGAGTGCAGTGGTATGTATGTGTTTACAGAAAAAGTGTGTCGAGGTCACATTGATAGAAATCCCAAAAATATCTGCTCTGGTAAAGTAAATGTAATCTTTAAGGAACATTATGAACTCAGATTTGCAAAGCAATTTAAAGAAGACGTTGACAATATTACCAAGAGTGAATCAACACTAATTGTGTGTGGAATAGGACTTCACTCTCAAATGCAAAGTCGGAAAATTCTGAATGACTATTTAATGCCAGTTTTAAACATTTTGAAGACTCGACCAAAATCTAAGCTTTTATTTGCAACACCCCATGCTCCTGGACTTTTAAAGAGTCCAAAATTTCATCAATCCTTGGACATAATATTGAAATTTATTTCCGAAATGGAATTTCCATTAAAAAAGATGAATATTCCGGTTTTTGATACTGTTCCGATGACGAAAAATATTGTGAGTTTTGATGGAAATCATTATGGATTAGGGCTAAACAGACAAAAAGTTCTGTTTTTATTGAACTATATTCAGGAAATTAAAGAACAGGGAAAATGGTGAAAATATGTGGGTGAACGGTTATTCATTTATCTTTATTTATCGTATATTACATCTATTTATTTATTTTGAGTTACCAAAGAAATATATTCATGTTCCCGTGATCCTTTATTGTATTTTCATTTTTCGTAAGTTCTGTGATATTTTAAGCTTTCAATTAGAAGATGAAAATTAGTCATGAATATTTTGAAATGAGGGGTCGAGCAAGAAGCTTTAGATAAAGCCAGAGGTCGTGTTAATAGCGAGCCTTTCGGCACGGGGTTAAGGCCTGTGCCAAACAATAGCATTATTACAGAAATTAAAGAGGAAAAGTCAGATTCGTGTTTACGTGATGCTGTGGATATCTTCTGATCAATTCAGATATTTGTCTTGAACTGGTATCAGAGAAAGAACACGAAATCTCGATATTATTAAAATCTCCATAGACCTTCCTTCATCATTGAATAGCAATCCATTCTATCACTGATTTAAGACTGGGGTATTTGTAATAGAATATCTTTTAAATTGTTTCTTTCAAACGTTTATCGATTTAAGATATTCTCATTTTAATTTCATATCCCTGTTGAAATCACTTTTTAGATTTGGCTCTGAATGTAAACTTTTTTGGAAAATTAAGAAATTCGAGCTTCAGAATGCTACTTGATAAAATGAGATGTTGAGCATTTTATTGTGACAGCTTGCTTGTGCTTGCGTTTACGGATGTAACTTCAACGTTCAATTTTTTTTTTTTTTTTTTTTTTGCATTTGGCTGTATATTTTGGTCTGGTATGCCTAAAATCGTACATGATTACACGATACGACAAGCGTAAAGAAGCATGCCGTTCTCGATGTTTTTATCGAAATGTGCCAGTACTATTTGACAGAACGGCAACAATCACCAATACGTTGACCTACTATTAAGTTATTAATTTTTCTGTGTTGGCGCAAGTGTGTATCCCAAGTTCAAAATAAAATTTCAGTGTCAGTGGCGTACGCAGGATTTATTCAAAAGGGGTCGGACCGTAGGTGCGAATTCGAATGCAGAGTATAGCGGCATGAGAACGTTTCAGTTGAGCTGGTGGTGTTAATTTTCACCTAGGTGATAATTCAAGGAATAAATAATTGAAAACCTTGGACGTGTCCCCGTGATCTGTGCCCAGTATTAACCACACGTGCCACTATTCCGGCATGGATTTTGTTATCCAAAGTCAGGCGTAAGAATCGGTTAAAAATAAAGGGAAGTAAATGTGTTGCAAATTACTAGCCAAATGATAGCTGATACAGTTGTCAAGATACAACAGAAAATTCTACCATGTTCAATCACATTATGACAAATCTTATTTAGTCCGACTTAAACTGCCATCAACGTTTCAAAGACATTCTTAATTCGATTGAATAGTATGCGGATAGCCGTTAAAACACCCCACATAACACTTCCACTCTTTAAATCTCAACTCTAATTGAATTTTAAAACCAAAATCAGCCATTTCCACAACTAATTTAATTTATTGAGTAAATTCTTTTGAATGATATTGATTTTGAATGCTGTTACTATTTAACAATTAAAATATCTAGTTCACCTAGTTCAGGGGTTTGCAACCCGAGGGTAATTTTGAAATGTTTGGGGGTAATGAGGCACTTTGTAGTCTCGCATCAAATATTTTGGCCAAGTTCTGAAAATTCTGAAATTTTATGTTCATTCTAAGACGTAGTATTCCATTAAGGGTTAAGGTTAGATGGTAAATTAATCAACTATAATTATCTATAATTTTCTTACTCCGATAGTGTGTTCTTGATTAAGGCGGCGCCAATACCCAGCATAATAGAACAAATTCTGAGAACGGAGACAAAGGTCTTGAAGGAAATATTTATCCGTATTTGACGGGGAGTTTGGCAGGGGTTATTTTATAATTAAGGGGAAACAACTACTGGAATAGATAGTTGATACCGAATAAAGTCAATTCGTTGTCTTGCTAGATCTGCGAATAGTTTACAACTGTTTTCAATCCTGACGTCAAAATAGCTTTTAGGAGCTCCAATAGTTAAACGTTTCTGACTAGAATTGGACTTCTGATATCTGAAGCATTAAAGACATTTATCATTCAAAAAATGTTCCCTCATGAAAAAGCCATATTGAAATCTATTTAGATCAAGAGGTTTTGTGAAGGATCTAGCAATAGACTGTTTTGATATAGGTCTGGAAAATTTAACCTGTATCACCAACAATTGACTTGTCAATTAGATATGTATATAATGGTACATTACAAATTTGTAATACAGTAAAAAGATCAGAAATACACAAGTCAAAGTTTTGTTTTTTTTTTATTTGAGTCTAGACATCTTATCGTGGTCTATTAGGTCTGTTATTGGGACGTTCATCACGATCGTGCATACCAACTGGTCTGTTACCACCCTGTCCACCACCTTGACCACCAGCAACAGCTATTGGTTGTACAACTTGAAGATTAGGGATGTTGGCAAAGTCCTGAAAGTACAAAAATTAAAGCTCTCCTTGAATTTACATATATAATCATGTCCTATGTTTGTTAACATTGACAAAATGAACTAATAAATTAAAGAGCTTTTCTGATGAATTTTTTTCCAAGTTTATCAATGATGTACCTTATTTACAAGGGCTGTATTTTTTTTTACATAACATAGCAAAGTAATCCAATTTGAATAAAACTTCTTTCCGTAGCTTATAATGGCCTACTAATTTTGCCCTTTTGAGTTTAAAAAAACTGCTATTTTCGTTGACAATTTTAGCCCAGGAATCTGCTCTATCTTAAATTCCCTTTGTGGTTCCAAGAATTTACTGCTAAAACAGGTAAACTCTATTTTGAGAAAGTTTTTTGTAATGTTTACTTCAGTTCTGTACCCATGCATACACATTATCTAAATATACTTAAATGTCATGTCATGCAATCAAATAACATAACCAAAGAACTAAAGGGAGAGAACAAGTCCCAAAATATTTCCAAGTAAGCATTTTTAATATTTGCTTGTCATTAAACACAAAAACTAGGTATTGAAGTAATTTTCAATGTGCAAAAGATGCCATATAGATATTTTCACCTCCTCTACGGAACTTTAGTAATCTCCTTTGCTTTTGATGTCTTAGAAATTGTTATCATTAATACATCAGAATGTAATATTAGCTTTCTGGCTTACCATGGCTTTCAACATCTCTTTAGTATCTGGATCAATTTCTATTAAATCTTGATCAATAGCTGAAACATCAGGTACATAATTATCTCTTCTTTCTCTTTCTTCTTCTTGTAACTTAATAGAAATACCTCGTACTGGACCTTTAGCAATACGTTTCATTAAATCTGTGCAATACCTAAAAATATATCCGAGCACAATAAAACACACATTACATTTAAGCAACAAACTCAACTTCAAATGTCTGACATATACATAAATTAAATTCGATTGAAAACTCAATCCTTCTGAGTGCCAACTAGCTAATGTAATGCCTTTCATCCAAATCATAGGCAAACTGCAGATCAAGCCTGCTTAAAAGAAATGTTGAGGGAGGGAGGACAACAATATGTCCACATTGTAATGTGGGTATTAACCAATCAAATTAAGATCTTACCCAGCTATTCTGTTTCTAAGCTTCTTGCTGGGAATAATGGCTATTTCATCACATATTCTTTTGTTAACATGGAAGTCTGTAGTCAACTTCATGTAATATTTCTCAATAATGACGCGAGACGCCTTCTTGATGGTTTTAGTCCTAACACTAGGCTGAAATGAAGAAAAAATGCATTAGTAAATAGGCCTAGATGGCTGTCAAACAACAAAACTTTTAAATTGGTTATCTATGACTCCTTCCAAAACTAATTAACCAAAAGGCCAAAACATTCATTCAATAAAATCATGCTGAAGCATAGCAAATCAACGAGGAGAGTTAAAATATTGACAGTCTTCCATAACACAAGACCCTACCACAGGAACTTAAATCAAGCAATTACATTTATATATTTTAGAGGAGACGTGCGTCTTGTATCATAGGTTCTGCGTCCTAATTCATTAATCTCGAAGCAGGGTAATGTCTGTACATTATCTCATTTTTAGGCACGTATGAATGTAGCACTACGGAATCTTTTTTACATTGCAATGGTACCGATGCAAAATGGTCCTCTACAGGCAACACTTAGGAACAAGAAAGAAAATAAGGGAAATATTGACTGTTTGAATAATTCAACTAAAGCATCAATGTAATATTTTGACGATTTAAGTTCCTGTCATGGAGATGTTTGAGGATTTTCACAGGACAATTTTGTATTATAGACCCACCATGATAGACGATTAGCGGAAAAGACTGTCTCGGGGAAAATCTTCAAAGAGTTTTGATTGGTTAAAAAGATTCCACACATCCGGGTCGGTTCGTACATATAACATGATTTCTATTCAGAGACGTTTCGTAACCATGACGAATGCTATAATGTTCGAACTATTAGATAGAAATATTACCAAAGCACTTATTTTTAAATATACATATTATATAAATGTACAATAATTATTGTTCTATCCTCTTAACTAGAACTTCGGAAAAAATATTGACTGGAGACGACTTCTTTTTTAGGCTTGATTTAAATGTAGGTTAAATCACTGATGCGACTTTATAAAATTGTTTGATTTTTACTAAAGAAAATTATAAAATATAAAAATAGCCTTTTTGTTTTCGGATAAGCGTGTCACTCTTTGTATTTACCACACCAATGGGATGAAACGAAGTGATCTTTTGCTTATTTGACCTTGATCGCGTTGAGGGTTAAATAAAACTTTAAACTGAGTCTATTTATTATTATAATGTGTTGTATAGAAATGTGTGACCTACTTATATTATATATGAGGTCAGGTATAAATTCTAAAAGGACGCTTAAGGCGAGTTTAGTGTAAAGTGAATGCAAAAAATAAGGCTGCTGTGTAGAAACCCTATCTGATCTAATTAGCAAATTAACGAAATTTTAATGAGCTCCAATTAAACGTGGGATAAAAACGCCTTATTTATAGAGACTATTGTTATTGACCTATTGATTATTACCTGAGATAAATAATATAGGTATTAAATATAGGATTTTAGACCTAGATATATTTAGGTGTTATATGGCAATTACTGCTATCGAATCTAAATCATTGGTGCACAGACTACTCTAACATCTCTTGTAAATAAACAGTGTATTGTCAACTAACGGTATGGTGTAAACAAGCTAAAGCTAGCTATAGAGTTACAATTTATTCGGCGTATACAGTCAACAAGGTAGGTAGGTAGGTTAGGTTCGAGTTTATTTAAACAAAAACTATCGAATTTATTGCAATTTCCCCTCAAAACATAATCGGGGGCGTTTATTATTTGTCAATTCCATTCTGATAGAGATAATGTATGGACTTACAAACAATGCTTTGATCAGATGGAATTTGAATTGATTCGTATATGAAGAGACACTGTTAAGAGTTCACAGGACTACCCCAAAAAACTAAGAACCTGAACCTGAATTAAGCAAGAATGCATCTTCGTATATATCTTTTTATTTGTCTTTAATTAAAAGAAACTGTCAGCTGCAAAAACAATAATCTCTTGCATGATACTGAACTCAATATCTTTTGTTTCTAATCTGCCCACGAGGCCACGAATATCCTTATAATAATTAAGCAACGAGATCGTAAAAGGGTATGCCACATTTAGGGCTATTAAAAGTTAAAGGTGCATATAGTTGAATTTGAGTGAAATAAGTAAGCTTTCCAACAATTCAACAAAATTGTACAGCGTAAAATTATGAATTTTCCTATCATATTTTCGTTTTGAAATTATACAGTAAAGTTTGTTAATATTTTATCCTGAATATACCGAAGTAACAAAGTGTCTTTATTTCACCAGAACAACTGGCAATTTTCTTAAATGAAGCCAAAAAAAGAATTCATCCGCCTGTCCTTTGAGTATTTTGTCTAAAACAAATTTCAAGGCTAACTGCATGGATATTTTACAAATATCGTAAGCGGGCATAGACATGACCACTAAACACAATTTAGCACGAGAGTGGGGAATACTTTTAGGTCCCATCTGTGAATATTTGGCTAACTTCATCAAGGTTGAGTTAATTTCAGGATCATCTGATCCCATGGTATGAAACATTTTAGTCTGAAGCTCATCAAACCATTTCGATGGAGGAACTTCGAGTGCTTCCATAATATCTGTCTTTGCAACAGGTATTGGTATCAAACTAGAGGTATCTCTCATGCGGGCACAGTGTTTCTCAAAAAAAGTATTTGGTTTCATATTATCGAAACTGTACATTTTGAATTTGAAATACTGCATTTTTTGCCTGTCGAGCTGTTCCACATCTGAAATGCAGCATTTTTCCAGTCTGTTTTTCACCATTTCCCACTCTTCTCTAGATCTTTGTGGTACCAGAGCAACGTCTGTATTCTTTGGTTTTTTGTCTTGAAAACTTTCTCCAGACGTCTTTTCATTCAGAATGACCTGCCACATCGGGGGTTTTGATTTGTCATCTGTCTCCTTTGCCAACTTTCCCCATCGTATTGTTCTGGAAGCCATTTCAGGCGTAATATGGAGAGTCTTGGCTGCGTCATGCTGGTGGCCTGTCAGCTTTTCCCGGTTGTCGAGGTACAATAAATCCTCCCAAGTTTCCATCTTAAACTCCTCCACGACAGGTGTACGAGAGAATCGTCTTCCACCTTCACTGAATAAACCAAAATTTAGTTGGTTTGTATGGAGAATTTTCTTTGGAAATCCGGTTGGTGACCCCGCAGTACTTCTATCATGCAGCATATAATTGGACAATTCATTTGATAGGAGAGTCTCGTTCGATTTATACTTTGTGTTATATTTCTGAAATTTTAATGATTTGCTCTTTTGATTGGCACCATTGGGACGTTTTAAACTTCTCATGAGTGATGGTGGCAGAGGAAACTTGCTCTTAAGAAATCTTGATTTCATATTATGAAGAATATCTAGCACCTCAACAATGTCTTTAAGATAATCGACGTTATCTCTTTTCAGTCTCTCAGCTCGATCCTCAAAAGTATTGCATAGAAAACTAGATTCTGATCCATCATCTCTCATGGAACTAGATGCTGCAGACGAACCTCTACTGGATCTGGTTTTCCCCGACAGCTTTCTCTGGTTCCGGACACGATGGCTTCCTTCACTGGTCATTGTTGTAACGCTCAGGTTGTCTGGTGTACATACATCAGTCCCATCTCTTTTGCAAGCTTCTTGTAGTATCAGATCAGACGTGGACATCAAAATCATGCTTTCTGCTGGTTTGATCTCAAGATCGGCAAGACGGTCTTCAACAATTTTCACATGATCTTCGTATGGTAAACCACCTCGTACGGCGGATCGTCTTTCAGCCGTTACATTTAGAGAATCTAGAATTGCCCGAAGCCCACCACGCCCTCCTTCTAGTATGTGTTTATTGTCACTCACAATTTCATCAGCATCTGTCTTAATAATAGGAGTATATATCTCATGTTTCACTTCAACCTCTTTACGACTTTCCGCAACATTTTCCTTATCAATACAAGTCAAACTGTCGTACACCAAATCACACGTATCCAAGACAACCTCTCCACCCATACATCGGTACGGTTCATTGAATGCCGAATAAAATCCCTTTTCAGAATTTTCATGCCTTCGTATAAAATGTGTCTTCCAGTAATCTTCGGGTCTTTCTACCACTAGGTCGCAGTCTTTTCGTTTCCATATTCGATTAGGATGGTACGGTTGTACCTCTGGTAAAACAAAGTTTTGTTTGACTGTTCTGAAGATCTCGTTAGTAAGATGCGTTGATTTGTGTGGTGGGATGTATGTTGAAGCCATGTCCACAGCGTTTCCTTTGTGAGAACACTAACTTAACCCAAACTTCTTTACTGCTGTTGACGATAGTGAAAATACGTCACAATCGAGATGAATTTCAACGTCACAATCGTACAATGCGTTTACGTTCATAACAAACTGATATAGAAACTTACTCATGATATCAAATGGAATCAAAATAATATATACTCGTAGACCTTCCCAAGAATTAAAATCAATTTGAAAACAATTCTTACATTAGACTATTGTTAGGAAAACATGATTAATTCTAAAATAGCGTGTTTACAGATACTCTAAGGAGACAATAAAAATACCTATAAGATTATATGAATGATTCTTAAATTGTATTTATAATATAATATAATGTAGTTAAATATATATTTCATTAAATAAACGTTTGTCTGTACAATCAACGCCTTTCAAACCTATGTTACAAACTGTTGATTCATCTGCCGATAAGACATACCACGATCATTTTGAGCATATAATATTTCAATGTCTCAACTTTTATCATCAGTCTGAATAAATACAGATTCTGCTAAACTTAGCATATATAATTATATTCCTGTATATTAGCCTAAATGTTATTATAAAAATTTCGTAAAGTAACAGTTGGCAACATATGACCAATACAATCATGATTTATCTGTATATGAAATTAATTTTTATCATAATATCGTTATAGCTTTGGAATTTTCACAGAAAAGATTTCAGTCAAGACAACTTTGAATTCTTGATACAGGATCGTTCTCTATTTCAGAATGATTGAATGGATATTGAGCTTCATTGTGGCATTGGTTGCTGCAGCTGTCGCAACAGTGTATATCTTTTTTCCTTGGTTAAAATATGATATCAAACTCATCCTCGCAACAAAAAACATTATCACGGATATTGAAAGACGAGTAAAACAGAAAGAACTTATCATTGATACGTTTGAATCTACCGTTAAAAGTAATGGGGAAAAAGCATTCATTGTCTACAATGATGAGAAGTATACGTATAAATATGTAAACCAGCAAGCTGATAAGGTTGCAAATTTGTGCTTGAATTTTGGACTAAAGAAACGGGAAACGGTTGCTATTATGATACAGAATGAACCAGCCTTTCTGTGGACGTACTTAGGTAAGATCTTTTTTAAAAACCATCTTTTAAGTATATTTACCGTATAATTGCGAATATAATGCGCAAGCTTATATAAAGCACAATGTAGGCAATAAACAAGTTAGTTTTGATAGATGAACACGCTATGTTTTCAAAGACTTCCCGTCGTGACGTCACAATATATACAACAGGAAGTAGTGTATAATCCATTGTCATACTCCATAATCCATAGCCTACTTTTTATTCATTTCAGGTTTACAGAAATTAGGGATAAAAGTGGCATTGATCAATTATCATTTAAGAAAGAAAGCTTTGTCTAATTCCGTTATTTGCTGTCAATCTAAAGCTTTGATTGTTGGACAAGGTAATAAAAATTCTATTAGCTCTCATGATCTCTTCAATTTGAACGATTTCCGAATTCCCGTTTCTGGTATTATGTTTCTGACGCTTATATACTTCTAATCCGCGAGGTTTTCAAAACCAGCAACCTGGAAATGGAATATACTTCCTCATGTGAAAAGTTCATTAGCTGCTATATCTAATGTTTCTCAAATATGTTGTTTGGATTTCGAATTTCGTTTTGCGGTTCGGAGCGTTAGTTTACTTGGATTATTTATCGACATATTTTAGCCTATACTGACTGAGCTCTTTCTTGGTCCTCTTATTCCATTTTGATAGCTCCAATTGTTAGAGAGCAAATATCTAGGTACCTCTAGTCTTCAGACCTTCATGTAATAGCAAACAATAAATAGACAACGTCATGTTATTGCAAAACTCAAATTTCAAGAAACTTTGATGACATAGCTATGTATACATGTTTATTTGCTTATTGTATGTTGCAAAGTTAAAAGTGGACCTTTATTTTCCATTTAGGAGTTGATTTATTAGAAGCAGTTGAAGAAATAGCCGATGATATTAAAGACGTTACTATACTAGTTCAGAATGATACTAAGAAATGTGGAAATTTTAAATCATTCAATGAATTATTGAAGAATGTTGAAAGTGTTCCTGTAGATCCCAGCATCAGAGATGATTTACATGTTAAAGATGTCTCATCATTTGTTTTTACTTCAGGCACAACAGGTAGGTAAAGTATTAACATTACCTTTTAAATATAGCAGTGCAAATAGTTTGTTCACTCAATGGAATAATAATGAAGATTGGCAACAAAATGCAATTCAACGTTTCATTAATGACTTAAACATCGAAACGAAGTGGTTATACAAGATATACTTGCCGGCATCCGTCGTCGTTAAAACATGTTGAATAGACGATGGTGGCCAGCGCCTTGGACAGAAAACTTTGATCTCTTACATTTTTTCATCTGTTTACCCGATGTGGTAATGCCATAGATAAGACTGGGAACATTTGATTTTACAGGGTTTCCTAAACCAGCAACAGTTAGTATGTTAAGAACCATTGCTTCCATCGGTGCCTTTTCTATTTTTGGTATAAATGAAAATGATATCTTGTATGAAACATTACCACTTTATCATGCTTCTGCTTTGCATTTGGGAGTTCTCAATGTTATTAATAAAGGTAAGCTATATCCACAATTGCATTTTTATTCAAAGTTAACAGGATCGTCAATTTCATTGGTTTACAAGTGTGATCAAACAAACCAAATTATCATAAATACCCTTATCAATTTTTGATCAAAAATCTGACACCTAGTTCACCCACAATTTAATAATGAATCAAAACGATCGAGTTTTTTTTTAATTTGGAGAATGTGATATGATTTCCCCGCATTGAAACCCGCCATTTTCTTACATTAGGTGCTACCCTTGTTTTAAGATCCAAGTTCTCAGCCTCTGCTTTCTGGGATGAATGTAGAAAGTATGATGTTACCATTATACACTATATTGGTGAATTGTGTAGGTATCTGGTAGCCAAGCCAAAGGTATGTCTCAGATAATCAGCAACAAAGCCCCTTTTTTTATCCTAGATTTAATGATATGTTCGACCGGAGCTGATTCGATTCCTAAGTATCCTTTGGTGTCGAAAATGTTCTTGATATTGAAAATTGATTATTTAAAAACCCTATTAAATCATTTGAGATTTGCTGAAAAAAACATAAAAGAATACAATTTAAACAGGATATGACGTATATGATATTTTGTGATGCATTATGGATGTTATTTTGTAGACCAGTGGGTGAATTGCATCGTGTCCAAACCACATCCCCATTCGTCCTATAGTTTAATACGGGTTAATAAGATCATGTCAAAACCCGTATTCGTGATACGATGGATGAATTATAACGATAAAAGGGTGCTTCATTGTCCCATCAGCCCGTTTTTCCTCTTTTCTTTCAGTTTCATGTTAATGTATGATATCTACACCTCTTCGGATACAGGCTTTTCATGTTTTTCAGTTAGAAAGTGATGGTAAAAATCACAAGATAAGAGTAGCTGTTGGTAATGGTTTACGACAAGACATCTGGCAAGAATTTCAACAACGGTTTCAAATACCTCAAATATTAGAGTTTTATGCTGCTACTGAATCACCCATTGCCTTTCAAAATATTTTTAATAAAGTAGGCAGTTGTGGAAGGTGTTCTCCTTTATTGGTAAGATAATATATGTCTTCGAATAGAAGTGAATAGATTGAGGAGATCAATTTGTATATCTACTTCAGATCACATGATGGCATTGATAAAGATGTTGGCAATGTCAGATGGAAGTAATTGACATTTTCAGATGGGAGTTTTGAGGGGATTTTCCCTCTGCCAGAAACCGTTCTACAATACGAACAAATGTTCATGTCTGGTTATAGAAGTTTCTACTTTACAATCTGAAAGCACGTAACTCTAGAAATGTATCACAAAATGAAAATCTCAAGTCTTTGTCGCCTTCAAGTAACTCATAATGCCTATAATCTATGTAATTTCTAGATAATATTTGCCCGAGAGTGACCCATAATGTCCACCGGTTAACACAGTTCTTCCAATTCTAAGCGAACCAGAAGTTTGATTTTCATTTTAAATATTGAAGGTATTTTATCCATTGAACTAACATCCATATTATAATTATTTTATAGAGGAAATTGAATAAAGTAATATTTATCAAATTTGATCCATCAACGCAACAGCCATTACGCAATTCCAATGGACAATGTATTTTATTAGATAAAGGTTGGTATCAAGCTTTGTTCTTTTGAAAACTGTAGTGACGAACTAGTGACCAATCATTCTATCAAATATTGGAAGAATTGTAGACGTGCATATCTAAATCGTGGGTTTTTAAACACAGGAACATGTCCCAAAGTGGACATTCTTTTGGGAAATTGATGTGTCACAAGCTATGGCAAAAAAACAACCACCTACAATATACCGATGTATGACTACACTAAACACGGTCTTGGTTAACATTATCTCTGATTACTCGGAGAATTATTTGCAGCATGTTGTATACCCGATACCGTTTCAAGTATCCAGTCCTAGTTTCACTTTCGATAACTGGGAACATCGTTTTCATGCAAAATATGATTTTGGGACACTTACAAAAACAGTTTGGAACCCACTGATCTAAATGAAGTATTAGTTTTTACTATGTACAAAACGATCGTTTTTCTAGATGGAGAGGGTTTAATGTTGGCACCAGCTAAAGGTTCTATACCATTTGAAGGTTATTATAACAGGCCAGCAGATACCGAGAAGAAGATTATTAAAAATGTTATATCAGAAGGAGATATGTATTATAACTCTGGGGATATATTTTATATTGATAAGGAATATTTCTTATATTTTAAAGACAGAACTGGCGATGCTTACAGGTAAATCTTCGCCATTCTCCAAACCCAGAACAGAGCCACTGATATTCCTATGAAGCGAATCGACTTTTGAAAATAAAAATAATAATGAAAGATGTGAAATTATGTGGAAATATGAATCAAAGTTATGACTTTGGTATCACTCACATAATTACGTGTATGCGAAACAGAGTACAATGATATTGCATACGAATATACAATGTATTATCGTGTATTTGTAGCAGAGCACTTTGCTGTATTTTGTATTTGAAACAGGATTATGTATTCTGTATGCGAAACGGTGCACTATGGTGTATCTTGTATTTGAAATAATGTACTATGGTGTATCTTGTATTTGAAATAATGTACTATGGTGTATCTTATATATGTAGCAGTTCATTATGGTGTATCGTGGTATTTCAGATGGAAGGGAGAGAATGTATCATCTACTGAAGTATCAGGCATAGTCAATAATTTAGATTTTGTACACGATACAAATGTTTATGGTGTTACTGTACCAGGTAAATTGAACATGATCATTGGAGTTTTATGTATTAATACATGTATTATTTTCGATGAAATTTTTAGAAAGATTTAATGTAATCCGATATAAATAGTAATTTTTGGAAGGATCCTTCGACAGGTGGAAATCGAAAAAGAGCAGGCCAACCTCTTCAAGCTAACTTCTCATTTTTGAAACTTACCCAACCAGGATCTAAGTCTTTGATGTGGTAATCATGAGTTGGGTTCAATTAATACGTTGATCTAGAATTACAAATCGGTGTGAACCCAAACCCAAATTATATTTCGCATTAAACCATATCTTTCAGGATGTGAGGGTAAGGCTGGAATGGCGGCAGTTCATCTGAAAGAGGGTGCTTCCGTCCGCCCGGAACACATTCAACAGATAAATAAACACTGTAATGAACAACTTCCGACTTATGCACGACCGAGATTTTTACGTTTTCAGAGACAAATGAGTTTGACCAGTACATTCAAACAACAGAAAGTCGATTTGGTTGAAGAAGGTTTCAATCCGAATAGAATAGACGAAGAAGTATATTACTATGATACTAAACAAAATGAATTTAAACCGTTAGATAACAATGTTTATCAAGACATTAATACCGGAAAACTTCAACTTTAATCTAATCATTTCCATATTACTTTTTTTTATCTGGTGGAGTTTGTATAAGCATAACCCTCAAGGTTAGATGCACTTTAGGACTATAATGAAATTAACTTTTGACAGTACTTTGAACGCATAAAAGGAATTTGTATCAAGTACTGTCCCCCCACTTGTACAACAAGACCTATATATGTTGACCGCTGAGTCACAGAGTGTTATTAGGCTTCACGACTCTATATTTCTATATGTATCGACGGTCCTACTTAGAAAAATATTCCGCCCTCAACAGACATTCAAGAGAGGGGTTGTTGTATTAAAATAGACGATTTGATTTTTGTTAACGCTATGAAATTTGGTTGTACTTTCCCCCCAAAATACTTATGATGTGTTGGAAATTTTCCACATAGGCTTCGAAATAATAATAGGCAGCACTACGTCGTAAAATTACATAAGGTTTCTAAATCTATTTTATGTATAAAAGTGTTATATTTGTACTATTGTGTTATATTTTCGTGTGGGATTACACCCCCTCCCCCAAACTCCCATTAGCCTACTTAATCAAAGCGTTCTAGGACAGATGTACTGTCATTTTTTTCCATATAGTAGTAGTGTTTTCCTACGTATCATCAATTTAAAAGAATACAGGATATAATTATATTTGATAAAGCTCAATTACAGCTATCCGTATCAATCTAACAATACGGCATGTGAAAGTTACGTGACCATGCATTTGATACCTTCACACACAAGGAAATAGCCATGGAGCGTCCATTAAAACACGAAGTACGAGTTTCCTTGAAAAATTCTATGGTAGCCATGTTTGTTCTTTTGAAGGCAACGTGAACCACTATATGTCTAAGAATTTTTTGTCTTAGAGATCAACATCTGTCAATTTTCAATTTCTTGTATATATGCTGGCAGATGTCAATCGTTTGCCAAGTCAAATTGGAACTCACATTTTTGTGGAGGTCAATAAATTTGACCTTTGACGCTTGGGTGTTTCCGAAATCTACTAGTAAAACCAAATTGTCTTAAAATGGGTTAAAATATTATCTGCTTTGAATTACAAAGCTCTCCGTTATTACATTTAGTTACTAATGCATTCATAAATACGAGTATTGTGATTTGCAGACGACCCGAGCGGAAAGGACGTTTAGATAAACCAGGAAGTATATTTGACTTGAAGGGCTTCCTTTTTTAAGTAGCTCGAGAGTGTGTAGGTGATATAAAATTATAAAACGTTTGTATCGCATGTGTTAGTTTAACCTCGTGCTTTAAACTAGTATGGACATCTTCCGCAGTATCTGCAAAGTTAACATCGTATAAGGAAAATAAACTTAGTACGCGTTAAAATAAATATTTAACAGGTACGTTTTGATATTAATATAATGTAATTATTCACTATCAACTTCGTTCGTAAGTACACTATCTAATTCATATAAAGATCAAGTCAAATCTTGTCGATCAATAAGACTGCATTGTTCTTATTGTTAGATTTTAGAATAACCCTCATATTGATGTTCATAGCTTCGGAAATCTGTATCAAATAGCTTGAACAATTTCAAACAATGTACCACGCTCTAATTACTTCAAATTGGTGAGATATAATGTGCTTCATTTCAATGAATATGCACTGTACATCTAGCTATACTGTACATATAACTTGTATATCTCATCTTACGAACAGACGATATGATTTACTTAATATAGCACGTCGTTGAATAAAGTAAAGTTTGGAATGAATTAAAGGTTACATTGAAATGTAATTCAAAATATTTACAGATACAATAATTGGCATTTCATTGCCTGCTGGGCTTAAACATATACATATACATAACATACTATAGCTATATACAAATGCATATGATACACTAGTTTAGATGTACTGAAATAACATTTTAAAGTAGGTATCTATTACTCAAAATTTGTAGTTAAGTTGAAAACAATGAGACGAAAAGGGAAATTCCGTCTTTTTTCGGAATCATAGCGTTGAAAAAGGCCAAAATTTTCCATTATCAGTGGCTAAACGGAAATTAATGTTTGTATAATAATGTAGATTTTTTATTTTCTTCTATGATAGCTTCATAATATAAGAGAAAAGCCATGGGATGTCCGATGAAACACCAACACCACCACCACGCGCAAGTTGAAAAGCCTAGTGTGACCGAGATACCTGTACAGACAGACCTGAAAATTGTTTGGATAATTTCAATAGTAGTTGGTCTCCTGACATTAGTTCTGGCATTGTTACATTACAAATATCCATGGCTAAAATATGACTTGCTTCATTTGAAGCAGATGTTCCGCGCTATCAGAAGATATACACAGAAAGTACGTAGAAATGAGTTCATTATTGATACATTTGAGCTAACGGTTACCAAACACCCCGAAAAAATCTTCATTATCTACAATGACATCCATTATTCATACTACGAGGTGAACCAGAAGGCTAACCAAGTAGCACGTGCAGCTCTTCAGATTGGAGTCAAGAAAGGTGATACAGTTGGGATTATGTTGTATAATGAACCAGCATTCATCTGGTTATTTTTTGGTAAGTAAGGTATATGATATATCTGCCCCTCTTGCTGATACTTTTCCAGGAATAAATCGGTATAAACAAAACCTTTGGGTCCTATAATTGCAGACAGTTCTATATTTAAGTTACTTCTATTTTTTGTGTCGGTTGCATCCATTGGTGTAACCACTCAATTTATCAATTCCAGGTTTACAGAAGATTGGAGTCACAGTGGCATACATCAATGTATTTTTACGATCCAAGTCTTTAGCTCATTGTGTTGAAGTATCACAGTCCAATTTCCTGATAATTGGGGACGATGCTGATCTGGATTCAGCTATTGAAGATATCGGAGAGTCACTATCAGATACAGAGGTGTTCTCCATATCAGAGTATGAATCAGATCAAAGGAAAAGTTTTAAAAGGATTATGGATGAGCAATCGACTGATGACTTTCCTAAAGAATGTCGAGCTGATGTTACTAAAAATGACATTTGTCAATTGATATTTACTTCCGGGACAACAGGTAACAATCCAACCTTTTAGGATTATATATGTATTGTGACTTTAAAGTCATTAATAATGAAAAATTGTTGGTTTTGTTTCTTTTTTCTTTTTCCGCAAAAGCTATTTTGATAAGAATTTGTTAATGTGGAACTGGCAACCCGACATTGTAATAATGCCATTACTTTTCAGGTTTACCAAAGGCTGCTATCATATCCCAAGATAAAGCTTTAAAGGGAAGTGTCGTGTGCTCCACATTTAATCTCGGACCCAATGATGTATTCTATGAAACATTACCATTATACCATTCAGCGGCTGGGGAACTAGCTTTATTTAATGTTATTGATACTGGTAAGAATATATCTTATGTTCCTTATTTCTTGGCATTATTCTAGTACATCCAGTTGTATAGATGGATACAAAAAACGTTTAAAGATGATTAGCATAAGGATAGCATGAATCCAAACCTTTAGTTTAATTCTTGTGCAATATGGAAAATAAAAATCGAGAGTAAATGTTGTATAGTAGTGGACTCCTCCAAAGAGAAGTACCATCAGGTGTTTCGAAAAGCATGATCTGCTTCCCACTAGTATTGGTCAACATCATGGATGTTTACTTTTCCTTGCCAATGTGAGTTGACAGGTCATCTAAAGTAAGTGGAAAGCTAGATGTCTCTCGCATGAGCCTGTCTGGCGATAAGGAATCCTTTTTTGTAACACAAATAGTTAAAATAAAATTGAAAAAATGTATAAATGTATTAATGCTAAACTGTAGGTTCAACAATGGTGTTAAGACGAAAATTTTCAGCTCGGTGTTTTTTAGCAGATTGTAGAAAGTATAATGTGACTGTTATACATTATATAGGAGAATTGTGCAGATACCTTATGGCAGCACCTGTGGTAAATCATATATATATTACTTCTTAAACCAATAACCTTTTTAAGAATGAAACCATGAAGTAGAAAGAATTATATTCCTTGCTTCCAAAATCGTGTTTATATACAATTAAACACATCCGACACGTTTGAGAGCGCACATTTCCTGTTGACGATTTCAAAGAACTATTTTCTTTAGACTTACAGGAATAGAAGAGATCTATAGGTTCTGTAGGTTAAGTTAAGTACAATTATTTCAGACGCCCGAAGATCGGGATCATAGAATCCGGGTGGCATTTGGAAATGGTCTAAGATCTGATGTATGGAGAGACTTTCAGGAAAGATTTAATATACCTCATGTAGCAGAGTTCTATGGTGCAACAGAAGCTCCAGTAGGATTGATTAATATTTGTAATCAGCTTGGCAGTATAGGAAGAACATCACCTCTTTTAGTAAGTGAGTCTGTAAATATTCGCGGATATTCTTGTGACCTCTTGAAACAGTGCAGTTTGACATGGAAAAATTCTTAAGCAAGCTTTTTTACTGATTGATTACAACAGAAACTACCAGATTTTTAAAATTAGACCAAACTTTCGTTCCGTTTTTCATTATTAGCTGTTATTTTTCATATATAGTCACTTCATTTAGGGTCTTCAACTGCTCTCTTGAACCCCCAAATTAACCGTTTGATCTAGCCTGATAAACACCACTTTCATATGCTAGTTAAAAACGGCCCATTGAGGATGGCCAAATTAAATGAATTTCCACAAACGTCGGTTAATTTTATTTACAGAAAAAGATATTCAAAATTGAGTTTTTAAGATATGACCATGAAACAAGGGAGCCGGTTCGAAATAAAATAAACAATAGCTGCATTATAGCAAAACCAGGTAAGGGTAAAATTTGATAAACGGCTTATGAATTCGGTTAATAATATAATTTAAATGATATTGCTGATTAATACAAGATGACAAGAGCTGCCAGATGATCTCTCATCAAGAGGTTTCCTTCAATGCTTTTTCTTAAAATCCTTGATCTGACTTTTTCAGTCTAATTTCACCCAATAGCGCCAACAGTTGTCATGATTAAGCATTGTGAACATATATCCCAATAAACTCCACACATGTAGAACATGAGATACATTGCAATTACTTCAGATCATTTATGGCAGGTGGAGTCACTGGCAGAAAAAAATCAAAAAGAACCATCCTAATTTGGGTTTCAGTTAGTTTCTCAAAATATTCAGATTTTCAAAATCTTAATGTTTACCTTAAAGTCAGGCCACGATATCTTTTCACACTTAAGTTTGTTAACCGGTAGCTGATTTGTATGTTTCCGGGATATGAGATTCGTTTTGTTTTCTTGCTATTTCTTTCGACGACGATGAATAATTTAAATTTTGTGTATTGTTTGAAGGTGAAGTGGGTTTGTTGGTGGTAAAGATACACAAATCGGTGAAATTTGAAGGCTATAGAGGAAATAAATCAGATAACCAAAAGAAATTATTAAAGAATGTTTTTGATGAAGGAGATCTGTATTTTGATTCTGGTGATTTATTTCGTATTGATGACAACTACTTCCTGTATTTTAGAGACAGAATGGGCGATACATTTAGGTAAGCTTATATTAGTAGTTAACTTATAATAGCAATAATACCAACATTGCGTCTTTAAAACACTTCAAAATCTCCAGTCTTTGTGAAATCTCCCGACTGCAGAAGAGCGTATAAGTATACACGACTTAAAGGGATAGTCTGATTTTTGCATATTGTGTTAAGGCTTGGAATGCTTTTAACTGCTTGCCAACATATTTTCCTTAGATTCAACTTGAAATATGAAGAAAGATTTAGATATAGGATCACGCTTATTGGGCCAATTTGTTCACGTTGAATAAAATCAGACTATCCCTTTAATCCATTCTACTTTTGGTACTAAAGTTTTCCTTCTAGAGCTGTTATTTCAATGTATTTTCTACCGATTTTTATATTTTGTATTTTATATAGGTGGAAAGGTGAAAATGTTTCGACATCAGAAGTGACAGAAGTTTTAAATACGTTAGATTTTATTCAGGATTCGAATGTGTATGGTGTTGAAATACCAGGTATGTGTTGAAAATGAACTAGATTCAAATTATCACGGATAACATCCAATGAAAATTACGTTTACATAATGATACGTTACAATCATTAATTGTTATTGCCTCAAATAACAATTTGATTGATAAAATGACTTCCTGGTAATGTTTAGACTTTTGGCGTTTGACCCATAGTCATATTCTTAATGGAATATTGGTTGATGTTTTAGAGGCCAATGAAGCTGGAACAAGTTTCAGGAAGGACCAATACAAATGATGCAGTGATCATTACACCATTGATTTTTGTATTTAAGGCTGTGAAGGTAAAGCTGGTATGGCCGCACTTACATTAAAAGAGGGGCAAGTTTTAACACAGGATCAAATAAAAACTTTACATAGACAATGTAGTAATGAATTAGCTAGCTATGCACGGCCGAAGTTTATACGTGTTCAAAAACAAATGAGTTTAACCAGTACATTTAAACAACGAAAGGTAAGCGTTCCTGCTTGAAATTTTGTGATTTTTTAAACTATTGTCCCTAATTCCAGTGAATGAAGCCGTCTGTTAACAGCATATTAAGCAAAAGTAAAGAATAGAGATGTGAGTGGTTCATGGTTGAAAGAGTAATCCTTAACCAGAAGGGGGCTTGCATTCCGAGAGATAAAAGATAGTTTTTCAAACGGATTTGAATCAGTATGCTTAACAGAAGTATCTCTAACCTTCATTTATAATACATGTTTTGTGGGTTTTTTGTTTGCAGATAGAGCTAATTGATGAAGGATTTGATCCAAAGAAAACGGAAGAACCCCTTTATTATTATAATCCGATACATGAACAATATGATGGCCTGACTGATGAAGTATTTAGTGATATTGTATCCGGTGTATATCGATTATAGACAAGAACTTAATATGTACTTAGTGATGTTGTATAGAGCAAATATCGATGATAGAAATGTTTATCACGAGCTTATGTGATATTGTATATAGCAAAAATGGATTATAGAAATTTTTTATCAAGAACTTGTGTATTTAGTGATATTGTGTATAGCAAATATCGATTTTAGCAAATATCAATTTTTTACATGTTTATCAAGCAATTGTATGTAGCAAATATCGATGATGAAAATGTTTATCAAGAAGCTTTGTATTTCATGACGTAGTATAATAACAAATATCGATTACAGAAATATTTATCAAACATGTACAGATATTGCATCAAGAGAATGTCGATTATAGAAATGTTTATCAACAACTTATGTATTTAGTGGAATTGTACAATAGCGAATATGAAAATGTTTATCAAGAACTTGTGTATTTCTTCACAATATACATTGGATTGATTTTGTTTTTCCAGTCAGCATCATCCGTATCAATGTCCGACATATACTTAGCTCTCCATAAATTCTTTATATAAATAATCTTGTGCTCTCTCTTATTTTGATTCACATCACGAATGGACAGAGCTTTCTGTTCGTTTTCCACTTTCAAATCCTTTAATTTTAGACAGCTATCATTGTGAACAAATGGCAGAAAGGTTGATAAACTAAAATTGGCTAGACTAGAGGCCTGATATGGTTACTCCAAAAGAGTTGTATCCTGTAATAAAGACTATCCAGAAAACAGATCGGCATCGAAAACGACACCTCTATTATCAGCAAAACTAAAAGTATCTGGAAGACAAAGACTACATTAAGTACGAAACTTCCGACGTATATTTGGGGAGCAGCTCTAAGTTTGTCTTGCTTTGATGATAGGTCTTAAATTTTACCTTAAGCTCCCTTGTTTGCTGTCTAATTTTAACAAAAATGGTTTATAGCTGATATATAGAGCACTAATATTTTTATATCAGTCCCAAAAGCTAGAGTGAACTGTAGATCTGGTAGGAATTCTTCCCAATATTTGGCACTTTTTCATCATTTTTATAAAAAAGAGTTACCTCCCCGTACCCACTATTCTCGAGCCTAATATTATGACCTAGGCTATAGTATAAAGCTTAGATTCAAAATCTAGTTTGGCAATAGCTTATAAAAATTGAAATGAATGAAGTGTTATGTCCTACTTCTCAGAACATAATTTGGCTAATGAAGAGGACAACGCCATGCGGGGAATTCTACAAATACAACGGCATTAACCTGCTCTTTCAAATTGGGCCTCAATTTATTGTCCCGAATGTCTCTACTACAGTACTAGACACTTTTTCCAGATCACCTATTGCATCATTAACAGGGGCGAACCGGGTTGAAAAACCGAAGGTATTGAAGCCTGAAATTCAGGGTTGGAGTTCATAGACTGTTGAAAAACTCAAGTTTTGACGAGAAATTACATGGATCATAGTATGATAGGATTGCTCGAATGTCTGAAATGAAACTTGAAAGACAAATCTGGACACATTTCATATTTCTTTTTTCAGAAATGGAGCAGTTTTTGTCATTTGATGTAGCACCGTTCCTGGCCTGTATGAATATGATTAAAATCAACACACTGCCAATAATTTATAAAATGATATTAACGGTCTTGTGTGACTTTAAACCATCAGATTGTGACAGCAGAAATAGGGTGACAAGAAAATTTTAATTTTAACAATCTTTGATCAATCATCTTTCTTTTATGACAATTGTTACTGCAATGCGTCATTAAAATAAGCATTTATTTAGATAGATGGAATTCTGACTCTCTATCTCTTAAATCCTATAATACTCATTTTAATACAAACTGGGATTGAATGATTCAAATGGTAAATAATTACTTTTTCAGACATTGAGATACATTCAAATACTGCTCGAGGACCAGACGGATTTAGCAGATTGCTTGATATCGTTTTTACCAGACGACATTTTGACTGGTAGTTCTAGTGGAACACAAACTCAAACATCAGATATTATAAATTCAAGGTATTTAAAAAACAATATATCACAGTTTAAAAAAGCTTAGAAAAACAATAATGAAATTCAAGTTACATAGATTATTACGTATTGAATAATTACATTATCAAAAAATTAAAATTTAAAGCGCTTATGTTGCCTTCACTAACAAATGTTCAGTATATTTGCAATTCAAATTGAAACATAACTTACTTAGATATTTCAATACCATACACGCAAGCCCTAGTACCAACATGAGCTTTATTCTGATAAATTCTGATATTTTCAGTACCGGTACCTGCACGGATGATTGCAAATGGCCAAAGAAAGAAATAAAGGTGAGAAAGTCGCGAAAACGTAAAAAAGTCCTCGCCCAGGCAGGCCAGCTCCTGGCACAGGCAGCGTCTGCACATAAATCAAGAGCTTCAAAGTCTGTTACTGATCCGTCATCTAAATTAGGAAAGAAAACCTCGGGTAAACTGCGTTCAAATGGACGTATACATAACAACCCTCTTGAAGATAAGGCCTGCGTTTTAATCAAACCGTTACATTCATCAAATCTTGGCAGCACATCAGACGCGGTTTTATCTCAAATAGTAAGGAAACGTCTGCCAGTGTTTGAAGGTTCTCCACTGCATAGAATCGAAAATCCAGAGCTTGCTCAGAAACGGGCTATGCAACTGATCACCCCAAAACAGCCCTACTATTCAACATCAACTGCGATGTACGGTGCAACGACTACGCCTAGTTTTCGTTTCCAAGACGGACATGGATTGAATCTTGGACCGTGTGTGACATCTATGCCATTAACATACTTTCCATTTATATGTACTTCTGGTGAGAAACCCATAACTACTGCTGAGGATTATCTAGCCTCACATGTCAATGATCAGAAATTAAGTGGACCAGATATAATGTCACCTTTCCTGAAATCAGCTCCAACTTGCACGATAAGTCAAGTCACCAGAGAAGAGAAGTCACCGAGAAAGAGTCCGAGAAAGCACTTGTCATTGTCTTCAAAAATACAAGCTTTAAAGCAAACTTGCGCAGAAGTTAGTAGCGCACATGTGCAGCACAAGCAAGGAGCTGATACGAAGCCAGTTGGGGACAAAATCCGAATCCAACATACTAAGTCATCAACTGAAGTAAGAGGCTCACAGTCGCCCGTGTTTGGCTCATCATCCTTTAACCAGAATACGAAATCCTACAGAAATCTTTCCGGATTCCCATATACGCATCAATTGACCTTTCCTGACGGCCAAACTCAACATTTGAGAATCCAGGGTAGTGGAAGCAGTCTCGTCAGTCCAAGAAATGTAAAGATGAATAGTGCTACCAGATTAATAGGTCCAGATGATCTTGAAAGTTCGGTTGTTTCTCCATCACAGACAAAAAGAAAAAGTAGCACAGCTTCAAGTTCTAAGAAAGGCGACAAAAATAACGAAAAACGTGAATAAGATGCCATATCGAGAAGTGTTTCATGAGCGTACTGCATTATATGAGTTGTATTCCCTTCCCCGTTTATTCCTCTTGGTATTTTACGAGCCATTAGATCTAAGTTTCAGCTACCTATTCCACCTTACAGTATTAAAATCCGAAATTCTTACCAATGAAGTCACAATATCATCAACTGCCTTGGGAAGGATAATAATGCCCTGAAAGGGACTACAGTCTAGAATGGCGCGGTGCGTCTTTAATTAAGTGTAAGAGGAACCGGGCGTCGGATTTTAAAAGTGAAAAGTAATAAAAATAGCTGAAACAGATTTACCGGCTGGTTATGTATAATATGTACGACTCTCTCCCTTTGCGTGTGTATGCATCATCATACGTCCACCATAACACGTTACTGATCAGAATACGTGCTTACAAACACGTTCAATGTCTTCACTGAGTTTCCCTACTTTTGTCCAGTTAGATTATCACTGTTACGTTAATTTACCTTATGTTGTATATAGAAATTACTTTTTGGATTTCATTTTGATCTTTAGGCAGCCTTGAAAGTTTTGAAATATACCTGTAATTGTTTTCGTTATTCCTGTTTGTTGGTTTAATAAATATAATTTTCCAGAAAAACGTAGTGTTTCAAAAATAGAATATTTATATTATCTCCCTTTGACAACTAGCTTAACCTTTCTTTCTTGAGCAGGGCAGACATGCAGTGAATATACCTTTTGATATAAACAATTCCGGCACCCTTTATGTCCTATGGTATAGGGGTTAGGGACCACTACAGTGGAACTTAAAGCTAACATTAGATTACAGACATCAATCGAATGATAGTTATCTCCCCTCCACTATAAACACGACATGTCCAGTTACCATATTCTCTCGTTCGCCTAGAGTCACTTCTAAAACTGTTTTAAAAAAGACCAAAGGGACGAAATGGCGGAAGGCACATAGCTGAATTTCTTAGCTTTTTAAGGTATAACTGTCTTGGTACCGTAAGAATATACAAATAGGTAGGAATGTAGTTGCTGATATGAATTTGTAAAATGATCACAAATTTCAACCCGTTATAGTGATCACATGGAACAGACTCCCGTCTTCCATTTTAAAAAGCAGTTCACGCCGATGAAAAACACAAGACTATATTTTGTTCAATATATTATTATAATATATTACATCAAGCATATAAATGTAGCACTGATTATAATTCATTCTTCCATTTCTATTCCGGCCACTTTCACAGCCAAATTTTCCACACAAAAGTAATTTCAAGCGGTTTAAATTTGCTCATACAAAATAGGTTAATCTAAAGATATTATTACATTAATTTGACATGCTGGGGATAAAATGGAATATATTCATCAATGTAACTTAAAGGGATTGTAAAAATGTTATTTTAAAAAAAATTATGTGTATCGGAGACATCGATAGGATCAATTGGCACTATTCCAATTTTCAATCAGACGTCTTTGGTTCCTGTAATTCCACTTAAACTAAAGGTTTTATGACGTCACTAAATCAAAGAAAAAAACATCAACTCAACTTATTTATCAAAAATTCAAAATATGATTTACATTATTGTCTTTGCAATACAATGAGAGCCTTTAACAGAAACAAACTTTCAAAATGAAAAAAAGACAAAAAAAAAAATGTCATATTCCATCTGTTTCATGCGCCAAGTTACATATAATTCCAATATCACGCTTAGCTCAAGCAATATTAGTGTTTCTTGACCTAGGATATTATCTGCAGTGGCCTAAATCATTTTATGAAAAAAAATATCCATCGTTACATTTTGCCGATATCAGTCAAAAAAATTAGTTATGTTTGCCTATCGGTCTTACATGAAAACATGACTTCCATTCATAGCAAACGTGCAAAATATCAAAAGCAAATTTCAAGAACATAACACTTTGGAGCCAATGAAAATAGTATTTTTCAATAAAAAAAAAACGAATTACTAACAAGTTGTCTACTTTCATTTCACAAAAAAAATTGACAGGGTTAGGGAAAGCAAAATCAAATCAAATGTAAATGATCAGTCCACTTATTGTTATCAAATAATAATAATATCAATAATCTTATTTAAATGACTGTTATTATGTTGTAACACTCATTAAACTTGGATAATAAAGTAACCTATTACTTGAATTGTTTTAATCATATATCATTTTCTAGACTGATATCCATGGCAAACAAAATGTCAGTGATGAAAAGCTTCACTAGTTGAACGAGATTCTTCAGATTAGACCCAATACTGATTCTGGCTTAATACGGGAGTTGTTGTACCACAATGTTCCAACAGTTCTGGGTCCATCAATGTCCAATCGAAATTAAACAATTCTGCACTGTTATTAGAATTCGCACTCTCCGGAGAAGGATCCAAGTCCTCCGTATTTTTAGGTATTTCTATTAATGGAGTCACTTTACATGATGGCACAGTTTGACTGATTTCAACACGAGTTAGGTCAGGTGATCGAGGCTGTTTAATAGGACTATCTAATTCATGAGAAATATTAATCACAGGGATATTACTAGAACTATTAGGAGATATAACCAAAGCTTGATCTTCATCACTTTGAGGAGTCAACCATTGTTTTGGTTCTATATGTACATGAGGTTGCTCCAATTGCAAAGGACCACTGATATATGGACGTGGTTTGGGTTTTGCAGCTGCTTCAGCTGCCTCTTTCTCCTTAATTTTATATCGACGGAACATGATTACAATGATGATTATGACAATGATTATAATAATTAATACAGCTAACACTATTAAAACAATCATAACAGTTGGATCATCCTCATCAGCAATATCAGTAGATGATTTGGATTCATCACCTTCACTTATTGGTGGTGTGAGGTATCCAGGGGCAAGCGTGTTTGTTGGATTTAGCGGATTAAGTCCCCCTCCATTTGCAGAATCAACTCCAGCAGAAGAAAGTGTTGTAATTTCAGGAGGTTGGAGATCAATAATAAAGTTGCCAGAAGCTGGCTGAACGTTTTTTGCACGAAGAGTAAAAGAAAATTTGTCACTAGCGGCACTATCTACAGCACTATCATCTGCTTTATAATACACTTTAGTATATACAACATCCTCATGGGTAAAAAAATCTACAGGTTTATAAATAGGTGCCACAGAATATAAATCTTTTTTTGTGCGACTTAGTTTAACAATACGACCAAATTCTGGTTGCTTAGTAATATCAAACACAGGATTATCACCAGTTACGGCGGCTAAACGACTTGCATCCAAAGTATATTTAGTGATTGCCACATTTGAACCAGCTGGTGCATGCAATGGTCCTTGCTTTAGCAATGGCTTTACACGAATATCATAACGCTGTTTTGAAAGAAACACATTAACACCCTCCACATATACATCACATATAAAATAATCTTCACCCACGGATAAGTCAGACTGAATGTACAGCATCAGGCTTTCATCAATATCACTCTGACTGAAATATTTAGTTTGTGATTCTTGGTAATAAATACTACCATACTCTGGTTCTTTAGTAACATTATACCATACTTTACTACGCTCGCCATTGGTAGAGACATTTAAGGATTTCGGCGAAATATATACAGAAGATTCTGATTGAACCAAATAGATTGATTCCTTTGAGTTCACTTTCACAGTTATAGGCAGGATATAGATATTGAATTTTTTATAATAATGATTGTGAACACCATCAGAAACACGGAAAAAGAAGGAGTCTGCTTCCTGAGTTCCATCACTAATAAATGCTACTAAATCACTATCAACATCTTTTTGTGTGAAAGATGTAACAGATTTCCCAGTGTCTTTATCAAGAACCAGGCGTCCATATTTAGGAGCAGTTCTTATTTCGTAAACTAAACCACTTGGGCTGGTATCTGGATCTGATGTCATTAGATGATCAGAAGTGATATTGACAGATTGTCCTTGGATAACTTGCACTGATGGAGTCGTTGTCACGAGTTTGAAATTTTGATCATTTACAGGAGTTACCGTGATAGTGAAGTTTGTCTCATAGTCATAGCTATCAATTCCAGAGTCTGTAGTCGATAAATCTGGAGGGCGAATTTGAACAGCAATATCAAAAACATCTTCGAGAGTATCTGTATCGTCATGAAAGTATCTGATTGCTCCCTGGTTGATATCTTTTTGGGTAAATATGTCTGTTGTTGCAAGACGCCTTCTGGATTTCTCTAGGTACCCATATTTTGGTTGTCCAATCAACATAAAGTCCACTGAAACACGAGATCCAAACTGATACAATCTGCGTTCTAATAAAGATATATCTAAATGTTCTGGTCTAATAGTTATCTCACTTCCTTCTCGAACTGATGGTGGTGATCTACGTAAAAATTGGTCAATGTTTCCACTATTGATATTACCATACGATATCTGAATATCTATAAGCTCTTCTTTTAAAGGTTCAGCATACGTAGTGGAGATTTCAAAGAAGAAAGAATCACTTTCAGACCAATGGTGTATATTTCCAGAATGTTTGAAGAAAATCTTAGCATCATCAACATCATTTTGTGTAAATGATGTCACTTCCAAAGGAACGCCATTGTCAAGAACAACGATTTTACCACGTCTTGGTCTTGTTTCTAAAGTATATGTGATTGGTTTTGTAACATTTTTGGCATTGGTGGTTGTATAAAGTACATCTCTAGTAATCGGTTGTAATGTAGCAGGAAAGACTTGAAGTGGATTATTTTCTACTAATGTTAATACGAGTGGTTTAGCTTTTATATGAAAGATCTGTAGTTGGTCATTGTTTACACCATCAGTTGCTTGGATGTTAAATTCTCCCAAATTATCACCTGAAAAGACAAAAAATCTATGTTGTTGAATGCAAATAATAAATATTGTATGAATATTAAAACCTTAACCCTTAAGATGGTTAAGATATTGATCTTGTTAGTATTGGTAAGTCCCATAGAGTTCAGTGTTTTCTGATAAGAATGTATTCGACATAGGATTTTTCTAAACCACTAGTCACAAAGTTTCTTGTTTAAATTTGCAATTTGATAAATGATGCATGAAGAACATATCAAGTGCAATCAGCAGAAACAGGCAATATTTATTTCACATATGTTTTGTCATAGACATAATTCAAAACCAAACATGATCAAGCATGATCATCAGACAAGACTACTTCTACTACATCAGTATACCAGGGAAATATTGAAATGTAAGGAATAGTAATATATATGCAATTCCTTTAATAAATAAACGAATGAAATTTCAGTAATATCATCAGATGCTTACCTTCATGGACAAATACGATCAAACCCTTGTCAACTTCTGACTGTGTAAACTGACTTATCTCACGAAAGGTATTATCTAAGTAGGCAATATGGCCATTAGTAGGACTAGAAACACGGAATATAATATCATCATCAAAGGAATCTGGATCTTCAGCAAGGAGACTTTGGTTCGTTAGCAATGTTACTGATCCTTTCCAAACTTCTAACACAGAATTGACAATGATGCGAGGTGCTTGATCATTTACAGATTCTACTGTTACTGTCACAACATGGGGAAGACTTGCTTTTGATTTATCACTTAATGATGCCACAACTGTGAACTCATCCTTAAGCCGTTCACTACCATCATGTTCATAATAGATTTCATTTTTCCTCAAGTCATCAGTAGTGAACGTTGAGACAAGAACTCCTTTCTTTTTATTTGAGTCAATTAATCCAGACACAGGTTGTTGTTTAATCTCATAAACCACTTCTTTACCCTGATAAAACCTTCCCTTTAATTTGAAATGATTTGGCTGCAGTGCCTGACGACCACCTTCTTTCACTTTGACTTCCTCTGTTTCAAACACCAATATATTGGGTACAATTTCTATGAAGAATTCCAGATTTCGGAGAGTCTGGAACTGATTACTCACATCAAAAACCATTTTATCGGTTAGTACTCCGGTCCTAGTGTTAGTGTATTTAACATAATCATCAATAATGTCTTGTTGGGTGAATGTGGTTTGATCTGAATCAGAGAGAATACCCTTGACATAAATGGCACCATATTGCGGCTTGGTGGTCACTGTGTAGACAATATCCGTTGGTATGGAATCGGGATGATGAACATTGAGTTGATTTTGAGTAATAATGGCTCCACTGCCTTCTGATACCTCTAAGATCTTATTATGGGTGATTCTTGGTGGTTGAAGTTGACTTTCAAGATAGGTAACGATTGGGAAGATTCCTTGTACTTTAGCTTCATTGGCAACTATGGCATATTTAAATTTGTCTTCTTGATTTGCACTGCCATCATGCCAGAATTTTACATTGCTTGAAAGGAGATCATCATATGTGAATTCTGAAACCTTTTTACCCCGAATTCTCAAATGACCATAAAGAGGTTCTTCAATTAAAACTACATTAATATCACTTGGTTCCAGAAAAATATTGGTCTCCAGGCTCAAATTGTGAGAAGATATTGAACTGAAGCTGCCTTTTTTAACTGTTATACCTGTATTATTTTGTATTTTAACGAAGGGCGGTGAAGCTTGTATTTCAAATAAACTATTGGTAAAGAATTGACCATCTGTTACCCATAAAGCAGCTCTACCATATTCAGCACCACTGTGTTGAAAGAGTAACTTTTTATCTATTAGATCTTGTTGAGTGAACTGGTAAACTGGAGCACCAGACTCCCTGTCCACAATATCACCATTTGGTATTCCTCGACGAGTGTATTTCAAGTTGGAAGCATCATAGTCAATGTCTGGATCAGAAAAAGAAACATCTTTAATGGTCAATGGTCGATTCTTGTTGGTCACAACATGAAAAACTCTGTCAACTTCTCTCACTGGTTGATTATCATTCCTCATCATCATTTTGATATCAAAAACGCCTGAAATTTCCTGAATTTCTCCAGAGATCTCTTCCTCGTCTATATATAGAGGTATAGACATGAAAGAAAACGAGTCCTTGTCATGCTCTGAATCGTCATGTTTGTAATAAACTTTGCTCTCTGAAATATCTTTGGAAGTGAATTCTGAAATATTACTTTGAATAACAGCATTAGATCTAGGATCTTTCAGAATCAGCATACCAAACTGTGGTAAACTCAGAATACTGAATTTTGTTTCTTGAATTCCATCTATTTCCAGGTAAAGATCATCTCTTAGAATAGCCTTTGAACCGCCTTCAATGACACCTTGGAGTCCATTATTGGTAAATCTTATGGATGATTCCTCAGGTTCATATTTCCAATTAAGTCTCATTTCAAGAACTTGCTGATCTTGGAAGGAAGCACTTAGTTTCACAAAATTATTGACTGGTGTAAATGTTGGTTTGGTAAGCTTAAAATATATAAAGCCATTGTTAATGTCTTTCTGTGTAAAGGTGGAGATAGGTGGTACATCCCTAAACAAACTGTCCTTAGAAGTGGCATCATCTTCAGGTACTCGGTAAATTTGTCCTTGGGATTGTGTGCCAGCAACAGTATATATAATTTGATCACTTTCTACAGCTACAGAGTTGGAGATAACTTCAAGGTCTTTTGAAGTTACCTGTCCAATTCCTGTAGAGGCCAAAAGTATTTGTTTATTATTGTTAAGTTGAAGTTTCACTGACTGGAAAGTAATTCTAAATTTATTCTCAATTGTGGTTGATTCTTTAGCACTAACCAAAAATCTGAATTCATCAAAATATTCAGACTCTGGTTTTTTAGTGTTAATGTAACGTATTTTATGTTTATTGATATGTCTTTGAGAAAAGGTTTCTACGGTAACCCACTTATGGTTTTCATGTTGCTTTCGTTGAATGCTTCCATATTTGGGCTTTTGAATTATGCGGTATCTGAGATCTATAGTTTGTCCTTGTACATTAGCAGCAGCAGTTAAATTTCCTGGTAGAATGAAAGCACTTGTTCCTAGCGCCATTTTTAATCCACTATTTATAGGTATTGAAATATCAATGTCCACAGCATGAAGCATAACTTCTGCTTCTGCAGTTTCTAATGAGCCATCACTAACTTTTAAGCGGATTGGAACAGTGTTATCTTTTCGATGCATATACCAAATTATTCCAGAATTTATTTCAGCTTGGGTAAAATCTGTCACTTCTTTCTTTGAGACATTTGCCCGTATAAAATATCCATGATCATTATTGATGTATGTCAGCATGTAGCGCAATTTATTGGGAGTCGAATCAGGATCATCAACATTAAATATCTGATTAGAAAATAAGGTTTTTGTATGCTTCAGAATTTGAATTGTACTGCCAGCCACCAGCACTAACTTGGGTGGATCATTTACAGGTGAAATCCTAATGGGTAAAACAAACATGAATGATCCTTGATACTGCTTTGGAAAGTTAGCATCATAAGAAGTAATCTTCATTTCAATAGTTACATCATCTGAACGTGTATCAGTTCCATCATGGGCATAAGAAACCTTACCACCAACTAAATCTAATAATGTGAAAATGTCTTCATTTGTCCTCCTTCGCAAATTCACTTCAAGACTTCCAAACCTTGGATGAACTTTAACAGTAAATTGAACAGAGGATTCCCTAATTGAATAGGCCTGGTAGTCAAATATCACATCAATAACATTTGTGGTTAGTGTTGCTTCTCCACCTTCCTCTACACGCAGTTCATCAATTGCCAAAACATCTGCTGAATTTCTTTCTCCAGTCTCACCTTCAGTTGTACCCACATATTTTGTGCACACGTTTTGGTTACATAGGCATTTATATTCATTGTTGTCCAGTTCTTTGCACACTGATCCCTCAATACATGGTTCTGTTGCACATGGGAAGTCAAAAGAACATTTAGGTTGAACCACTCTGCTGACAACAACTTCACGAAATCCATAAGTACGACTATTTATCACAACATTACGTATACATCCTTTCATTGAACTATGCATACCACGATCATGTTTGAGGGATTCCAGTCCACGTCTTATAGCATTAGACTTATCCTTAACCCCTATTCCTCCCACATACAAATGTCCTGCTAAATTCAAATACTTATTGTCTTTTGAGTACAAACGTGTAATATTACGTTGTCCATCAACTCGAAGTTCTAACATACCAGGAGATATGATGACATCCACCTGATGCCAATGCCCATTATTAATTTTTTTATCAGAGAAAACGTCAATGACACCACTTCCCTTATTGGCACTCAGTTTTAGTTTACCACGGATCAGCTCAAGTCCAATATAATCTAGCCCACTTGATCTTCGACCAGTATTAAAAAATATCACAGAAGTATTTGATCTGGTTTTTAAATCACAGGAAAATGTCCCCTTTTCTCGTATGTGTAAAGGTGGGAAGGCAACAAAGGAAGAGTCAGACTTGAAAGTTATAGCTTGATCCGAACCAGCATCAAATTCATCATCACAGCTCCAAGAGATTTCAAATGTGTTGACTGGATTGTTCATTTGTTGTGCTGTAGACAAAATGTCATATTTATTGAAAAATGTTTTCTTCAGACAGCCACGGAAATATTTGAAAGTACCATCATAAGCATCTGTAAAAGTTCCAAGACCTCCCAAAAAGATTCCATGCTGTATGTTCAATTCTGAGAATTTTCCAGGAATAACTGTGGAGCTAGTGATCACTTCATCAATTGTTAGGACTAAGTTGCCATTTGTTCTGTTAATGCTGAGATGATGCCATTGTGAATCATCTAGCCGTAATCCAGGAGGAGAGTTAAGGATAGCTTCTCCTGATCCCAGATCAATCTGAACCTTGATGATTCCTGAACTAAGTTCAATGGAGAAGTAATCAGTTGATCCTGCTGCCAACAGTAATAAGCCATGAGGTCTTGGTGTTTTGAAGTCAAGATCAACCTGGTTGGATCTAGCTGATAGTTGAAATGGTACTCTGACATAACTCTGTCCATAGAATGAAGCTGAAAAGAGAAAGAGTAAACACATATAAATAAATAGATATCATAGAACATGAAATATAATTACTTTTAGTGAAGATAACAGTTCACAGGCCATAGTTTTCACTGAAAGCCAATCTTTAATATTTCAGAAACTTTCTGAAACCATTGTCTTTGTCATCACCCTCTGATGTTTTCTGAACATAAATCTTTTAATTGCCATTTATTTTTTTCATTTTTGTTTTATTTGTTTTTCTGTCAAATTGATTTTGTTGGCTAGTCGACTTCGGTTTCTCTTCCTCCCTTGTGACTTAGAATTATCACTGACAAATTTAATTAACCCCTTGTGAAAATAAAAAGGATCAGATACTCCTTATAAGAATATTTTAAGCTACCAAAACAGTAGCAGTTTCCAATTTCTTCAAATACTATATATGTGCCGTTGTTTATAAACAAAATATATAAAATCTAAATTGAGGATTGAATGTTTTCAATTTGCAACACTGTAAAAAAACCACACACTTTTCAAATTTATATTTCATGCACGTGTCAGCTTTAAAATTACAGATTACAAACACATGATGCCTCAAATAAAGTCAAGTATAATTCTACATATGAAAAGGGCCCCCCCAAAAAATGGAGCATGTTCATAAAATTTCAAAAAATTCATTTGTCTTATAAGAGGCATTTCAGAGTAATTTAGTAGATTGACAAAATAACAGCACTGAGCAACAGTATTAGTCAGTGTAGAAAAATATTTAACCTAAATCTAAAGTACTTTTCAAATCTACCATATTACAGGAGTATTTTAAGATACAATTTATTCCATTTATCATGAGTTTGAGAAATATCACAATCTTAATAATAACATTATCAATTGAGAAATATCATAACTTTGGATAATATGATATGGTATTCTTCATGATTGATAAGTTACAGGTGTATGAATATGTAACATGTGTAAAATGGTATATCTTGAGTGCTGTTTACAGTACCAATAACATGGTTCATTGTAAACATAAGGTACAAAAATTCAGCAGTAAAAATGTCAAAAGGAATCAGATGTGAAGTGTTCTCATCTTATATATCACATATATTCAAGTATATCATATAGCATGAACTGGGTGGAACTCTTAATTCAATATACATGTTTAATGAACAGACATGTTAGGGTGTAGGCCTTATATTATAAACAAATTATATTCAATTTCTCTCTATTACACAATATTATTAACTTCCAAATGCCATTTTAACAAGGAAATTGCTCCAGGCTACAAACTTTGGTCTATTGAAGTCTCCCAGAGTAAACCTCCTCCGCAATGTGGAGAGGGTCAATATTATCACTTTACCATTCTTTTTAGCTTAGTCATTATCAGTATGTCCTAATAAGGTAATTAAATAGGATGGTCAAAATGTTTTCTATTTTTTATCATCTGGAATTTTTTTCAGTAATATTTATATCCTATATTCCATGTCGTTATGTTTAACATTTTATGTAAATTATGCATTCTTTTTTTAATGAAAGATTTATTTTATGTTATTCATTGAGCAGAAATATGTGTAATTGCCATTACTAACTGTTCAATTGTCTGCATTAGATAATATGACATTTTAAATACCACAGACATGACTAAACCATGTTGCTTCATCTGCAGAATACAATGGCAGGGCTAGCTTCTTTTAACATGCAGTGCCAAACGACATAATTTGATACAAATGTGGAATAGCACCAAGCCTCTCATGCAGAATCTAGGGAAGTTCACTACCTTCCCTCTCTCACAAAATTAAAAAAAAAAATAGAATTGATTTGTTGCTTTCTGACAAATAATTTTGAGGAAAAATTGGTCAGGAAATTGTGGATATTAACTCCCTCCTCCCTTAACCCCCACTGGTGCTGCAACTTGCAACATGCCATCATTTCATATTCATTATTTCTCTACAGAATTCCTCTATGGAAATCATTAGACTATAGACTGTATAATCATCAGTTCATTCTGATATAAAATACAGACATTTTTAAAAGTGATAATGTATTCAGTTTTCTACAGTTGAGCAGAAATATTACAAATTTATTCATACAATTTTCCATGTTCACATTAAAATATTTTCAGAATAAATATTATCAATTCATGCTATCTGAGCAAGTAATTTAAATGCCAATAAAATCCAATAGATGCTGTCAATAAAACTAGATGAGAGTATGGCAGAAGACTAGTGGCAGTGTAGTGAAGTACTGTAGAAATGGTTACTATAAAAGATCTGATGTAACAGACGGCCAGTAGTACTATAGAAGACAGGCCTACTCATGACTCATCATTTACTGCACATGAGATAATCATCCAAAATATCAAAAACATTTCACACATGGCAGGCATACCCATCATATTTTATCTCCTCTCTGCATCATATTTCACAAGTTCAAGCATTTCTACATTTCAAACTCTTCAAATTACCAATTAGATTATAATGAATTTTGAAGTAATGTGATATAAACTATTTTATACTTATTTCAAGCTGTTTGATCAGAATGGTGGAAGGGAGACATGTATAAGATCATATGATGCAAACTTAAAATAGAATAAAACATCATGATTTAAATCTGAGTAGAGTAGAGTCTAGTCCACTTAGCAAAATTATCTTTCTTTTTGGGCTGGCTTGAATTATTCTTCTTGAGTTTTATTTAATAATTATAGGGATATTCTGGTACTCTTTTAGGACCATGCTACATTTTCAGAACAAAAAAGTGGAGAAAAATTTGAACTTCTAATGCACACAAACTAACCTCACTGACAAGGGGGAAATGAATTAAAATATTCATAATATCATTTTGACCTATGCCTGGATGGAACTCTGAGTCTCTAGTTTAGCCACACTGTAGGCTAAGCTGTAGATGAGAGACAACAAGTTTTATAAGCTGATCTATCTACTAACAAACAGAAACAAGTACTAAGAGGTTTCGGACAAATGCTTGCAAACCATACACCGATGGAATAGTCTGCTTGTAGGTAAAATAAAGTCTATATTCTAACATTTGACATTTTTGTGTGTTGAGTCAAATGTTATGATAGACTAATCAAGTTAAAGCTTTGAAAACAACATCTGCTACTCTAGACAACTATTCTATAAGGCAGTTATTTTATTACATCAATAGAGAATATAACTGAATAGATCTATTGTAGCCTGCATAAAATTGATCACTATGATAAAACAAGGAGTGTGCATGCATACCAGGTCATAGTTGATGTTTTAAAGTAATATAAACATTTTGGTTTTGCTTGATCAAGAAACCAAAGAAAATCTTATAAAAAATCTGCATGAATTTAAAGGGGCAGATATTCTAAGAAGGTCGGAAAATTTCAGTGCCCAAATTAACAAAAACAATAAATCAAAATCAACAGATACGTGTCGCTTACCTTGTCTGAAAGTTTTGAACTAAAAAAAACCTGGCGATAATTTTATAGTCCCTATGTTTTTTTGGTTGTTGTTGCTGTTGGAAAACTAATGAAAAGAAAATTAAACGCCAAATTGTAGAAAAATAAGTTTCTGACTGAGGTTTCAACTAAAATCATACATGTTTTATATTCTTTTAATAACCTTTTAAAACAAAATCAGGTTGATCATGTAGATACAAAGTAGAAAATAGCATATTTTAGAAATGATTTTTGCATACTGCTCCTTTGAGGTAGTTTATTGCCTCTCTTTAATAGAGATGAACGACACCATGCAGAGTGAAGTGAGGGAAACTTGCCAACACGCCAACTCTTTCTAGACATCCGACAACCGGTGGAATAAGTTGAGCATGAAAATCCCTTGACAGTTGTGTAAAGTGTAGACAAATACCACTCTTTTGGCACAATTTCTTTCATTTTTTACTGCATTTCTTTTGTTGGCAACATTTTTGGAAGAAAGCTGCTTCATCATTCAGAAAAAAATCATAAAAATATCAGAATGACACCCTTATAAAAATTGTAGTCTCTATTGTGTTCACAAAGCAATTGTCGACAGACCGACTGACCAACTGGGCAACAGAAAAATACGACCCCATTATAATGTGGGCTTATAAAAGCCCTGTTCTTTATTCAGAAAATCTAGTTTCAGACACATGCAATTTCAGTTAAATTGAATCACGTAATCAATGTAATCAATTTTGAAACAAATTCAAAATTACTAGCATCAAAGAAAATGTAGAGCAGTATAAATGATTGGTAATAAAACACACTTCTTGAGTTTTCACATCTTACAAACTACATCTTATCATTATAACAAAAAATAAACATCAAGTCTATTTAAATGTCAACAGAAAGTTTCATTTAGTATATTCTATATCAATTCAGAATTCTATCCATATAAATATTAGTTCAAAGGCGTTCATGCACAAAAAAATAGGTGAAGTTTTCATTGTGAAGTCATCTGTACATTTCTCAAACTTCACAATATAAACAAGCTAACAATCAAACATGATCATCAACTTAATTTCAATTCAACTGGCACTGTAAAATATAGGAAATAGTCTGCTCACAACAGCACTTTTACCCCAGGACACTTTCAGAAAGTGGCTTACAGAGGAATTTCCCTTCTCGAAAATAAAGGTGAGTAGCCAGTCACTAATCATAGTCACAAATGGCTACAAATGGTCAAAAATTAATGGGATTAAACATTTTTCTCACAATAAATTGAGGGCAATAACTAAATCTGGCTTGCAAAAATTGTGAATACACACGTCAAATTGCATTTTTGTAGAAATCAAGCGTGATGTACTAACAACTAAACCTTTTGAATACCTTTGAGACTGAATAAGTGTTATATTCAATTCGCAACAATAGGAATGTTAATTTATGTATGTCACCTTTCCTATAAAATATATAGAATATTTTACAAAAAGATTTTTAAATGAACCATTTAAGATTGCAAACTGTATGACATCAAAAGAACTTTATAAATGCCAAAATGTTAACTGAAACCTACCATATTTTGAAAGAAAAGACAGATGTAAAATCAGCAAACAAATGAGTAATAAGGTGGGACATATTGCAATATTTTGTTACAGTATCTGAATGGAGAATTAATTTGGTTTTAAAATAGAGTAAATATATCTCTTACTAGACATTAACTATTTAAACTGTATGATATCAACATGACCTTAGATTATATTTTACTAAATTAAGACATATACTTGTATCTATCTATCTGTAGCAACGTGGATTAAGATAATTAAATAAATTTGATCTATATAAAAGGTACATGTATTTTTATAACATGATATTTACCAATTTCTTGACGGTGCATTAAAATTCAAAGATAGCTGTCAGATAACCCCCAGGTCTGCATTATCAATTTGGGCTTCATTGTCTCTTCAGCATCCTTGAAACTACATATTTCTTCTTCTACCCTGTTTCACTTTAGTAGCTTATAAATTATAACTTGTAATAAATATTAATGATGTCACTTTCAACACAGCCAAACAACATGCTTCTACCCACATATTGTTTTGCAAATATGAACACACATGAAACTTATCATATCATAGCTAATATCATCGGTAAAAATTCACTGCCTCATACAAAACTATTTGGACAAAGTGAACTATGGTCCCATCTTTTTACTGATATTGAGGTATGTTTTAAATGACGATGTTTGATGGTTCCTCTATCCTATAGTCAACGAAGAATACCATTCTATTTCTGAAGCCAAATAATTTTCTAGTCTAGTTATATCTCAGAAGTTCTGATTATAGCTGCTAGATAACACTAGATTAAGCATGATTTTCTTGATGCTTTTTTCAACTAAAATCACTACTGAAATCAATAAACAAAGATCACTATTTTCTCCTTTCATACTATGAGTCCAATGACAGTTATAAGTCTAAGAGACAATAACCAACACCCTCCTCAATATACATTCTGAATAGAATTTGGCCAAGATAATAGTAGTTGTGGGTCATAACATAAAAGAAAAATTCAGGCTAATAAATAATTTTGGGAATTTACACCTGTGAGCACAGTTGCAATCAGCAGTGTGTTAAGAAATCTATGTACAGTGTTGTGTATCATATTTGACCACACAGGCACACACAGACCAGAATTAGATTAGTTCTGGGTCATTTGTTAATTAAGATATCACCTGTATAACTTGTTTCAGACAAGTTTAGACTAATGGTTTACTTCTTTCTTACTATTTACTGCCAAGTAGTAAATATCAGTTTTAGTAATCTTACTTAGATAAATTTACCTAATTATGAGAGAACTCTACGATTTCTAATTTCATAAAGAAATCCCATTGCAACTTTTCAATTGACACTGAAAACTTTTTCTTTCAAAATTTTCAAAATAAAATTTAAACTCACACACATGACGTGAAAGTTTGAAATTTCTCATTACAAAACACATTGACATGAACGACCAAAGAAAATGTGACCTTTACTTTAAGTAATAACACATGCATTGTAACCAAAAATAATTTTCAGAGTTCCTGTTATGTTGATTAAATTTTTAAAAGGTATTGCATATGAAATATGAAAAGTTGAATTTCCAGGACTTTTTTTTGTTAGAGGATATGTCATTCTCAATGTTCACTTTGCAAGCTTATAGAGCTCATTTTATTCACTTTCAGATATATTCCTAGCATCTTTGAGAATAAAAGTCCCACATCATAGCAATGTACTGTCATGATATAGGTAATATTTGCACATGAGAATATTAACTTCACCCTGATTACTGTCTAAACTTCCATTCTAATTGTAGAATGGGGATGTCTGATTTTTAATCTGATTATTGGTATTGATAGCTGACATCAACCTCTACTAGCCGATGAGCAAAATATTTAGACCAATATTTTTTTAAGGTTGACCCAATTTAATCTTTGTTTCAAAAAAAAAAAATTATATCTCCAATAGATTGTCCCTTTAATATTGTTATATTTCAGAGCTAAATTATATGAAACAAACTGGTAATTCACTTATATATCTGGTTATATAAGCCTATATAGATATGATATAATAATGTGGTATAATAATCAATAAGTCATAGTATTTAACTCATGTTCTCTGTATTAAACCCTTAACAGTATCATTATGTTCTTCAAATTATAACATTGTTACATTTTGTCCCCTTAAAGTAAACATATGCCTAAATTACTTGAAACCATAAAATAGTCTAACAAAGACTGACATGATTTTGAACTAGAACTAAATCTGAGAGACAATGGAATTTCAGCATGGGATGTCAGACACAGCAGTCAGTGAACACATAACAGTATCACTCAGTAAAATATCTCTACACGGTATAGTATTTTCCCTACTTACCAGCATCTGCCAAATTCCACAAAAGAATTATAGCTGCTAGGACCAAAGGTCCATGTTCTTGATGCATATTGCTACATAGAGGAGCTGATTAGAAACGCTCCTCCTAACAAATCGCTCCATGAATCCATATCATAATTTCCATCTTCACTGCCTTGTCCTCCATTACTTTTCGTTAAATCCCGTTATATCTTATGTAGTCGGCCCCATGTCGAAACAACATGAGTCTTGACCGTGACAACATCGCGGTTCGTATCTATTTTTAAAATATCAAAACACTAGTCAAATTACCTCTAGCTTTTAATAAAATATATAATTTCTCTGTAGAGGGGTTTAATTTTATTGAAAAACGTGGAAGCTTTGGGAAGGAATCTGAAAACTTGCATGAAACTATATTTTCACGCGGAGGTTTAAAATACTTAATTAAAAGCTATTTTAAGAACAATACGGAAATTACTAGCTCAGTGGAGCACCGATTGTTTCTGTCTCTCTACAAATAGACTTTGTTGTCCAGAACCTCACCTTTGTCTTTATATTCTAACATTCTTATATTGTCTGGATAATCTTTCTCTCCATACATTACATTCTCCTTTCACACTGTTTTAGCTAAGAATAAAAGCAAACAAAATGCACAAGTAAAATTATTTCGTTTAAAAGGAAAAGAATGGCCAACTATATTTGAAAAATTAAAGAGATAATAAAGGACCCAGCAAAGTTTTGTAACTGGCTATAAGAGTAGTTAAGCATGTTTGATATCAGATATTACAAAATTATATTTTATAAAACTTCTAAACCGCAAGATCAATATATCGTTTGATTCTGATATTTTCTCTTTTTTGTATCCTACTTATGAAATTCAATTCAGTTTGAACTCTAAAGAAAGTCGTTAATTTTTGTTTTGGAAATACCAATCAGATACTATCCAAATGTTGTAAAACCATGTCTGTTAGGCTATAGATAGGCCTAACGTTTGAAGAAAGTCGTGTTTTTGACCACTCTGTTGTAGATGACTTTTACCTTTTTCAGAGAAACTGTGTATACTGTACAAAGGTCTATCATTTGATATTTATGAGATGTTTTGATAGGCAACTCTCCGTGACAATGCAAAACCCTATATTTTCGGACACTTTTTCTGTAAATTCTTCGGCTGTTAAAAGGGATTTTTATAAGGGAGGTAACTCTTTCTAAACTCGCGTCAAATAAAAAAGTGTATTTCCGGTTCCGATGTAAACAAAAATGGCGTTCATAGCAACTTTGCAATCACAATGAAGTGAAAACCAAACTCATGAACTTCCCCGGCATATCTATTGTTCATACATTCCGTAAAGGTATATCTATTTGATTCCACTTATGTTCCTAAAGCTGTCATAGCTGACAAGTGAAAATCTTATGATACAATATCCATGATCATATAAATTCCACTCAAACGAAGTGATTGTAAAAAGGACAGTCACAGTGTTTGTGTACGGACTGTTACCAATTAATAATTGTTTTGAGTTGACTAGCCTTTTACCATCTCAATCATTAGCATTTCCTTTCCTGTCTTAACAATGTTTTAACTGGCAGATATTTTATTTTAGTAAGATAGACACTTAGCCCTAAGCAAACCAAGGCATGGCATATAGATATAATGGACAAAAAAAGATGAGCTGCATCTTATTTTCATAGCATGATCTAGTTTTATAACTCAATTTACTCAATGAATGATTGTAAAATGAATTGGAATCAGTACAACAGTTACAATGATTCTGTCACTGCATTGCTTTTCAGATTAAGAGGTGAAAAGTTATCATCATGAGTATCATTATGGAACAATCTCATAAGATTGATCCTAAAGTCCTGGCATTAATGGCCAAATTAGAGCATAAGAATGATCCTCAAGAAATAGAAGATGGTAGCTATGGAGATGGCCCCACACATGAAGAAACAACAGTAAAGCCACCAACCACACTAGAAGAATTTTTTAAATGTGAAAAAATTGTAATTATTTTGAATTTTTTAGATAAATGAATTGTTTGGTTTATGCAATATTCTTTGGAGTCTTGGACATGAAAAGGAATCTGAAAAGTACCTTTGTACATAATTTTTTTTTAGTCTATTTGCATTCTTATTGTTTCATGACCCTATCATCATTTAAAGTTATATTCAGATAAATAGTCTTACCTTTCCTGATTTAAGTGAATTCTAAGTGACCATTTCGATAAGGGCCTTGAGTTGAGTCTTTTTGCATTTTTATTAATAGACACAGTGGCCACTTGATGCTGAAGGAACATTAGATTTTAAAAAAGAATGTGATATGCTAGGTTCCCAAGAAGATATTATTAGTATTTTAAGAGATGCTGCCCGTATCCTTTATAATGTTAACTTCAAGAAGTTTGTGTTTGTGGCTATGCATGTTGACTTGACATACATTTGCTTTAGAGATAATATTTTCTAAATAATTACTTTTGATCTATTTTCATTTTCAAAATCTATATTTCATTATGAATTCAATTAAAAGGGTCTACATTTAACAGTCAATCTAATAGTTTGGAATTAAAAGGAGCAGAAATGATTTAATCCTTAACCATATACAAAGCTTTAGGTGTTCATATGATAGATGCTTTAGACAGTAGACTAGATAATATAGAGAAGAATTTAAAATATTTCTCTGATAGAATACTTGAAGAGCAGGAAGTCAAATTGTTTCATCCAAAAGACAAAAGTAAGTAATTTTGTTTTGAGACACATGTGAGTATTGAACACAATACATGTACATTTATCATATGAATAATATCAGCTGTGGTCAGGAATGTTTATAGAGTTAATGCTAGTCTAAGGCCCACCTTTGAATATTGATAGCAAGGCAAGATCACATTGGAATGTTTCAAATTTATTCACATTCGCAAGTTGAGGATATCTTGAATGTTTATTTTAAGTATTGTAATTTTTCAGCTTTTATTACTGAGACATCTGAGTTTGATGGACTGAGGACTCAGAGAAGTTCTAAAGGATGTAAAAGTGTTGTAAGTAATAGTATAAAATATTGTTTTTCTCACCAAATGTTATGTTGGATAAATCTTATTAAAACTTAATTTAAGCTATCTGGGATGACCTTCTTCGTTCTTATTTTATTGCTCCCAAACTTATTGATTTGAATCAAACATTTTACAAAATTAATGTTTCATATCATCCATTTTATCTTTGCAAATTCCCATTTTCCAAGAACTATTTCTGTACTAAATATACAATTGACTTTCTGATTATTTATGTCACTAGTACCAAGTAATTATTATAAATCTAAGGACCGCAAAAGTAGATGGAATTTTGAATAAGGTTTGAAAGGCCTTTCAATTTAACAATTTTTTAATTCAAAATCTCATTTAGGATTACAGTGAATCAATAATAGAGAGTCGTAAAAGATCTTTAGAGTACTGTACCTTTCCTGGTTTTCATCAGAAAGAGTCTATTGAACTACCAAGTCAATTAGAGACACCACCCATTTTAGATAGAGTCACTAGAGCTCAAGATTTCAATGTAAGTATGATCTGTCAAGATTGGCAGTATCTGGTTTTTAAATACATGGAACATTTTACATTATTATTTCTGAATTTTCTGTTTTTCTCAGTAATGTAGAGAAAATGTCCCCCTATAACTACCACCTGTCCTCATAATGGATTATTTATGTGAAATTTTTTTGCCATTTTGAATAAGAGTGATATTAATGATGTTTATGATTCTATTAGCCTGGATTTAAGAAATTTTGGAAAAAGATATTTTTATCAGAAGCATCTGTTGCTGTTGTTCAAGATACATTCTGGTGGATCTTTTTAGATCAATTCAATAAAGATGTACGTATTAGTTTTAAAGCACTCATGATTATTTCTGTATCAATAATGTTACAGATTGCACTGCCAGAACACCTGATATCTCTCTGTGATTGGGGTTTGTGATTATAGCATCACATTCCTGGAGACCACATACCAACTAAGTAATAAAGAGTGTTTGCATATATTTACGTAAAAGTCTACTTTTAAAGTATATGTTGTCTTTGTCATAATATATAAACTTGATTTATTCAGAATACAATAATATTTTGTAAACTTTTGTAAATTGGACAGTATCATTGGTGTAATTGATCAGTTGACAATTCTTTTTAATATGAAAAAATATGAATTTACGGACCTCTATTTTTGTTTTATGTTGATAGAAAAGCCAGAATGAGAATAAAGATTTGATATTTGATAGAATAGCTGATAGTTTTGTTGCTTTATTTACCACCATTAATAAAGATGTTAAAGATAAAGTCTTGGCTGTAAGTTCAAATATTTGTACATAAATAATTAAACTGCTAGTGGCTGTTTTATATGATGTGCTTTAATGTGACACCAATGTCCACTATGTCTAGTAGATCTCTTAAATCTCTGATTTTTTACATATTTTTTAAGGCTTGGGGCATGAAACCCATAATATAGAAAAATACAAAAATAAGTTAACTATATACTTCTCATTGAAAAATTCATTGTAAATAAAAAAATATATACAGTTTTGGCATGTCAGTAGCCTAGGAATTCCCAGTGGGCTATTTGATATCCCTATTATAAATTTCATTATTAGGTGTATCCAGATTGTTATGCTCAAGCTTTATATGCTATATATAGTGAAGCTTTTCCTGAATCAACACCTATATTTGATGACCAGTTTAAACAATATTTGATCAATCTTGCACATGAATGGATTACAGGTATATATAAGTCATTTATATTTTTTAAAAGATAAAATCATTGAGTATGATATGATATGGTATTGACATCAATGAAAAAACCAAGATTGATTGATTTGACAATGTTAACATATGATTTTGAAACTGGTCAAAACAGATCTAATGATAAATTTGGTTCCTCACCATGTTTTTTTTATAATCAGGATTAAAACCAGTTCCAGCGACCTACAATAATTGGGATATTTTGGCATTACATCCAAGTGTTACAAAAGGCAATAAAACAGATGATAATGTTGTAGCTGCTAAACAGATGATTCAAGCAGCTGCTTTGAATAAAGATGGTGAGTATCTACCATAGGTACCATTCCAAGGATTTTTCATATTTCTTTTTCTGAAAAATTGATCTTGAACCAGATCATATATGCTATCAGACTCAGTACTTTCTCATATTCCAATCATACAATTGTCAGCAATTGCCTGAAATAAGATATTTTCATATTTCTATTATTTATATATTTTAGTTACGATAACATTAGATATGGATTCATTTAACAAAATGATAGAGAAATTGGGAGTAGAGAAGAGTCCTATACATTCTCCTAGTGGTTTCCATAGAGATATAACTAAAACAACATTAACATCATCATCACCTTTACCAGTTCCTTCTATACCTCAATCTAGAACAGTGGTACCACATAAACCTAAACAGTTAGAGGTTGGTCCATTTGATAGATAAACATATACATATATCGTACATAAATTACTCAGAATTTAAAAGGCATTTCTGGATTATTTTAATGTCATTTAGATGAATTTTATTTTACACTCAATAAGCATGACATTAGTGTACTTGATAAGTCTTGGGTGCATGTCATTTGTGCACTAAATTAGGCTTTGGTTAGGCTTGGGAAATTGTGCACTTAATAATCATTGGGTGAATTACATTTGTGCATTTCTTGAGCCTTGTGTTTAGTCATTTGTGCACTTAAAAAGCCTTGGGTGCATGTTATTTGTGTATTTCATTCAGCTTGGGTGCATGTCGTTTGTGTACTTAAAAAGCCTTTGGTGCATGACATAATTTGTGCACTTACAAAGCTGCAGGTGCATGACATTTGTGCACATAATTATCCTTGGATGCATGGCATTTATGTATGATATATTTCCAGTCTCATCAAATTGGACCTGGTCCCGATTATGAAAGAGTCAAGTTTAATACACAAGGCCGCAGTCCATTGATATCACATTATCTATATATGAGACAATTACGTGATTTAAAACAACCTGGACAGAAAGTCCGAAGAACAGAAATAGCAAAAATGCCATATCCTTTATGATTAAAATTATACTATTCGAAAGCAATTATTAGAACACTTAAGCCAAATAGTATCTGGTTCTACAGTAATACAGTTGCTAAGCCTTATTTTTGTTATTGACCTTGGAAGATAATTGGAAATGCATGTTTCCTGTTTTTTTGTGGTTTACTGGATGGTTCAGAATTTCAGGTCATGGTGTGCAAGTCGATTCAGATTTTATTATTATTATTATCCTGAAAAAACTCAAACAAAACTATCTGCCTTTTCACCAGATTTGCTATGAAAGATTGTTCAAAATGACAAAATAGACTCCTGTTATTTATGTTCCTTTACTATGTATTACTCCATCAGGACCAACATATCAACAACTGATACAGAATACATTATCTTTATCAAACGCCCTTAGTAAGGAATATCAGAAGTAAGTATACATTTATATTTAAAAAATATTAATAAAAATTGTCTAAAATAACTTTTATATGCTACTGTATATTACAAAACAAAACCTAAAACACAAATGAATGAAATTGAAAATGCCAAATGGTATTTGAAACATTTTTTTAAACCATGCTCAGTTTCTTACAGGTATTTTAAAATAGCGATTTGACAGCAAATGCTCATATAATTATGATAAATTTTATACAAATTATTTTGATCAATGACTAGAGATAGGAAAATCTTAATGTAAGCGAATAACAAGGTATGACAAATAAAATATAAAGAAAAGTTTTTTTGTAAAGAAAAGAAATTGGACAAAAACCTAACAGATGGTCTTGTTTGAATAAGAGAGTAAAGAAAATCAATGCACTTAGATACAGATTGGAATAAAATACATAGAAATAGATAAATTATAGGTATTTTCATAGATGCAAATGTAAAAGTGCTTGATGACTAGATCTCTAAATCAGTTAAGTGGAAAATCAGAGTAAAGCAAATCACATATCTTCTGCTTCTTTTTAGGGCATGATGTCTGCTTGGGAATAAAAAAATCCATATAGCAGACGTTGAGTGAGAAAATCACATTTGTAAGGCTACTACCTTTATATTGATTAATTATGAATTGCAAAGGGAAGGGAGGTAATCCATTTTTTGTCATATTTTAGGTTTTTCAAATTTCGTTTTTTATTATTTTCTCAGTTTAAGATAACATAATATCATTAATGTTAATATTAGTATTGTATTGATTTAATTGAAATTGAAAAGAAATTAGACTAAAATAGATTTATTATCAATAAAGAAACATTTGTCTATACACCATTTATTATTTCTTTAAGAATTAAATGCAAGTATATCAAATTTCTCTTGAGAGGTATCTGGGTATTTTTCTTTCAGTTAGAAATAGGATTATGGGGTCAACTCCCAAAATGTACAGACCATTTTTTGGACAGGGTTAAAACCCTATAAATAATTATCTTGAACCCACGGTCTGTAACCCCTTATCAATGAGGCAAGGCTGACATGGTAACCTAGGGTTCCTTGTCAGTGATGCATGGTTACCTGGTTTTCCCTGTAAGTGATGCACGGTTGACATTGTAACCTAGTTTCTCTTGTCAGTGATGCAAGGTTGACATGATAACCCAGATTTTCTTGTCAGTGATGCAAGGTTGACATGATAACCCAGATTTTCTTGTCAGTGATGCAAGGTTGATATGGTTACCTGGTTTTCCCTGTAAGTGATGCACGGTTGACATGGGAACCCAGTTTCCCTGTCAGTGATGCAAGGTTGACATGATAACCCTGTTTCCCCATCAGTGATGCAAGGTAATTATATTGGACAATAGACTGTGGTCATGTGTGCTTGCAGGCAGTATATGTTGAAAATCCATTTACAGTTGAAAAAATAAAATAAAATTATGTCTGTCTTCATTACCCAATCAGGTGTAGAAAATATGACACATTTTTCATTTCAAATTTTAGAATTTGTGATGAGACCAACCAAGATATAGTTGATTTAGAAAAAAGAAAGGTAGAAATGAATAGAGAAATTGATGCACTACAGAAAGAATTAATGTTTACTAGAAATCCATTAGATTTGAAAATATTGTGTGAAAAAATTGCATTTCTTAGGGTAAGTATTCAACTAATTAAACGGAGTCTTCTTTAAAAGGTTTCTTTTCTACATGTGAGGATATTTCCACAGAACACAATTTAATTACGAATCTAGTCAGATCATGGTTGGCAAATGAGTCACCAGTAGAAAAACTAAACAACCATTTACATTAAAATCAGATTGATTTATTAAAATAAGGGAATTTAAAATTTCTAACCACAGAAAAATTGTATCGTGCCAAGCAGTTTGCAATCGGCATATTAATAATTTGATTTAATAATAATGATTTACAATTTTCATAAACTGTTTACATGAACTAAATCGAACTTAGAACTTTGTATGGAAAATACTTGCCAAGATAATTGATTTAAAATATAAATTTTAGGAGAAAGGTCGTGAACTACCTGTAACTGTAGATACCAGATCATCAGATGAATCAGATACTGATGAGAGTGTATCAGAAACTGAAAGAAAAGTTGTGTCAGCTCCTACCAAATAATTTAATCTTTGTGTATTAATATTTAGTCTGTGATATTTTAACATTTGAAATATATCTGTGGAGATAATATCTTTTAAATTTTTGGCTTCCCTGTCAGCGATGCTGGTTTGAGGGACTGACATGGAAAAAGCATCTGGAAGGGACAATCAACTGAGGCCCTGTGTGTGCATGATTAAGATTTCCTTTGCATTGGAATAAGAAAAAGATAAGTCCATTGCCGCTCTCCTGGCACAATTTCCCTCATTGAACACTACCATCTGATGCAGTAGGACGTAAAACTCCATCCGTCTAACAATTACCTCAAACAATTTTTGATCATCATTTTGGAAATTCTGGTCTGATTCCAGGAAAAACTGATTCTTTAAAATCTTTCACCAAATCTTTTGCACAAAAAATTGCTTAATAAAGACAGCTTATTGGCATTGCCTATCAAGATGGTTTATTCCAAAATTTGAGGATACAAATGAATATATGATACCATAAAGTCAAGCATGAAATATAAATATACTGTATTCAAAACAAACAAATTGTACCAGTATCATAATACAGTATACTAAAATAAAGCTTCTCAAAAATATTTTCCTTTTAAAATCTTCTCAATCTTGATAGGAAATGGATACATATTTTTTTAGCAATGAAAACCCAGAGAGTTATTCTCAGTTCAATCCTCTTTGTATTATATCCAGTTTGCACGATATCACGATGCACAAATATGAAGCATGATTACTGCATTAAATTTTGTATATTTTAAACAACCTGTTCATTTTACAAGTACAATTGAATTTCAGTTCAATACCGTAACCATTGTTACCCAGTACATAATATAATAAACATACTCATTAAATTTTGTATATTTCAAACAATCTTTTCATTCTGTAAGTACAATTAGATTTCATCAAAACCACCCAAACCGAATCCAGTAAGTCCCAAGTTTTAAAGAGTATATATTGCTGCACCTGGTCCAGGTTCACTGGCAAATAAAGATGTAAGAATTTTCTGAGCTCGATCTTCATGTGGTTTATAATATTGGTCTCTAACTTTAGCTAGGAATGATACAGCATCACCTGCTTTCACCATGGAAACAGCACATCCACCCCACCCTGCTCCCGTTAACCTTGATCCTACAGCTCCTGATTTCCTGTTTATAGAGAAAACCCCAAAGTTTAAAAAATATCATAAATAGGAACAATTGATTAACCTTTTAGATACAAACTGATGACGATGAAATCAATAGCTAAATGTAAGGAAATTCTGTCACATGAAGTCTTTGAGTTAATGGTTGTGTATCCTGAAGAAGTTCGGATGAATAAACCAAGTTTGAAAAAAAAAACAGGAATCTCACCTGCAAATTTCAACAAGGTTATCTAGTTCGGGATGACTACATTCATATAAATCTCTACAGCTATTGTGACTAGTGTTCATTAACTCTCCTAATTTACTGATAGTTTTATCCTGCAGTAGACCATCACATAACATCTTAAATTGTAAAACTCTATTAGCTTCACTATATACATGGCTAGCTCTATCATATAGCTTAAATACTTCCACTGAAATACAATATTTAACATTGTTAACTTCACTATATACATGGCTAGCTCTATCATATAGCTTAAATACTTCCACTGAAATACAATATTTAACATTGTTAGCTTCACTGTAACTTAAATTTTTGAGGTATTATATATTTTAGAAACGGTTCTGTACATACCATCAAGAGTGTTCTGACTTAATGATGTAGTAGCTAGCTCTTCATTTGTTACACCAAGTAATTCACAAATTTCAGTTTTAGTGTAAGGTTCTTTATGGAATGTTTGTTGAACTAAATCCAACATTTGTTCTAGAGAAAGCTTTAATTTTAGTTGTAAATCAGCCAATTTCTTCACTTCTCTCCATTCTAGTCCTTTACTCTTAGCCATGATCTAAAATAATGAACAAATGATATTCAATTAATTTTGAAACATCTTGATATTTGAATATGAATAAATGAGTAATAAAACAGAATGCATATTTTTCAATCTTCAATTTTAACATAAACGATATTCTTGTATAAAATATAATTAAATTCAAATTCTTGGACTTAATCATACAGAAAAACATTTTGTTGAATCAAATAATAATTTGAGAAACTTTTTCCATCAGTCACCAATGGATATGAAACGGATTTGTAAGGTTACAGTTAAGCAAAAACTCAGTAAGAAAAACCATAAAAACAATTTACTGATTGAGTGGCTGATTGCGCAGATACTTTAGGCTAAATAAAACTAGACTAATCTAAATACCTGTGTTGCGAGACGACATTCCACCACCCGAATATTAAAACTTGATGTAGCTGCTTTATTAGCTTGTACACAACTATTACTAATAACAAATACTGCTTCACAAGGTATTTCTACATCAGTTGATCTGAGTGGATTAAATTCTATCAATTTAGCCTGGAATTAGAAGCCTAGTTAGCAGCTATTAAGGCTAAGGGGAAGTTTTAATTTTTCCATTGATATATCAAAATCTTGCATGTATCTATAAACATTGTAATATTAGAACAAATTGGACAATCAGACTCACTTTTACAGTGAGACAAAATCGAATTCAGGTTATTTATCACTTTGTGTAGTCAGAGCTGATATGCTGTCAACAAGTGTTTTAGATATATATTTTCAGCAGGCCACTTAGTTATAAATTCAAATATACATAAGCATACATATACATATGAGCACAGGCATTGGAAATTTCAATCAATTTGAAATTAATTAAATTAAAGAAAAACCTACTGTTCCCTGTTTAGCCATGAAACTAATAGCTTGGTCCATTCCACCTCCTTCCGTTCCTATATAATGTTCACAGTGAGCACAAATATCTGCCAAGTCTTTCTATAAACAACAAAGTTGAAATACATATGTATATGAACATAAATTCACACATGAACATAGGTAACAATCACTAATATCAATATGGAAAATCAGGAATGAGTATTTTGAATTTACTCTTCTGATTGTGAATCTAAAACCAGGAATAAGAAATTTGATTAGACTTATTTCACATACCTATTTTGGCAATATTTTCACTACTGTTACTACTTATATTACTATTCTGATATCTTAGCAAGCACTCAAATTATGAGAGGGGATAAGATCTCTAATTTAAATGTGGTACCAACCTTAGTCAAGGATGCCTTATTAGCATACATAGTAGTAAGAGCAGCACAACAAACCAGAGCACTTGAGCTTGATAAACCAGCACTGGGTGGTATTGTACCATCTACCAAACAAGTAAAACCAGTACTGTTATCTTTTTTAATATGTTCTAATATACCTTTAATACCACACAGAGCATAGTTATACCACTGGGGGTCATCTTTTGGTATATTAAGGTTGTTTATATCACATTCAAAATCTCTACAAGATAACAAAAATTCCCACTTAACTATTTTAAAGCTAAGAAAAAGAAACAAAAATCCTAGTTCAAAAGTTTGTCAATTAACAAAGATACTGCAAAGTTACCACTTTTGCTCAATTCAAGTATATTCGACTATATCATGTCAAAAGTCATACAGCATTCAACTCTTTAGTTTTCCCACCAACTAGGATACCTTAATACATGCATACTATATATCTATAGATATAGACTTTCCATGCATTTGACACATTTCATTGATATAGTGTTCTTACTTGTATTGTGAATTAGTATTAGTTAAAAGTATTTTACTAGTTGCATTATTTGTAACAGTAAAAACAACATCTTGCTCTATTGCCATAGGTAACACTGAGTAACCACAATAATCTATGTGTTCACCTGGAATTTCAAAATAAATAATTTTAATACTGACAACATTCCAGTAATCAATCAAAGACTACTTATGAGTAACTACATTTTGATAATAGCTGAGACAGAATTTTAATTGAAATGAGATACAACTTTTTTCCTTTTCGGAAAATATGCTATCGAGTTTGAATGTGTACATGATTAAAGCTTGTAGGAAATTGAAACAAAAAGAAAAGCAGAAAATACCTATTAGATTTACTCTTCCAGGTGCTCTTACAAAATATTCTGGCTCTTTATTAAACTTAGCTGTGAACTGGCTTCGTAAATTTTCATACCTGAATTTCAAAGCATAATATGGAATTATGCATTAAGTTTCTACTAAAGTTGTCTTACTAAATATTTACTAATCAACTGATATAATTTAAGCTTGAATTCAGTTTCCTTTATCACTTTTCACCTTGAAAAAGAATCAGCAGTAGTTGAAGTTTCTAGGCCAATATTCATATTATTGACCCTTCCAATCTTCCATTTCATTTCTTCCATAAAATCTTTATTGAGGATATCTTCAATGGAGAAAATTGTCATGCTATATCAGAGAGATAATTGTAGTCCATTATGTTATCTTTAGAAACTGGTGAAGTTCATGAAGTAATGTACTCACCTGTCTCGTTTATAGACAGGAATTTTCTCCACTGGTGGAATTTCGGCTTCAGAAACATCCGCCATTTTATACACTTAAGATCATGTGACTGCATCTGTTACCACTAGGGGAAGCAACTCTTTAGAAAATTATATAAATCAGACTACATCTGAGTACTAAATAGCAATGAACACCGACAACTGCCTTGATACTGCTAAGGATTTGCCCATAAGCTTTTTGGTTTATTTATGACAATTGCTCCACAAGAAATGACTTAAAACAATTAATTGTCAAATTAAGTTTCAATGGGCAGCCCTGATATCTTTTGTTGGTAAAATAATTCATATGTCAACTTATGGTACTAATGGTTTTTAGATTGGAATATGAATGAAAAAAATTATCAACATTTAATAACCACACAACATAACAAGAACATAACATAAATAGAAGAATAACAACCAATATCAACAACAGTTTTTCAACCATTCATGCAGGGCCATTTTTGTTCCTGAACTAACTCTTCCAGTGTCAGTGGGACCTTCATATCTTTTAAACAGTGGTAAAATACTAATATCACCTATAATTTGTTGATTTTTGTTATTGAATATCACAGATCTGAAACAGAAAAAAAAATTTGTATCAGGTATCATAAAAATCTGTTCATCAGTCATTCTCTTTGACTGGCAATACATTTTCATGAAACCATCTTTAATCTCCATCAGTTTGTACTAAATTGTAGGTTATTAGCTTACTTACTTGATTGTTTGAGGTACATGTGAAGGAATGATAATGTCTTGTTTATTCTCTTCATGTAACTGATCAATAACTTGAACTTCATCTTTTGACAGAAATATCACAGCGTCTGTTTCATTGGCATCCATTTTGATTTTACATATTAAATCATCTGAAGTCAAACTGGACAGTTTACCATGTAAATAGGTGACTACATGATGTCTTTTTGGTAAACCTGCACTTAGTTTGGCTGGAAACACTGACTGTAAAAAAATCAATTATCAAAGAAGATGATATATTCTTAGCCCTCAAAGTCCTATCTTTATTCACTTCAAAAACAGAATGCTCATAATTCTAAACCAAATTCCATTGATATTATTAGGAAACCTGCAGACCACAAACAGAACAAAATTGCTTGAATAAATGGAAAAAAAAGATTTGCTTTCTTCAGTTAATAAGAGTACTTTCCAATGTGCATCTCGAATTGATATCGACATGGCATTCTTTCTTCTTAAACACTGCGTCACAAAATGCCAGCGCTGGAGGGGGTAGAAATTTGATTGGTTAAAGTTAGGTCAAAAAGGCTGTCAATACACCGTAACTGAAGTGGTTAAAAGAAAAATGAAAGCTAATAAAAAAAATGGAACGAAAGTTCTTTGGCTAACTTTTGAATTTAGACTTGATCAATGAACAAAAACCTAATGAACTTACCTCCCATAAGGCTAGTAATTCTAAAGGTTTAGTAAATTGTGATGTCTCTAACTGTAAACCAACTTCTTCTTCAAATTCTCTTAATCCAGCTTCTAATAACTACAAGGAAATATTTCTATGAATATCTAAGGTGGATGATCAAATACAAATGGACATTTGTTTTCAACTTTGAAATCACCCATATTTTGAAATGACATGAAATACCATGAAGTACAGTTTTAAATAAATCAGCAAAATATAAGACAACATACCGTTTCATTTTCTTCAATATGACCACCTTAAAAAATAAAAGAAATAACCATAATAAAGATCAAATTTTAGATAAAACTTGCCTATGATAAATATTAGTTTTAAACACTAAATGATCTTATTGAAATAAAAAGCATATAGCATACAGATTTAAGATATCTTGTAATTCATCCCATCAAATTCAGCTTGGAAATTGAACCATGTTTGAGAGAAAGCAAATAGGTATTAGACATAAGCACCAAATCATGATATTTATGTGATGAATAATTTGCAGGAATCAATGTTACATGGCATTTGCTTACCTGGAGGAACCCATATACCGGGAAAGGTTCTAAGATGTGCTGCTCTCCTAGAAAGTAATATTTTATTATCAGATGTTTCTACTAGTATAGACACTCCCACATTAATACCACATTCTAATATATCTTTAGGTATTTCTTCTAATTCTTTTGGTGACAAATTATGAATAGGACAAAATGATGGATGCTGGAAGAGAAATCAATGCTTTGAAAATATGGAATATTTAATACCACAATGATCAAGTTATATTTCAATGATAAAGGTTTCTCTGAAATGAATCAGGTTTCATTTCTCATATATACCAAAACTGTTTGAATTCCTACATCGCTCTACAATTGATGTATTGAGCCCTATTTTAACAGCGAAAATATTCTATAATTGTATACCAAAACTATAATGATATACCATAGAAGTTTAGACTGTTGCCATGTCTAATATTTTAAAGGTATTGGTTTATTTATTCCTGGTGGTGTTGGACTGCTGAAGTAAGCAATCAATTAGACATAATATTGAAGGCATTGGGAATTTACAAAACTTCTACAAACAAGAATCCAACCTACTACCGACAGAGCTAACAATATTCGAATAGACTCATTACTTACTACTAATTTAACAGATTGTGATGTTGGTGTAGATTGATCAGATATTATCAAATTATTATTTACTAAGTCCACTGTGACATTGGCTTTTAAATCACCCTTTTTATTGGAAAAGTAGTCTACAATACACTGAAATTACAATACAACATTCAATACATTGGCTTTACATGGTAGTGGAATCTGTCATTTTGATGTGCCTATACTAGTACTAGCTGAATCATGTATCATGACAAAAAGTTTAATGAAATCAAACCATACCAAACCTGAAAAAAGTTTCTTGCTTTTCAGCCAATGCTCCTGGACCTACTCTGAATAAATATTTTAATCTTACTTCTGTGAAATGTGCTGCTCTTCTCTCTCCACATTTCTGTAAATGAACAAGTATGTATCTCCCTGATGCTGTCATGTTGTTTTATTTTCCAGTAAATGTATTTTAGTTTTTTAATCAGTAAGATTATCTATGAAATACAAAAAAATGGTCACATTCAAAGAAATGCCAAACAAATGTTAAAACAGCTTTAGTTAAGGTACCGGTAACAAATATAAATGGAGTTTTACATCCCACATTTCTGCACCTGATTGGGATAATCATTATAATGTACAGTGTCATGCAGTGTACGATATGGGAAACTTCGCAAGAAGAGCTGCTTTAACCTAATCTTTTAGGATTTTCAACTATTATAATTGTTAGACCTTTTAAATTTAACGAGTACAAGCTGATCGTACCTTTGTCCCTAACTGCACGTCCCTTTCATAATATTGTTATACAGAAAAGGAGTGTAAGAGGCGAGTATTTAGCGAGTTTTATGTCTCGATTGAGAAGTCCATTATTTTTCCGAAAACTTTTTCATACAAATTAGGAGACTGGGTGTTCGAGATGAAGAAAATGGCAGCCCCCTGAGTGGAGAAAATGATATAATTTTAAACTAAAAAAAAAGACAACTTTAAAATGTTGCGATCTGTTCTTAGGATAGCCTCTTCACAATGTTCATCATTACTTTTTTCATCTAGAATAGCAGGCACGTACTTTTAACTCGTACTGATTGCATTTACTGTTGGATTGGCCAATGTCGAAATGACCCTATTTCTGTTGACTAGGGTTTATGTATACAGCCACTGACACTGTGGTCTTGTAACTTGTGGATTTTAAGATAAAGATGTTTACACTGTGTAAGGCTTAATTGATTGCTTTATATCCTTTTCAATTCATTAGACTACAATGATATTTTTGAAGTAGTAACAACTTGCACTTATAACAGGTCAACAACTTTGCTGTATGAAACTATGAAAGTATTGTACTGTACTGTACGGTTTTCAAGTCTTTGAATGAGTATTTTACTCTTTTACTTTTTAGCTTCCATTAACACCATTTCTATATCTCGTTTGAGTACTGTGGTGTTTGGATCCTGTAATTTGAGAAATATTAGATCAAATATGACGTCACTTTCTGTAAACATCACAGATGTTGCTTCAGAAATTTATTTGGTACAAATGGAAACTCTTAGTGTATTTATGTTGCTTTTTTGAAAGCTGAAAAACCAGGGTCTACAAGTGTTAATGGGGCATATCATGAATTTTTTAATTGAGTTTACAATAACTCACAAACAAGGCAGATGAATTTGAGGTTGTTACAAAACAAAGTGTAATTAAACGATACAGTTTTTTTTTAAGTATATATTAATATTTCAGCTACACCAGCTTCACTTAAAATTCAGAATTATTCTACCTCAGAGGAGAAAGTTGAAGAGTCCAGTGAGAAAACTGCATCACCAGAAAATGTTTGGTAAGTATTTGGTGTGAGATATAAAAATTTCTAGTTGATCCACTTCTCCTATTTATGTGACCTTATGAACCAGTTATGTGTTAGCTTGCAATTGAATCTGCTTCAAGGCATTTCATTGCAATGCTTATTTCTTATATAACAATTAAATTTACCTCTAGTAACCTAAATAAGCTAGCTGGTCGCAAATTTCAATTGCACAGGTTGATGAGTTTGGATCAGATAAGGTTAAATTGAAGAAGCTTTTACGGTATATATTCTAATAAAACTTACATTGACCATTTGTTGGTGCTCTTCGCAGAATAAATCAAACATGTTATTTCCTACTACTGAATGTATATATATGTAATTATGTATGAATCCATATCATGTAATGGAATCTCATGATATTCAGGAACAGGTACATTGGTTTGAGAGCCAGCTAAGAGCCAACTCTGAAAGGCACCGACAGTGGCATGGTTCTTGCGTTTGATCATTTTAAAAAATACATTTCAAATATCACTGTCTAATTCTCTTCTCTTCAGGTCTGAGGCTGATTTTGGACAAACTTTTCCAAATAAAGACACAGCATCAATGCTAATAAATGATGTGCCATTTTGTGAATTACCTATAATACATATAAAAGCTACATCTAATAACACTATATTATCAGTAACAGACCATAAAGGTAAGTGTAGCTGTCAAAAGTCAAATATTTCAATAGCCTACAATCAAATGATACAATTTAATTACAGGTATTAGTTTTGTAAGTCCACTTCCAAAGAGACTAGAGCACTAAAAACTTCTCCCAGGAAGGTTCTACCCTCTTTTCCAAAAGAGTAGTTGCCATTATTAAAGTTAAGGTGTAATATAAGATGGAACCAATGTGGTGGGTGGCTGTTATGTGAACCTTTCCACTGAACCCAACTTAGACTTTACCTGCTGATCTATTTCATAACATAGGCAGTTGGAAAAATATGTCACAGTTTATTATCATGAACATATTGGAAACAAACTCACCATCATAAAGGCCAAGGAACATAATTAAATCGTACCTTGGTCTGACATATCTGACCTGTTTCTCGGACGTGGTATGCAGATGTAATGTATGAGAGCAACTCCCATAAAATGGACCTTTTGAGTTTGCCCCTGACATTGAAATATATATCGTGTGGACCAGATTTGTCAAGCTTATCTTCTACTCATTTTGGATTTCTAACTTTGATACATCTTTTGTTTCTTTAACAGGAGTTGTGATGTATTCAGAGACATGTGTAAGTAAATATATACTTTCTTGAACTATATCTTAAAAACAACTAGCAGAATTATTGTCAGTTACTAATGGAACATTTCAATATAAAAATTTGACTGTCTTGAGTGTTTTTCTTTTCTGCCCCTTTCACTGGGACCTTATTTTGCTATCATTTAAATTTTATTGGTGAAAGAAGAAAAGGAATAAAAAAAAAAATTGTCTTGAATGGCAATAATACTGTTTGTATATGTGTGATTTTGTTACCCTTAACAGAAATTATGCAATACAAATACAACAAGAATTGGAAAAAAAGCATAGCTTAGGATAATCTATTTATTTACATCTGGGTCAACAAATGGGTCACAAATGAATGATTTTCTGATAAATTTTGTGAATTCAGGGTACTGTTGGATTTAGAAATGTAAAAAAAGGAACCAATATTGCTGCCCAAGCTGCAGCTATATCAATAGCACAGGTAAAGTTTATATTGAATGGAACATGCCACAACAGAATTAGTGTCATGAACTGTTTTATTCTAATCATTTCTATGTTATATTGAATTTTTAGACCAGTGTTGCCCTTGAAAACAAAAATGTACATTAATTTATGTCTGTTAATTCAGATCTTGAAAAAATAAAATTTCATGTAAATTTTCAGACTTACCTAAAGATGAGTATTTATCTTAGTTTTTCATGGAGATTTTTTCAAAATACTAAATTAAATGTTCATCTTTGGTGTTAACGTATACTACTAGATTTTGATCAATGTTATCTCTTATAGAAATTAGCTCGTGGTAAAGGTATTAGAGTGGTCAGAATTAATGTAAAAGGATTTGGAGCTGGAAGATTGGTAAGTATTTAAAAAGAAAAAGAAAAAAGGAACATCTACATGTTTCAAGAATGATTTAAAATCTTGTCAGGGCAACATTTCTTTCTACAGAAAGCATCTGTACCCTTTTTTCAGTTGTTTTGATTGGAAAAATGTGCAAAGATCATTCACACATGACTTTTGCAATCTGACTGAGATTGGAGAGCATGATTAACAGTGAGCTAATTACAGTATTTGAATAAGGACCTATAGGACTTAAAAATGTTTTTTGAAATATTCAAAAGCTTAATCTGGAATTCTTAAATCAAATATTAGAGTTGAGTTTATGCTCATTTGAAGAAGGCCATATACTGTTTTTATGATAATTATTGAATTTTACAATTACAGAATATTTTGACTGTTAAAATAGTGCTCAATACATAAATTGTAGAGAACACAAAGCATGTTGTTACTCTGTGGATCTTCAGACAACTGACCTACATCAGCCTGCGTCCATACTGAAGTTTTACCAGCAATCTTGTTCTTGTGTCTTCACTTCATGACAAGTTTGGAATGTTTGTTTTATGATTATGGAATTGAATATTATTGATATTGTAATCAGCTTTTAACATTTTCTTGTTGCATTAATCCCTTTATTATTTACTTCAGGCATCAATGACAGGTTTTAAGATGGCTGGTGTCACTATGGTATCAATAACTGATAGTACCAAATTACCACATTGTGGTAATAAACCAAAAAGAAAAAGACGTATTTAGTAAAACATATGAAGACATTTATTTAGAAACTTTAGTATTTGAGCTAATGAGTGATCTTACTGATTTTGTGGAGATGATGAGCATGTGAGATAATCATTTGAACTTTGACCTTTTATTCGGGACAATATTTATTATGAATTTTATGATCACATGAAACTGCCCTTGAATATGTGTGATAATAAAAAATATCATCTTAGTCTACTTGTTTTATTATGATCGTCGACCTTGTCTGTGGCACTAGTAGCCACGAGTGACATACAATTTGTAAAATTCACTGTCATGATAAGCAATAAATAATCAATATTCTATATGTACCTACATTATCACAATGTCAAGCAATTAGTACCTTCAGCTATTACCTTGCTCCTATTGCCACCTTTCTTGTATCCCGGAACGCAGCGATTTGATTGGCTTGTATACCAGAGAATACAGCCATTCAGAATCATCGACAGAAAGACTCTTAAAATTATGGCTTAGTGTTTACTGACCTTTTGTCGAGGCCTTTGATTTGCTGTATAGGTAGCCTGACATTTTTAAAATGATATTATGGTTCCGGATCCAGGTCCTGTACCCTGTCCGCTTGATGAAATTGTATATGATTCAAGGAGCCCTGTGAAAGTATAAAAATTCGAAAAAGATAGATTATAACAAGTTGCTGTCCTTGATTTCTAGCTTTTGAACACTTAGTTCCTTATTAATTATAAGGTAGAGACTAGTCCTAAAAAAAATATCTGGGTTGGGCGGATCCGATTTAAATAATTTTGGATGTGCGAAAAAATCCCCAGTTTTCCGGTCACCAGCTGACAAGTTTCTTAATACCTATCAAAGACTGAAATACAGGTAGATGTTTCGGTCTAAGAAGAGACCTATTGAAATTCAAAAAGGTTCGAAAGGAGTTTAAAACAAATGGTTGAATATTTCATACTGGTGATTGTACCCGTTCTGCCGTTCTTTTTTAAAAACAAAGCTCCGTATATTACCTTAAAAATCCTAAATATCATGCAATTTGAAAGAGTTTTGAAAGCGAAACTTATTCTAGACTGCTAAGGTCCGATTTCTTCTCATCTTTTCAACACTAAAAAACCAAATATACTAGGCCTACTATTTCTATAAGGATCGAATAACACATCTTTAGCCTGTAATTCAAATCAATAATACTTTGTGATTACTAAAAAAGACATCAGATTAAACACTTGTCAAATAACCGGAAGTCAATAATCGTGCTCATGACTGGGAAGACTTGTCAGAGATTTATCACGTGATTAATTTCAATTGCACGTGCGTTATCTTCTGAGTTGAAACGCCAGGAGATAAGTCGGATTTTTGTACAGCTCTGACTCCTTGAATAAATAGAAGGTTATGAGAAGCAGAATATTGGTGTTAATAAAATAGCAAGGTAAACAATGTCTTCAATAACACAATTAAATGCTTTATAATTGCTTTTTCTGGTCTATGAAAACTCCCTCAACCTCTCAGATATTGAACTTTTCAAATATCTCGTATTTTGCCCTTTTTTTCGTCTAAATCTCGCATTGTGAAGTTATGACAATATGAATCCTGAAAATCTGAAACTCAAGTCTTTCCGACCGATGATTCTGAATTGAATGTTTTGTATGATTATATTGATACTAATAGGCATGAGACCAGGGACAGTTCTGATTCATATTTGATTATCAAATGAAGGTGTGCTTATTAACGATTATTTAGACATTTTTTGCCTCAATGTTTATATGTAATTTCTATTGCAAATTGAACAAGTATCACTGATTGCAGGTTCTATCCAAGATGAGACTCGCATGGCCTTTGTCATGTTTGGTATTATTAGCTACTCTGGAGACAACCTTTTCTCGTAAGTGTTCATTTATTCGGTTAACATTACAAAGGAATTCAGTTCACAAATCAATTGGTTTACATGTATATTATAAAGGTGTTCAGCTTAAAAAAAACAGTCATTTGTTCCATTACAAATTTAATATATAGCCCTGAATAGATAAACTATTTGGTTGACGTTGCAAAGGCACTGTGTTCAGAACAAACCCATTTGTTCACATTAGAAGGGTACTCTGTTCAGGACACTAAACCCTTCTCAGACAATAGCCAAAGGTTTTATACAATACTCGTGTAGTTTATTTTAATTTCAGAAACGCATACTGTTAGCTTTGGTTACTCAACAGCATACAAAGGAACAGATTACTACAACGAAGGTGGGGAAGCTTTATGGATCAACGAAGATTTCCCATTTTATCAGGGCACACTTCAACAAGTTAAATTCCAAATTCAACAAGATCTAGGCGTTAAAAGGTAAGCTGATTGGTTCGCAAAGTTTCCTAACTGCGTTATATTGTTGATCCTGATTTGTCTGAGGGAAAATTTGCTATTATCTATAACCTTCATCAAAGGCCATAATAGAATATCGTGTCCAAGAAGCAGGTTGTCACACTGATTTTCAGTGGACAGATGTACCGTAAGCAAGTTGGCAGTAACAAAGTAGGCAAACCGGTATTTTATATTAATATAAACTATAGTCATTATTTACTTGTATATACTCCATTGCATATAAACTTTGATATTTCCCTCTTTCTTATTTATTTAGGGGTCGACTTTATATACTAGACGAGAATGAAAAGGGAGTTAGATATACTTTACGATTTGTGAAGCAGGTCCAATTTAATCAAAATGAAGGACTTCAAATAGTAAGTTAAATGATGACGATCCATATTGATCTGAAATATTTTCTGTTCACCGGGCGTGAGTTTTGATTCTGATAAGTGATATGGATAGCGGGGATATTAATCGTATTTGGCAAACGCATATAAATACCCTTCCATACTTTATAACCGTCTTACCACAGGGCGTAAAACTCCATTCATTTCATTTTATTTATAACCGTCTTACCAGGAAAGATTTCAAGTAGGTATTCATTGACAAATTAATGATAGCCTACTATTTTCAACCATTTATTAATCTAAAAACGGTTTGTTTCACCTGGAAAAACGGTTTGTTTCACCTGGAAAAATTTTTTTATTCCATAAGGTTGTATTACATAATGTAGCGTTTCCAAAAAGATAAGAATTATAAATATGTATTTCAAGCAGAAACTGTATCTTATTCACAGGTGAACATTCCAGAGCGACCATCCGTCAGCACTGGTCAGCTTCTAGGATGGAGTTTTGAAGGTGGTATTGGTCCGATCAGCTACGTGGTCTCTCCCAATCCAAACAATGGTACCAGAGTTGCTAATTTAGCCAGTCCGTTTGATAGTCGAGTTGGTGATCAGTTTACTATCGCATCCTTTGTTAAGACTTATTACTTTTTTATTCAAGCAGATATTTTAGTTGGTACGTTATTTATTTTCTGGTGCTTCTACACGTCACCCAATATTTTATTCAAATGATCTAATTATGAATTGCTTGGAGTTGTGCCCACCCAAAACCCTATCAAAATCGCAATGAAATAATTGGAATTGCGTGCACGGTAACGTAATTGTATCACGAAGCTTTAAAATGTATTTTTTACCATAACCTGTTGATTTAATCAGACTGGTAAAATAGTATTGATAGTATATATCCCTTTTAAAATTATCTGGTTGATTAATACTTTCAAACTTAATTCTCAAATTGTAAGATAACGGTTATAATTTCAGTTATCAAAGGCGATAAAGGAGAAAGGGGAGACCGAGGTGATCGAGGAGATCGGGGTTCTGATGGACCAGCTGGTATGACCGGACACTCTGGATTTACTGGAATGACAGGATCTCAAGGACGACAAGGAAATAACGGAAGAGATGGATCTGGTGGTGCAACAGGTAATATTTGGAGATTCAAGGATGCGAACTGGTATATTTTGGTATGTATGTTAACGAATTGATCAAACTCAAAGTGTAACTTTTAAATTAAACCTCCTGACGTTTTTGACATGGTCATTTACATTTGACACTTGAATTGAATTGAATTATAATTAATGTTTTGTTTTTTTTAGGTGTGACTGGACCTAGAGGATCGTCCGGACAAAAGGGAGAACGCGGGGACAGAGGTGATCAAGGTAGCAGAGGATCTGATGGCTCTCGTGGTTCACCAGGATCACCTGGATTTACTGGTGTAACTGGTCCTCGAGGTAGTGATGGTAGATCTGGTAGTAATGGTAGAGATGGTTTTACTGGTCAAACCGGTATTCAAGGTATACATTTTCTCGGTGCAGACTATTTTAAAATGTCTGTCCACTTTCTATTTACTTGATCACTCCGTCCTCTAGAAGCATTTTTAACCCCTTTTAAAGAACATGTTTTTACTGAATGATAGAGGACTTTTTTCCATTTTTATGTAGTAAAATTTAAACCCTTATTTGTCGGTAACTACAAGCACTTATTTAACACGGTAAGCTTTTAGTTTGACTATTGACTAGTAAAGGTTATTTCTCCCATAAGCTACTAATCTTTAATATCAATTTATAATCGGCGTTAACATAGAGTTAATTTTGTACGAATAGGTCCAAGAGGAGATCGAGGTTTTGATGGCGTTACTGGTCCTCGTGGTGATAGAGGTGATCGTGGTAGTGATGGTTCTAATGGTAGAGATGGTTCTAACGGTCGGGATGGTTTTACAGGATTCACGGGATTTACTGGAATGACTGGACAGCCTGGTAAAGTATATTTTTCGAATGAAATCCTGAAATTCTGTTCATGAACTACAAATAGATGATAATGAATAAATAAATATCACAATCCATAATGGATCATTTTTGCATTAACTAGGTGATAGAGGTTTGCGAGGAGATCGTGGTGACAGAGGTCCAGATGGTTTCACTGGAAGAACGGGCATACCTGGATTTACTGGACAAACTGGTTCCCGTGGTTTTGATGGTAGAGAAGGTTTTACTGGTTTCACTGGTTTTACGGGTTTTACTGGAATGACGGGTAAATAATATACTATAATATATTCGTTAACTTTTTCCTTGACGAGTGGCTTCTTCTAATGGAACTTGCACCCTCGATTACGGGTGTCTCGTGAATTTTAAACTGATATAAATTATGAATTTAATTACCATTTTATCTGAAATTTTTCTTTGCTAGGTCCAAGGGGAACACAAGGTGATCGAGGATTTCAAGGAGACAAGGGTGAACGTGGTGATAGAGGATCTAATGGTAATAATGGTAGAGATGGTTCCAATGGACAACCTGGTAAGATGAACTAATTACTAAAAAAAAAAAACAGTAAGGACCGGTCGTCGTTTTTACATACGCCGTAATGAAAATGTAGATATGGTACCGTCTTGATAGACATATTTGGATTCAACAAAACCAATTTCCCATCTACAAATCTTGAATTTCTCATTCAGGAGACTTTACTATACAAATACTTTGATTTCATGAACTTTTTCGTCTTCATTAATCTGGAAAAGACGCAAGGGTTTTACTGGTTTAAACCAGCAAAATGTATCCTGAGGCGATTATATTTATTACCCGATTATGCTGTATCTTTTGCAACAAAACTTTTATTCTAGTATTAACAATTATTGATTTTCAGGTATGACGGGTGTGGCGGGACAGAGAGGTTCATCAGGTTTTGATGGCAGAACTGGTTTCACTGGTTTTACCGGTATGTCTGGACAAAGTGGTATGACTGGTTTTACTGGTGAACGTGGTCAGCGAGGATTTTCCGGATCAGATGGTGTCACTGGAGTAACTGGTATAAAAAATTCGATTTATACCTTTAAAAATATTTATAACATATACGGCAAAGTACTTTATACAGGATATTTGTCCAATTGTTGAATAGGCACTAAACATGAAGATTAATGAAATAACCCGTTCTTTATTCTAACACGAACACCGATCTCCCCCGATTAACAATGAATGACACTACACGCCAGAAGCCGTAACTTTGATCTTATCTCTCATGCAGGTAGAGCAGGTTTTAACGGTAGAAATGGTATGACCGGAATGACTGGTGTGAGTGGTTTTAAAGGCCAGAAAGGAGAACAAGGTAGTGCTGGTCAAAGAGGTGATCAAGGTGATAGAGGATCTGCTGGAAGCAATGGATTAGTTGGTTACACTGGTTTCACTGGGTTTACGGGTATGAGTGGAGAAAGAGGGTTTCGAGGTGACAAGGGACAGAAAGGTTTACAAGGTGATGCTGGTCAACGAGGAAGTCAAGGTACTGCTAAAACAGCTTTATTTGTCTAACAACCGTTGATCAATCCCGGCTTATGGATGCAGCAACGGAGAAAACATGCAGGGTTTCCAAATTTATTTTCTGTAGAGCTTTTTTTCGCATTTTGTTCCTGGAATGAAAACACAAGCCGAAAAATGTTCATACCATCATGTTACCATTTGTATTGGTCTTTTACAAATCGCGTTTCAGAAATCGTTTTCTCAGCAAACGATTTGTCCTATGCTTATATTATCTGCACAATGTAATCTTTTGATGTTTTGGTTCTCTTATAGGTTTTGATGGAAGAAGTGGTATGACAGGTTTCACTGGTTTTACTGGTATGACTGGCCAGAGAGGTTTTCAAGGTTCAAATGGTTTAACTGGATTCACAGGAGAAACTGGTCTACGTGGTTTCTCAGGTCGGGACGGTATGACTGGAATGACTGGTATGTCTGGCTCCCGAGGTGTCGATGGTAGGAATGGTTTCACTGGTTTTACGGGATTCACTGGCATGACTGGTGTAACCGGTATAAAGGGTGATAGAGGTGACCGAGGAAATAATGGTGGAAATGGAATGACGGGTTTTACTGGTATGACTGGACAAAGAGGTGATCGTGGGTTCAATGGTATGACTGGCTTTACAGGATTTACCGGTTTCACTGGTATGTCTGGAAACAGAGGCGACAAGGGACAGAAAGGAGAAAGAGGTAAAGTATGAATTTACATGACACAAAATAAATTGCTTTTATGGTATTGGACAAACCTTTGAGAACCTTTGAAGAATTCTATAATATACTATAAATTAGAAAAAGTACATTTCTACATAATATTTCAATTTAAGGTGATCGTGGATTTTCTGGCTTCAGTGGAATGACTGGAAGAAACGGCTTCCCTGGTTTTACTGGACAAACTGGTTTTTCTGGATTAAAAGGTCGCAAGGGTGAACAGGGTATTTCTGGAAGAAACGGTTTCACCGGCTTCACTGGTTTTACCGGTTTCACTGGTATGACTGGTCAAATAGGGGTTCGTGGTGATCGAGGCTTCAATGGTTTCACTGGTTTCACGGGTCAGACTGGATTCCCAGGACAGAAAGGAGAACGGGGACGAGATGGTATGTAAAATTCGGGTATTGTAATGCGATAAAATTGTATATTACAACTATTTGCAACAACTACACAAATAAGAAATATTGTTTGAATTAGCTTACTCTTACTGTATCAAATGACTCGTACTTTCTTTCGTCGCAGGCGTAAACGGTAGGAATGGTTTCACCGGTTTTACTGGATTTACTGGTATGACTGGTATGTCTGGTCAGAGAGGACAGAAAGGAGACCGAGGATTCGAAGGACGAAATGGTTACACCGGTTTTACTGGAATGACCGGTTTTACTGGCTTCTCGGGTTATACAGGTGAGTAAAAAAATTGTTCAACGTCACAAATGACGTGTATTGTAATAAAATTAGTTTCGGAAACGATGATAAATATTTGAGAAAAATTCAGAAAGTGTAGACATGTACCAGGAACGTATAACTGTTTGTAAATGTGATATAGCAATATAAAGTTTTTGTATATCAGGTTACACTGGTTTCACTGGATTTACTGGAATGACTGGTATACCTGGAACAAGAGGACGAGATGGTACAAATGGAAGAAACGGTATGACTGGTTTCACTGGTATGACTGGGAGATCTGGTGAAAAGGGACAACAAGGAGATCGAGGTTTCTCTGGATTCAATGGATACACTGGGTTTACTGGTTTTACCGGATACACTGGTATGTCCGGTATGAGTGGAGAAAGAGGATTCAAGGGAGAGAGAGGGTTTGATGGTCGGGTAGGTTTTACAGGTGAGTTTTATTTCATTTAGATATAGAATTAAAATAGTTTTCTTTGTCATCTTTCCAAAATATGGATACGGTTGTTCCTTACAATCAATTCGGCTATGAATTAAAATTATACAGAAGCGCCAGTTCGAAGAATGTTTTGGAGGCAAACTTTATCTTAAAAGATCATAATTTACCATTTTCATGATTTAATACAGGTATGAGTGGTTCTTCTGGCTTAAATGGTAGAAATGGCTTCACTGGTTTTACTGGTTTCACTGGTATGACTGGAAGAAGAGGTTTTGATGGTGCTAATGGCTATACCGGTTTTACCGGGTTCACTGGTATGAGTGGTGGACGAGGGGATAGGGGTTTCACGGGAGATAAAGGTAAGTTGGCTTTGAAAATTCTCAGCTTTTCCAAAATGCTCATGGCATCCTATCAGATCTCATAATTCTGATGGTTTGCCTACTTGCTATTCCTTTCAGATCACAAATTGTCTTAACATAGAAATGTACATTAGTTTTTTTCGAAAAGGAAATTAGATTTAGGTACAAATTTTTGCTCCATTGACTAGGTGAACGTGGTGAAAGAGGACCTTCAGGTCAAAGTGGAAGAGATGGTTTCACTGGATTTACCGGTTTTAGTGGTATGACTGGCTTTACTGGTTTCACGGGTATGTCTGGTCAGAGAGGTTTAAAGGGTGAAAGAGGCTTTGAAGGTAGAAATGGTTATACTGGATTTACCGGCTTTACTGGATTTACTGGAGAGACCGGACGTAGAGGCAAGTGATTTTATTACAGTTTTCATTTCAAACAAGGTTTGGGGTGCCATTTAATGTTTTGTCATGGTTTCTTAATCACACCCTGTGAGTGATTCTACATCCATCGTAATATAGCCCAATCTCATAATGTGAAGAAAAGCAATAGACATACACTTTAAACCCCAATTTATTATAGGGTTTGATGGTGCAAATGGTTACACCGGTTTCACCGGTTTTACTGGTATGTCGGGATCAAGAGGTGACCGAGGAGATCGAGGTTCCAATGGTTACACTGGATTTACTGGTTTTACTGGTATGACTGGATTCACTGGACAGAGAGGAGAGCGAGGTAAATTGACCTACAATTCGGGCAAGATATTACGTGAATGAAAGCTTTAACCTAGGAAATTGTATCTGGAGATTACCTGCAAATGAAGTTCAGTCCCTTTTAGTGTAGACCTCTGAGCTGTCTCTTTTAAGACAATAGGCGGTTCTGTATTTAGGCCATTGCAATGAGCTCGAGACAACCGCTTAAATGGGAAAAACGAGGTAACGCAGAAAGTTCAATTACATTAATTTGATGAATTATTGTTCTCCTTTTTGCAGGTTTCCGTGGTTTTGATGGTGTTACGGGACCTAGAGGACAAGGCTTTGCAGGTAAAGCAGATATATTTTGTATAGGCTATAAGTACAGTATTGAGTTGTATTCCACAAATCTATGGGGCGCTTGAATATTTCCTTGTTTATTTCTACACTCAAATAATTCCGAGCTGATATTTGTAATAATCCAGGGAAGATTTGCTTAACATTTTAGGTAATAGCCCAGGTCTATATTATGGAAAGCTAATGACAAAACTGTCGTGTTTTGTTTTGTAGTTACTGATTATTGTAATGAAACTCAAGTTGGTTTCCGAGCCTGTGATGATATTTGTGTCAATTTCTATGGTAGTTATGAATGTCGATGTTTTAATGGTTACTCCCTGAATTCTAATAAGAGGTCTTGTGACGGTAATAACACTTTTTGGTTCAATGTTTTTATCGACAGATAAGATATGGCCACGTCTTTGGATCAGTTAAAGATAATTATAGCTTTCATTCGGCTCTTATGCATTTATGTGATTAGCCCTTACGATCTCTCAAAATGCACAACATTGATTATTGTTAAATAACTGTTATTTCTAGATATCAATGAATGTACGGTATATGGACCTTGTGATCACATTTGTCGGAATACTCCTGGTAGTTATAATTGTCAATGTAAAACTGGCTATACCCTGGATTCTAATGGTAAAACTTGTTCAGGTAAGATTCTTTTGCTCCGTTATATGTGGATATTTTTACATAACTGGTCAAGATGCGTTGTGCAAATTAGTATCGTTTGGTAAAATTCGTATTGTACTTATTCTCACAATTTATTCATAAAGTTATTTTTTTTCTTTCAGATATAAATGAATGCAAGACGACTTGTAGACCAAGACAAGTAGATTCACAATTGTGTATCAATGTACCAGGTTCCTATTACTGCATTGCTCTGCGACCAACCGACCTCAGACAAGGTACTATTTTCATAATTTCAGAATTCGAATTTAATGAATTTCTGCATTTTTACGTGTGGCTTAGGAAATGACGAGTCATTTTGTGCTAATCTGAAATTTTTGAACGTAGGTGGATGAAGGCCCTGAATGGTGTAAATGAAAAAAGCATTTTTGGTGGAATACGACAGGACATTAATTCATTACGTTCGTCTCATAAATTTCCCTTTCAGATTTTGCATTCAGCTCTTGGATTCGTAACAGTTCCCGATTACATTCTGATTTCATGGCAGCCGAATCATTAAGTAACACCAGTGATAACGACGAAGAGTATAGTTTATCTGGCACTGTCCTTACTGGTATTGTTGGAACCTTACTTGGTTGTGTTCTTATAATATTTATTGTATTGGTAGTTTTGGGAGTAAAAGTAAGTCGCCGAAATCGCGAACTCCGGCGACAAATGATGCCAGGTACTCGACCGTCCGGACACATGCAACCGGCTCGACCGACCGAACAGGTTGGTAGAATAGGAAGAGAGCCAACACCAGAGCAATTTTTTGTACAAGAATCGATTAATTTATGATAATTTTCTATAGCAAACTCTTTCTATTGTTCTATTTATTGCATTTCATTGTACATAACAGCTATTTTTTGCAACAGTAAAACTTGTTTGTTACAGAACTAAATGTTTTGTTGCTTTTTATGGAGGTTGCTCAGTGGACGTATCAAAATCTTATTTCAAGCCATTAGTGACCTATACAAGCAAATGGCTTACATTCAAGTTGCCCATATACATGTATGCCCTCCAAACTTCTGGCCCCCATCACACCCGACTGCGACCATTTGCGGTTTTGCTACGACTAAAACTGTACTTGGTCGCCGGCAAACGTAAAGGAGAGTGCCCTTTTACATGAAATAAAAATTGATACAGTCGGTATTGTCTTGCGACCATATGAAATTGTACGTTCAGAGGTGAGTATGTGCCTGGTCACTTTAGTTACTCGTATATTACTGTCCGTGCACACAGCAAGTTTGAAAGTGTGATGCGAAACGTTTACCAAGTTTCACAAACAAAAATCTGAACAATCCAAATACAATCAATGATATTTTAATGAAAATGATCAAAATGGACAAAATTAATACTAACATGTTAGCTCAGCAATGCTAAGGTTGTCAAGAGAAAAAGCGCCAAGAATAAGATGAACAATAGCCGATCCACAACACGAGCTATTTCCATCCATTCTGAACTATGGCCTTTGTTTTCATTTTGAGTTTGGTATTTCCCGATCAGTACACGAACGGATTTCGGAATATCTTTCGCGTCATGATCACCTTCTTTCAAAGCGGTGACATCCGAGTCGGTTTCAGCAAATTCATTCTCTGTGTGTTTCATTGCAGTGAACGCCGAGTGGTGATCTCCGGGTACAGATGTATCCATACACAACCATCGCCTTAACCCACATCTTCCCAGAAATATCTACAAAAAAAATCAATCATCAGATTTGATTTAAAAAGCAGAGGTCGACTCTAAATACATTTCCGAAGAAGTAATCTTAAATAATATCAACGACGCAAGATCTCATTTGAGTTGGAACCCGAAAATCCATTTGGGCGACATATTAAACAATAATACGAGTATAATTACCTGGCTGAACCAAACCGGTACATGTTTTCTACAAGCTTCTTGTCTTGTTATACAGGTGATAATCGCTGACATGATAATACTGAACGATGTCAATACCATAGTCACGGAATAGTATATAGCTGGAAAATAATTTTGTAAACGTTGCCGAAATTGTAACTCTGTTGACTATAGTATGTTGCACTTGACACAATACCTTTGTGAGCGTATATTGGTTACATTTACCTTGCCTGTGCTTGAGACGTTTTTTTTGGGGTTAGAAAGGGTCAATGTCAGTATTTCCAGATATTACCTCCTAGTGATAAACGAGTAAACTTACAAACATTTTGATTCCTATTTGAACCTTTTGGACCAGTTGCGAGTATCGTAAAGCCTCTGTCAAAGAAATTCGGACTTTAAGAAAACTTACCTATGTTTGGCACAGTAGCCATCTTAGCTCCAATAACATCAACCAACGTCTTCATAGATAAACACATAGTCACCATTATAAGACCACCTGAAATTTATTCATTACCACAGCGTCAATCTTTAGCCAGTGGAAACGGTCAACGCAATGCAGAATGTTTATAATCACAGGGGAAATAACTGGTTATCAAAACCGTTCATATAATTTACAATAATTGCAGAATTAATTTTGTACTATTGTTCTGATTACTTTAAAGGCACGTTTACGTGGTAAATGACAATTATTGAAATATATATAAGCATGAGGGTAACAAACCTAATGTGATTTTGGCAGTTGAATCGGTTGGTAGTAAGAAAACAACAGGAACAAGTAAAGCAAGGATAACTGCTGGTCCCAGTATAATACATTTATAAAAGCTAGACTTTCTAGAGAGTTCAACAGTAACAGCAATAACTTCAAGTGGTTCTGGGTGCATAACAGTTACAATCTGGCTATCCAAGTCTTTTTTAGATACAGACCACTGTGAATTTTTACTTAAAAGTGCACCTTCGTTAATGACGATTTCACCATCCCGTTTGAAAAATTTAAGTTGTATTTGTTGCTGGTTGTAAACATTTGCGGCAAGTTCTAAATGGCAAACGTGGCTATCAAATGGAAAATTAGCCATATTCAACGGACAATAACTTCGTATTTTAGCATGTGACGACCAATAAACGCTTCCATCGTAATGAATAGTAACATACTCATTACCAAAATGTTGAAAGGAACCATATTGTCTGAAAAGGAAGATTAATGATATATGAACTAAAAATATTTATATTATGAATCCATGTCATTATGATAACAAGATTCTGATAACCAAAAAATGGACAGAAACAACACTCGAACGTTCGGTTCTCTATCCCATCTATGTGTAGTATGTAAGTGAACACCGGTGTAATTTAATTGATCTTATACTTACGAATGAACAAGTTTTAGTTCTGGTCGCCAAATTTTCGAAGCTGGTATGGTAAAAGAATGTAACCCGTCGTAGTCGGAAGTATTCCAAGATAGTCTTGGATCATCCCAACCCTGAAATATAAACGATATTGTGAATTGAAAACTCCCTTTTATAATCCCTAAATTCCAGTTAAAGATAATTTCTATTATGAAAATGTCATTCAAATGTGGTTTAAAGACTTAGTGATCAATCCTAATGTACAGTGTAATGAGAAAATTTCAAGGGAGGAAATAAAAGAAGAAATCCCCTTACGATAGATAAAGCAACTGAGGACTTCATTTCTTCCTTATCTTCATCCTACAAACAAATAGATAAAAAAAAATAACAGAGTAATCACACCTGGCTTTACTTAATCCAAAATCCATAATACCAGACAGGCCTTGCCTTTGCGAGAATCAAAATGCAGTTACAAAAAGAGCTAAGATCGACATTGGTGTCGTTAATATATGTACTTGTATGTGTCCAGACCACAACTCTATTCGTCATACTTTCGCGAGACCAACCAAGTCTAAACCCGTATTCAGGATACGATGATGTACTTGCTCCAAAATCGAGTTCATCGTCGAATCCAATTGCGAAGGTTGACTAATAAATGTTTTATAAAAAAAGTAATCTTACCAAACCATGTATACTAGTTACAGAAACATCAACAGACACAATAACGGTATCATTAATAGCTGAGGCGGGCCTTAACTCTTTTATATAATGATCCAAGATATGATGGTATAAGTGAGATTCATGATCTAGGTGCAGCATTACATCTTCAGAATGAGGATGACCTGGACATAGACATACAGTTTTAATCAAAATACTGACTTAAATGAGTCTAAATCTGAATATATCATATACAACTCCCGTTTTGAAACAAGACGCACTATGACGTATTATTGAACGATTCAGACATCTTCAGCTCCAGTCCTCATTTGTCAATTTCTTTATCATGTCCACTGTCGAGTTAGGTCTGAAATAGGTCTCAAACTGTTAAGACCTTTGAATTGATCAATAAGTACATGTGAATAAGAAGTACTATATGAAAAAGGCATAAGAGTATTATGCGTTTGCTTTATTCCGATCAATCATGTTAACATAATTTCGATAAACTGAAGGACAAGTCAGGGCTATCAATCTTGACCATGGATCAACTTGTCCTTAAATTACTAGAACTAAGATGTTAGTACAGATAGAAATAAGAATGAATGTTGTCCTTACCATTACCAAGATCAACTCCGTAGACGAATAAGATTAGTAAAATACCACGAATCATCTCATTAAAACAATAGATTTTAAATATATTTTTCAATTAGCAGATTTAACAACTAGCGTGTGCACAGCGTCACTGATTCACAGGAAGTAAAAATTTCAAATTCGAAGGCCAAATATCAACAAGGTTGTTTACTAAAAGCGTACAGTAAACAAATATTGTACACAGAAAACGTCACGATCTCAAGGCAACTATTTACAAACCAGGGAAAAAAACAATAGACTATATTTTGTGAATGAACTTTTTTTGTCATCGTCGCTTGGTTCAAGATATAAAAGTCTGTTAATTAGAGGGAATCTAATACTTCAGGTATTAATCGGCTCATTGCAGAACCTGACACAGTTCTAAATACCTTTATACACTTTATAAACCCTATACAAATACAATACTATCAGTCGTTAACTCGAAAAGTTAGGGTTCCATATCAGTAAATCCTTTATGAAAATGAAAACAGATCACAAAAACAAGAATTATTGTTGGGCCAGGTTTTGAGAATTTGTGCATCTTCCCAAATATAAAGAGTAACTTTATAATCCATTCTAATTTTCAATCAAACGTCTGTGGGTCTTGCAGTTCCACTAAAACTGCAATTTATGACATGGCTATATCAAAGTCTTTTTGATAGTGCATCATAAATGTTTAAATAGGCAACTATCAATTGTATATTCTTTATTGATAAATAACAAGTATTTTACATAATTCAACATATATGCAGGTATCTTTCATTATATTCACTATTTATATTTGAAAGATAAGTTATAGGGCAAATACTTTGGCAAATAATATAACATAATATGATGAATTCCAATGGATATGATATATATGAACGGAATAATTTCATTCTTTATTGTAAATAGGTAATACAACTTCATTCAAAAATTGCTCAACATCATCTTTTTCAAAATCTAATTCACAAAACTTCTTCACTATCTTCCTACACCTAAAACATATTAAGCAGATTACTATAAAATTGGCCTATACTATAGTAACTGTAAAAAAAAACAAAAACAATTACTTTTATTAACATCATGATAATGCATTATGCTTACTTTTTGAATTTCACGGCAGTACTTTCAGAATCAAGTCTTTGAATTGGTTGCTTCTTCCTTATCAGTTCTGATACCTAAATAAAATAGTAAAGATACTTTAACTGCAAATTCAATTCATAGCAATGACAATAACTAATGGTATTAATGGTAGAATTCATAGCAATGACAATAACTAATGGTATTAATGGTAGAATTCATAGCAATGACAATAACTAATGGTATTAATGGTAGAATTCATAGCAATGACAATAACTAATGGTAGAATTCATAGCAATGACAATAACTAATGGTATTAATGGTAGAATTCATAGCAATGACAATAACTAATGGTATTAATGGTAGAATTCATAGCAATGACAATAGCTAATGGTAGAATTCATAGCAATGACAATAACTAATGGTATTAATGGTAGAATTCATAGCAATGACAATAGCTAATGGTAGAATTCATAGCAATGACAATAACTAATGGTATTAATGGTAGAATTCATAGCAATGACAATAGCTAATGGTATTAATGGTAGAATTCATAGCAATGACAATAGCTAATGGTAGAATTCATAGCAATGACAATAACTAATGGTATTAATGGTAGAATTCATAGCAATGACAATAACTAATGGTATTAATGGTAGAATTCGTAGCAATGACAATAACTAATGGTATTAATGGTAGTATCTATAGTAATGACAATAGCTAATGGTATTAATGGTAGAATTCATAGCAATGACAATAACTAATGGTAGAATTCATAGCAATGACAATAACTAATGGTATTAATGGTAGAATTCATAGCAATGACAATAACTAATGGTATTAATGGTAGAATTCATAGCAATGACAATAACTAATGGTATTAATGGTAGAATTCGTAGCAATGACAATAACTAATGGTATTAATGGGAGAATTCATAGCAATGACAATAACTAATGGTATTAATGGGAGAATTCATAGCAATGGCAATAGCTAATGGTAATATCTACAGTAATGGCAATAGCTAATGGTGGCATTCATAGCTAATGGTAGTATCTACAGTAATGGCAATAGCTAATGGTAGTATCTATAGTAATGGTAATAACTAATGGTAGTATCTATAGTAATGGCAATAGCTAATGGTAGTATTTTCATAGCAATGATAATAGCTAATGGTAGTATTTTCATAGCAATGACAATAGCTAATGGTAGTATTTTCATAACAATGACAATAGCTAATGATAGTATTTTCATAGCAATGATAATAGCTAGTGGTAGTATTTTCATAGCAATGATAATAGCTAGTGGTAGTATTTTCATAGCAATGATAATAGCTAGTGGTAGTATTTTCATAGCAATGATAATAGCTAGTGGTAGTATTTTCATAGCAATGACAATAGCTAATGGTAGTATTTTTATGCCTAATGCACATTTTCAACCTGAAAAGATCAAAAGTTATGCTTCAAAATAATCTTTTTCTTATAAAGAAAGTATAGAGTGAACAAAGATGTAGTATTTAAATTGGTACTTAGTCAGAAACATCTATTAGGGTCAAAATCTCACCTCTATGCCACGTTTCACAAGTGCTTCTGGAAGACCAACTTTACTAGCAACATGACTAGCATAACTAGAACTTGTAGTACCATTTACTACTTGATACAAAAATACCAAATCTTCACCATTATGTAGTGTGTCTAACGTCTACAGAATAAATAGAAATTGTTGGTCAGATATAATATGTATACCAAGTTTCAAATAATATATAACAGCAATGAGTAATAGCATGTAAGAGCAATAGTAATAAAGTGATACACAATACCAATCTTAGTCCCAATGTTTTTATCCAAAAAAATTCTCACAAACCACTTAATATCACAGGTGTTTCAGCAACAATGAGCTATATACGGGTAGAAAATATTTATTGTCCAAAGTGCTAAAAATCTTTCACAAAATTCTTGTTTGGATTGCCTTGAGTGACTATATTTATTATATTTAAACTCTGATGACGCAAGAAAAATTCATCAAATTCAAACTAAAACCTTTTAGCTAAATTGCCTTAAGCCATCAAGTTAACTAATCCAAAGCAATGTACCAGAAATTTAAGCTGAGGTGATTTAGGAAGGAGCTGTTCATGTACAATACTGTGAAAATGAGTTGAAACCATAACATGTGGACAAGCATTCTGCATAGCCAACCAATATCTTAATGTTGCACACAATAAAGATAACCCATCAATCTGAAATTAATTAAATTAATCCAAAGTTAAACTAAAATCGGAGCCAAATATTGATTTTTTTTTATAAAAAACAGCTCCATTCACAATGTCTAGTTTAAACTTTGCTTGTGTTCAGATGTATAAATATTGTTTCTCTATCCTAGACTAATGCTAATTTAGCTTCAGATATACATTTTATTACTTACTGTTTGAGTTCCTTTTCCAAATTCATCCACTAAAATCAAAGATCGACTCATTGCACTGTTTAAAGCCTCTGACATCTACAATGGACAAAACAGATTTGGAAGCAAAATATGTGAAAGGATTTGACTACCCCCTTTTTAAAAAAAATATGTAAGATAATGTGACATATATTCCTTTCAACAAACAAAACACGTCTTCTAAATTTACATATCAGGAATTTCTTTACAATTTCAACAATATTTGCAGAAATTCCAATCAGTTTACCTGAGTTATATCCAACATAAAAGTTGAAAGACCAACAGAAACACTCTCCAATGATTTTATTCTAGTAAAAATTCTATCAACGGTACCAATAGTAGCTTTTTCTGCTGGAACAAAACTACCAATATGTGCCATATATACTATTAGTGCTATCTGAAATTACACAAATGAATGGTGTTTAAGCTTTCAGCTTCTTAAGCTAAGCTTCTGTACAAAGACACTTGAAATGCATAAATAATTAGGAAAAGCAAACAAATATTATGATATCTGCAACAATCCAAAAGTTTTTTCACTATCTTTTTTTCTGTGTTTTATCAAGAATAATAATTTTAATAATATACCTGTTTTAAATAAACACTTTTTCCACAAGCATTAGGTCCAGTTAATATTTTAATTCTGCCATCAGTATTGTTGCTACAATAATCATTAGGTACAAATGGACTGCAACATAACTCTTGAATTGGATGTCTGAAATTTACAATTATTCTTGATAAGGTACAATTGGATATATTTGATATGGTATGAGCAGAAGTCTGAAATTTAGAATTAGACATAATTAGTGTTTATTGTGTCTTAAATTTACCACAAAAAATATTGATAAGGCAAATAATAAGATCTAAAATTTACAACAAAAGCTTTAATTGATTTGCACAAATCTTCAAAACTGCTGTAGAATACTGAATTATTTTTTAACTTTATATTATCTGCCTCTTATTAAAAAAAACTCCATGGATAAAGTATTCACCTGCCACCTTCAACATCTATAATATTATCTTCTACCATTTCAGGTTTTATATACCCAAATTCTCTAGCACAAGTTGATAAAGACATTAAACTATAAAAAAAACAAATAAGATATAAAACAATCTCAATCAAATTGCTAAATTTCGATATTCTAAATTACTAAGAGATAAAGATTCATATTTCATTAATATCTGCATATAAGGTGAAGTTAGTAAAGAATGTTTTCAATAAAAAAAAAACATGGTTTGCCATTTTCGGGTTCAACCTTGGGCTTAAAATTTGCAAAAACTTACCAATCAAGCTCAGCAGTGTATTCCATAACATCATTTAATACTTTAGAATGTTCTAATATTGTGTTCTGTAATCTGTGCATTATGTTAGTTTCATGGTCTATTATTTCACATTGTGTATCACCTAATAATGTATCCAATTCTACAAAAGAAAATTGTTCTTGATAAACACATTGACTAAATATAAACTGAAAATCATAAAGTTTTCTACCTGATATGAATAGAATCTGTGATTACTGAAGATCATTAGAAAAAGAACTTACGATCTTACATTATTTTAAAAAAAATAATGAACAAAAATGAAGGAAAAATAATATATATAACATTTTCAGTGTTAAAAATCCAATTCAATAATTCAATCTATTTCATAGCTATCATTTTGAAAAAATTCCTCCACAAAATAAGCAGGAAATTAAACAAGTGTGAACTTAATCTGAAACAATCCAAATCAACTGAACAAAAACATCGAACATCAGAATATCAATTCAAGAATAAAAATTCAAATTGAAACACAATAATTTGATATTTTGATTAAATTATACCTCTTGTTCTAGGGCTTTTATAATGTAACATATTATTAGACATAAACTGGAATGTATCAAAATAAGAGATGATGGACATATATAGTAAAACATTTACTAAATAGTCATTCCAAGTCATAGATCTTAGTATTTACTTAGGAAAGTGGCAAACAGTGACAAAATATGTAAGAAATCATATATGTAACAGTCACAAAGATCGATATTTTCAAAGAGCTTTTCTATCTATCGAGTTAACTGATCAGTAAATGTTTATACATTAAAAACCACAACAATCACCTTGAAATCCAGACCTGGAATTTCATAGTCTTCTTCATTGACCATAGCATCAGTTTTAGGTATGGCTAGTAAATAACATAGCTACAAAAAATAACACAGAATAAAGACAATATATAGAAAATAAAACATAATTCAAACTATCTTTACTTCATAACTGCGCAAACATTTGGCATTGACAAAGGTCATATAAATTATGGTTACGAAAAACTTTTTTTATCATAACTCAACAGACCAATTTTTTGACCCAGTATATTCCAGTACAAATTACCTTGAAAGTTGGTGCTAATTTAAACTTACATGAGGCAGATATATAACACTACATTCAGTGATATTATTTCCTAATTTATTCAATTCTTCACGAGCAACTTTAGTCATAAAATCTGGTAAACCATTGTAAGTACGTTTTTCTGTGAACAAAATTAAGATGAAGTATTGCATGGAAATTTAGAAAACATCATATTAAAACCTTCAATTTTGAGCTATTTTTGTATCTATTCAATCAAGAAGAGTATATCAGCATCATAAATGATAAGAAAGTATAGGATTAACATCAAATAATTGTACCTACTTTCATCTAACTCAGCATCAACATTAGGTTTGACTACAAATCTACTTTGAGTTACTGATTCATCAAAATCTATCTAAAATGAAATAGATTGGGACCAAATGATTTACTGAAAAATGATTACATCATCCATATTCCCTCAAATAGTTCTTAATATATATATGGGAGTATTTTTAATTTTATTCCAATAAGATTAATTTCTTCCATTTTATCTGTTTTAGATTTTAGGGATGAAAGTCCTAATTGTGTAGCAGATCCATTAGAGTTCACTCCATCCTAAATTCAACCATAGTTATGGAGTCAAGATGTAGTAAAATAATTCTATTTGTATGTATATAATACTTACTATTTTACTTATTAATGTAGCAATTCTATGTAAATCATCTGAAAAACTTGTAGCAACCTAGAAATTCATTTACAATGTTTTAAATAATCTTAAAGCTAATTTTGCCATGAATCACATTAAAAAGAATGAAATTTTGTTGGAAGTTCTGAAATCTCATTAGATTCTGAAGAATAATACTAGAAGAAAACATCTTCAAATATACACAGACGTGATGAGGATTCTCTCCTCTATAAATAAGACATAGTGGATATAAATTTGCATTTTTACCTTTTTAAAAATAGCTATATTTGCAGCTTGAGAACGACAGATATCACCAATATAAATAGCATGATAAACAGTCTAAAGTAATAATATAAATAAAATAACATAAAAGGATAAATCTTTCAAACTATACAGTATTTTTCCATATTACATTTTCTGAGAAAATTGAAATGTAATGTTACAGTCATTGTTTCATAACCAGAAATGAAGTGTTTGATCATAAAGGCTAATTATAAATGTCCTTTGATATTTGACATAATTCTGATTTCCTAAGTTCTCCTTGTAAATGAACTTTTGGGTAGCACATGAAGATATTCACCAAACCTGTATATTTACCTTATACATCACTTGCCAATCAGCTATACTAGCTTGTGCTAGGACCATCTTCGATAATATTCTCTACAAATACAATATATATTACACATTATTAAAATAATGGCATACAGTATTGTAGTTCCAGAAATTACAGAAAGGTTTGCTTCAAAGGTTTGTTTCAAACAAAATTTAGATTGGCATAGTGAGATACTTGGTGATTGTGAATTTGAATATAAAAGTCCTTGATGACCTTGAATAAGTTATCTTTCCTCATAATTCCTGTTGACCCAGCTGCAAATGGTTAAAGATAATCTGGAAAGGATCAATGACAAGATATTTGGCCAAGTACCAGCAGGCAGATCGAATCCTCACGAACCTTAGTTGTCATCCTTGAAAATAATAGTTGTTTTTTTAAAGTACAATAGTTTATTTTAAACAAGCTAAGTAAATAAAAATGATTACTTACAGGAATATTTCTGATGTGTTTCATACAGTCTTGTAAAGTTGATAAAACTTCAATATTACGTGGTAAACTAAAGAATGAAACAGCTTCATGTAATAAACCATATTTATAAAATATAATACATAATAAACCATAATTATATAATATAATACATAATAAACCATAATTTTATAATACAATACATAATAAACCACAATTATATAATACAATACATAATAAACCATAATTATAAAATAATACATAATAAACCACAATTATATCATATAATTTATAATAAACCATAATTATAAAATACAATACTTAATAAACCATAAATATATAATATAATACATAATAAACCATGATCATATAATACATTATAAACCATAATAATATAATATATTTTATAATCAACCATAACTATATAATATATTACATAATAAACAATAACTATATAATATAAAATATAATAAACCATAATTAAAATTATATAACACATAATAAAAAATAATTATATAATACAATACATAATAAATTATAATTATTTAATATAATAATAAACCATAATTATATAATAAAAGTTAGCTTAGTTTTCATGAACTCTATTTAGGAAGACAGGATCAAATTTAAACGAATACTTACCAAACAGACTAAGTCCTTCTTTACCACTATAAGCTGTACCTGATTTATATACAGACGGATGACATTCTTTATGAAATATCAGCAAGGCACTAAAAATACATTAAATTTGTTAAAAACTGTGCATGAAAAACCTTACTACAAATACAGTAGAATATTGGAAAAAAGAGAGAAAAATTGACATAAGCTTACAGCTTTGTAGTATGTCTTACAGATATTCAAAATTGTTTCATAATTTGGCTTATCAATGGAGATAACAAGGAAAATAACAACTAAAAATCTGACTTACTTGTATGCACTATCATCTAATATCATCTGATCTTCTCTGAAACAAACCAATGACTAAATTCAGTTTAGTTAATTGAAAATAATTTGTATGTTATAGAAACTAAGACAAAGATTTTGGTTAATTTTACACAACGATCACAAAAATTACTGATTTGTTTTTTTTTAACATTCTATACAACTCTAAAGCAAGAACTCTCCAACTTTAATTATACTTACAATGAAAAGTTCTTAAAACCTAGAACTGGAACTCTAACATCATGACTCTCTAATTCTACTCCAATTCTCTTCTTTTCCAGAAACTTCAACAGACCACCAGTTGCTTTTACCTTCAAGTCAAAAGTCAGAGTTTTTAAACAGATAGCCATACATAGCAGGTAAATCTGGTAAAGATTGCCATTCTACCAGAGGGTATATTATATTAAGTCTTTTTTGTCCTTGCCTGAAGTAGCTACCAGGTATCCAATGTGCACAAAAATAAATAGAAAATATCAACCCTGAGAAGTGAATTCAACAAATCCCAATTTTATCATTTTTTGTCCTTTCCTCTAGCGGTTATGTGGCTTCTCCAGTGACAATGAGCAATTCAGTCCTGATTTAGTTAAAGCACTTACCATTGAAACATTATCAAATGATATTAATGAAGACATATAAAGAATCCTTTCTGTATCTGTATAGTGTTTGGGCATAGCTGGTAAATCTATTGATAATATTCTTCTTTTACAAATCTCTAAAGCTAAAAATATAAAATAGAGGTTTGTCTTAGATTCAAGATAGACTAGCAATGCAGCAAGAGCAACATAGACCAGCTCTCAGGGTTGGCAAAAAGTCAGCCTTAAACGTATGTGCCTGAGCTTCTCCTAACATGCCATAAAAGATAAAAACCTTGCCCTAAAGTTACCAACTCTGCAACTCATGGTTCTTTTCCTATTTAAAGACCCAGAATTCACTGGGTTGAAAATTGGAAAGTTGAATCTTGACAGACTATATTATGACACTGTAACATTGGAAAACTCTGATATAAAAACACCAATTGATAGATAATGTTCATACTTACAGAAATCAATACTAGGCATATACTGTAAAATTGATGATGTGTCAGAGGCTGGATTAGAATCAGTTCTTTTACCGCAATACACTTCTTCCACTTTACAAGAAAAAAAGCGTAATCAAGAAATTAGAACACAACTAAGCTACTCATGGCTACAATAACTTTAAGTACAATAAAAAGAAAGGGAGCAAAAAAGGTAGTCTATTTCCACATTTTGAAAGTTGTTTGCATCAAATTACAAAAAAACAAAATAAGTTGGCAAACTAGAGAAACACTTCGATCTTTTCAGAACATGATATATCAATTCTTACAAATTAAGATCTTTACTCACTGACCTGTTTTCTTTAATGCTTTCAATAATCTATCATCCTGTTTGGAACTCAATATAATTTCTGCTGGCTCAATTTGCTTTATGGCTGTAATTTAATTTAAGTGAACATAATAAGGGACATTACTCTCGGTAGACTATTATTTTCAATATATAAGCTTTTATGTAAAATCTGAGGTAAAGATTTTCCTATTAACTTAACTTGACTATCATTTCAAAATCATTAAAAAGCAAAAAAAGGTTAAACCTCTTTTCAAATAACTAAAATCATCTGTCTCCATTGTATCTAACATAACATGTATCTGTAAGGTATCCACATCATAGTAGGCTAAACCCAGCTTTCCACCATACCATACCACACTCAAATACAACTGTGAATGGATGAATAAATGGATGAATGAATGAACAAATGAATGGATGAATGAACTCATTGTATCTTTTTTGATACAGTGATACCCTGCTGAAGTGTTCAGTTAAAAGAAATGAAAAAAAAAGTTTTGCTTCACCGTACCGTATTTGGAAAATCTATACCCAACTAAACCCTTTCTTTTGTGAAAATTAACTGTATTGGAATGAAATAGATGGTAGATCATATCCAAATACGTCCACTTGGTTGACGTTGGCATGTGGTTGATTAAAATATTACACTTTCATCAGGTATTATGAAATGTGTACGAAAAATATATTAAAACAGCTATAGCACTTGCAATATTTTTTGACGTGTTCTAAATTTTGACAGTATACTGCATACATTTTATTTCTTACAAAATTTATGTAAGTTATTTTAGCAGGTGTTTGAGCTTGTTTCTAGCTTTCAAAAAAAACAAAAAAAACTCAATGAAATAGTTTAGAATCAATATAGATTTACTATTAACAATTTTCAATATAAATTTCATCAGAAATAATGATAAATCTACTTAGTCAGGAAGATCAAAGTCAACACCACTTCCTTTCTAACTACATTGTGTCCTGTTGATAAAGATTTAAACATCTTATGAGATATAAGTCAATTTCCCCCAAATTTTTTATTGAAAGAAAATGTGCGATTGAAATTAGATATAACATGCACAATGTAGGTTACTGGGTTAGTAGGCAATATCATTTAAGGTACATTAGGGTTTTGACATGCTAATTAAAGTCAAAACAACCCTACTTATTATTCAAACTATATCACCTACCAGATGCTTATTCAGTGTGATTCAGACTAAAATGAAATTGTATAAAGCTACTTAGACTGAAATGGATAGGTCCAAAATAGCAAAAAAAATCATGATCTGGAAAAGGGGGATGGTGTGTGGGGGGCATGATAAAAATTAAGAGAAGAAACCATGCCTGTTCAGTTTCCGAGTCAGTGGAGCCTTCTATAACATTCCTTATACTTGTTATATCATCTGGTCTAATGATATCTTCAATTGTGTTTGAGGAAGTGGTGGTAGGTGTTCTGCTTTTTGGTCTACTGATATTATTTGACCTAATACTTGTGGATGATGATGAACCATCAGATTGACAACTTGAATGATTGTACATGCTTTTAGTTCTGAAATTGATAGGTATTGTAATTAAAAATGAAGTCAAATGTTTGGAAATGACTTAATTGATTGCTCAGTTCTTCTGCAAGAACTATCCACTAGCTTTCATCAACCCTTATAGACAGTGGAATAGATTAGGCTTAGTTGGATTGTCTGCTAGACTTGTTAGAATCTCCTACAAGGATAAGAGAGGCCATACAAAATCCTAGTTTGAAACTTGAAGTTAATGCTCCATTGTCATGTATAGTATGGCCATTTCCAATCCATATATATTGTCTCTCCTTAAATCTTTTAATTTTTTTGGTTATTTATGGTGTAACTGCACTAAATTTTCTTCTAAGTGGTATTGTAAAGCACAACTAACCAAGTCTACTTAGGAGAAATGCAAGTTTCAAACAAACGAAAATGGAAACAATAAAAAAACAAATGAGAATGCATTTTGTGGGATGTTTTCCAGTCTTAGACTTTGAGTTTACAACACTAAGTAGGCTACTGTGATAAGATAACATAATTATGACAGTCATGAGTTGCCTACTACAAACTGCATCTAATACCGGTTTCTTAACTTCATTAGACTCTTTTCTTGTATCACTTGTATCAAGTTTGAAATGCAATGATTTGATTGAATTGTAGCCTAAACTACCGTACTTAGTACAACTAATCATACTAAGACCTCCAGCTCCACAGAAAGTCTGTAAACCATAACATAATGAATATGGCACAGTCTTATGTCGAGTTTCTGGTTGGCTGTAGTACAATCCAATCAAATTGCTGCATTCTGCTATACAAGAAAAGAACCTAATGAAGTCAAGGTATTAGACACAGTTCGTATTAGCTTGGCATTGTGAATACGGAGACCTTTTTATGTATAACTTTAATATAATACTTAGACTAGGCTATATCTACAGTACATCTACATCTACTGTCAAATTAGACTAGCTAGTTATGCCTACTAGTACTACTAGATTTAGGCCTTAGGCCTACTAGGTCCATGCCTAATCGTTTGAAAATAATCGCGTATGCTGCCTTGAAATATATAAATACTGTCTCATGTGTTGGAGATAAAATAAGTCAATGTTTACATGGAATCTCCACGTTGTCAGTCAGATGAGTCATGCTTCTAAAAATAGCTTGTTTTTGGACTAGTCCATCGCACGACAAATTGGGAAACCCCTTTCATTACTAGCATACGACAAGTTTCATTCCATAAACTTTCTGTGATTACACATTGTACAAAGATTGAAGAAAGGCACTGCATGCGAATAATTTATCTATTCGTATCAAGTTTCGTCGTTAAAATTACAATAACCTAATCAAACAACCTTCGTTTTACTTGAACAAAAAGCAAACCAGATTTACAACTGATATTGATTTAGGGATTTCCCTTTTTCCAAATATGGTAGTGTTACTACGTAAACAAGGCTCGACTGTCCAGTCTCTAATGCTATAAGTAAATTTATAGAAATCTGTCTGGATAAACGAATACACCCTTCCCATAATGCAATCAATTCTATTTTTATACCCAATCAATGGGCTTCTCGTAGTCGATGAGCACGTGACAATGATGTCACTTTAAACCAATCAAATGCTGAGAATGTGATGTCATTCTATTTTTAGAAGCCTGACTCATCTCTTAAATACACTGAGATCCGTATTTCACCATTATACTATACTACATTCAAAAGCCAAGAGCTATTTTATATCGAAGAGTTTTGAGGAAACCACGTTAATTGTGACTCAGACTTACTCAGATAAACATACCTGTTTGAAAAGGAATACAACGTGTTTTATGAACTTTATATTTTGAAATTTCAATTTACCTGGATATTATTTCACTTTTCTATGAATATATAAATGGCTGCAACAATGTATGAAGAAAGCCCACTTGCCCGAGAAGGACTAAAAAGGAAGGCGATGTATTACAAGAAAGGTGTGGAACCAGAAGCTCCAGCATCGGTTCAAAAGTTGAAACAAAATATGACTTTAGATTTTAATTCTTCGGATACAACAAAGCGAGCGAAATTTTCAAATTTACTCCAGTCTCCAGATTTGAATATGTTGAAATTGGCGTCGCCGGAACTTGAGAAAATGATTATTCAAGCCAATGGGATGGTTACGACTACACCAACTCCAACTCAGTTTATATTTCCTAAATTTGTGACAGAGGAACAGGAAGCCTTTTCCAGAGGATTTGTAGTGGCATTAGAGGAATTAAGAGATGAAGACCCATCAAAATCACCACCATTAACCAGTGTGCCATTCTCAGTCGTCAGTTCCAGTCAAAGTTTACTCAGCTCCGCGCCAATCACCTCTCAAGTTTTTACAACCACTACTTCATTGCCTGGAGGTCTTTTAAATCTCTCAACAAACAAATCCCATGAAAATAGACAATCAGTTAGTCCCGTTCCACTTCTCACCAAATTTAAAGAGGAACCCCAAACAGTGCCATGTTTTAGTGGATTAGAAGATTCCAACCCACCCATGTCACCAATTGATATGGAATCCCAGGAAAGAATAAAAGTAGATCGTAAAAGAGCTAGGAACCGAGTTGCTGCCCGAAAATGTCGCACCCGAAAATTGGAAAGAATAAATCGTTTAGAAGACAGAGTTTCCTGTTTAAAAGATCAAAATGATGAACTTTCTCAAACTGCCAGCAGTTTACGTGATCAAGTGTGTAAATTAAAAAGACAAATTATTGACCATGTAAATGGTGGATGCCAAATAATGATGGCACAAAACATATCGTTCTGACTGGAAAACCTTTAAACCTCAAGAACTTTACCAGTTAACATAATTGTGATCTATCATGGCTAAAACAGTGCTATATTGTGATGTGATTATTTCAAAGAGCAGCGTTTCCTGATGCACCAGTTTGCTAACTATCACGAATTGCCTGATAAGTCTGAAAGGCATAGCTTTAAAGCTTGACTTTACAAATGATATTATGGTGAACATAATATGCCAAGACTTGCACAAATCGATCTGATATTTGGGGAAAGATTCCCCATCAATAATGAAGACTTATGCAATAGGTGCTGTTATTATTTATTTATTAATTTTTTATCATTATTGTGTATATATATTGCATTACAAAGAGTCATTTTATAATATCGTTTATCATGCAAATTTATTAAAAAAATGTTACAAATTTAATATTGAATTTCTTTCATTTATTTTACTAGTGTGCAAGAAGAAAACTATAAATTTGATTCGAATTGCAATTCATATGTCCAAAGCTCACATGCCGAATGTAATTATGAAGCAAGTCCGCCTGACCCTATAAACATGACAGGAATACCAAAGCCATAGTTGAAATTGGCATTTCCAGAGCAATGTCCCATTATGATATTATCTGATAGATCGACAGACCACAAACCCTTGATAGAACACAAAGGCTCCCATCAATCACGAAAGGGTACCTCATTCAAAGTGCTTCATGAGGATTCTCCCAGGTCGTTGGTTCATAGATCGATAGAACGCAGACCCTAAAAGATAATGATTATGACTCGCATCCATTCTTGTCTAAGTTCGAAATGGTATTCCAGATGATACACCAAATCTGAAAGTCCATTTTATGTCCTTCCGCAAAAACGAAAGAAGAAAAAAAAATCGGCAAAATCACCGGATGACATCGAGGTTTTTCTCTTCATAGGAAATGACAATTACAAAAGTATCCTTCTCGAAAAGACACCAAGGTCGCTGGTCCTAAAACTTGACCGGCAGAGTTCAGCAGTTGATTATATAAGGAAAGCATTCTCAATTACGTACCCAATTTACTATACCTATATCATAAGGATTAGATTATACGGTTTATTTATCACCTATTATCTTTGAGTAAACTTTTATCCAGATGACCTTGAACATTTCAAATGCGGAAACAAGGTTCGAGATATATGATTTGATGACAATAATAGGTGTTTTATAAAATGCCGAATGCTAGGTCAAGAAATCGGAGATAGCCGTGAGAAACTACAATGATAATGCATGGTTTTCCCAAACGTTTAACAGCCACAAAGTACACTGACCAAAAAGACCAAAACGACAGAACCGATTTCAAGGAGCAATGGAATACCAGGGTGCTTGAAGACCTCACCACACGTGTACGTGCCAAGGGTTATAGTCATCTTAGCCCCAAACATAAAACAATAATTCAAAGTTTCTGGTGAAGGTCTTGCATATTTTTAACAGTAACCTGTCCACTGCCAAGTTTTTAATGAACACTATGGTTTTTTTTGTTGATGACCAATAAATGGGTATTATGCACATACATGATTGCATACATGTGGTTTTTGCATTATTTTCATTAGGGAGTAATCCATGTACGTATATGAACTTCACTTAGTTATATCATTCTCAAATCCAGTCCGATTTTCAAAATTTTTTAACAAAATATTTAGTTTTCAATTTTGATGTTTAATATTTTTTATCAGGTAAAGTTGTCTAACCTAATGCGAAAGTGTGAACATTTCCAGAATATTCATTTCACATCATGGAACATTCTCATGTAGAAAGGATTCATGTGGTTTCCCCATCTGTTACTTTCATGCCATAATGAATATACTCTCTTAAAAGATGACTTTATTGTGAAAATGATTATTTAACATTTTTATTATCTGATATTTCAGGTCACTGTAACATTGTAATTGAAAGAAATCACTTGAAATAATTCCTAAATGTAAACAATTGAAATTGAGATCTGAGTTCAGTTATCTATTTCAGTTTCTGTTTGATAGGACAACATTTTTCAGAAAGCCAATGTAAACATAACATTTCTTTTTCAGTCAAAGCAAGGGGAAATTCACATTTTAGCAAAGATTTGTATATTATCATTATCATCATAAATATACTCAAAAAATGGTCTCTAAATAAGAAATTGTTCTGTAGACTTGCAATGGTTACTTCAACAACCCCAATTCAAGGCCCTTCTGTTTAATCTTTAAACACCTTCAAGACCATTTAGTGTTATTTTTCTGAAAAATAGGTGAAACAATAAGAAGACATTATACAGCTTGATAATCTACATAAATATCTTCAGTTTAAAAAGGTCATAAAAAGTTGTTTTGGTTGAATGCTTTTCTGAATTTTATCTATAGACGATTGACCTACATCAAAACAGTTCAAGAGATGAACCATTAAGAGCTACATGTTTGGTTAAGAAAATCATCTTTAGGCAATTTTATTGTATTGGTCCATCTATTTTGAGCAGAAAAATAAGTCAAAGTCACAGAGCTGAAGAAACAAAGTATATTATATTATTTTTGTTTACTTGTGTTATTTCCCCACAGGGATTATATTTTTACCTTTCTAGCAACGTCAAATTCACTGATGTCTAGGTGCTAGGGCGAACAATACCAGTATAAAATATACTATTTTTAAGAGAATAGTTTTGGTGTCAGGCAGGATTTTTTTAGTTTTTCAGTTCAGGGAAAAACAGAATGCCACTGAAAATTATTAGGCTTTATGGCCTACTTTCATTATGATATTTTGCCTGTAATTAATTATTGTAGATTTTCAATTGTGAAAAAGGTTACAGGTAGTTACATAATGACCTCCATCAGTTGATAAACAACTACTTAATAACTACCAGAAGATATAAACAACTAAAAGCCAAAGACTACTAACCAAGTGAAGAAACCTCATAATCAGCAATTTCAACACTTAATTGAAAATATTCATACAAAATTTAAACTGATAGGTTAGGAGTCGGTAAAATATTTTAGTATATGATTGCAATATACCACATACAAATGTAAAAATTGTACAATATTTTGACATTTAAAAAGTTAATCTGGCCTTTATTTTATTGGTTTTTAAACCATTGAAAGTTAACATATGTTAGGTTTAAAACCAGGGCAAAGAGTGGGAGAGTACATTAACAAGCAATTTTACTTTAAATATAACCTACAACATCAGGTTTGACCTTATTCACTAAAACCTATGTAAGTGTTAGTGTTTCAGTTATTTGATTGGCCTATTAACAAACCCAGGTATATTTTTCAATTTCAAACTTGAAAGTACAAATTTTTGTAAGATATTGATGAATGCATAACAAAAACTAACTTATGATTTGTACGGTTCATTTATAGTAACTCAAGTTCAATCATCTACACCTATGATTAACTAAAATAACCTTTCTCCTGGAAATATTTCATAAAATCATAAAATTAAATCACTGTAAAACCAACTTTTCTGTAAATAGATTTTTTTTTATTATTTCCATTCTTTCAAAAATACCTCAAACTAGGCATTTCTCTTTCAATTTCTATAAATGTATTTTCTATATATGGCATACAGAAATGACAGTTGTCTTTTTAACTTTTTATTGTGAATAATTCTGGACACACACAGACTTGAATGCTCAAATTTTGACATGGAGCTGTGAACACTATTACTCATTAGTTTAGCTAAAAAAATTCCCATTTCTGAGACTAAGGCACGATTTGTCAAACTTGTCCCTTTAAACAAAAACAAACAATTCATCTTGACACATTTAATAAATTAAAAACAAAAAGATTTTGATCTCAAAGCAATTAAAATCTCCAAGACAAAACAGTCATAATAAATCTTCTCAAGCTGTTTCAATCTCAAATTCATATTTCAATTATTTGTAATTGATATGACAAGCTGAGTAACCAGAGCAGAATTTAAAATGGGAATTTCCCTAATCAATACTTTCTATTGATTGATAAGTATCATTATTTACTCTGGAATTTCAACAATTTGATTCCATTCCACCTGTTTGAATCACCGTGCTTATATTCTATATATGATAAGAACATTGTTAGACTATGTGTAATCATGCACCATATTGCATTTATTTCTCATTAGTTCATTTCAAATGTGTCAGATTTATGCAAAGAATATAACATAACAATGAGATGTTCAGAAACAAGATATTTCTAAATTTCATATTTATTATAACATTCAAATTAATCAGGTTTTTATTTCATCTATTGACATGGTTTATTCAATTTTCATCATTTGCAACATTTTATTTAACTAATCTTGATCTCCCATTCAACCCTAATGATTTCTTTTATAATTGACTTTCAAAACATCTACTACTTCCATGATTTCACTTCATTTAATTTTCATTATTTCAATTTCATGATTTCAATTACATTCAACTTTCAAGATTTCAATTACATTTAACTTTCATGATTTCAATTACATTTAACTTTCATGATTTCAATTACATTTAACTTTCATGATTTCATTTACACTTAACATTTGTGATTTAAATTACATTAATTGAGTTATACTTGAATTTTCTGCTTTTAATTTCATAATTTAAATCAAATTTCAAAGATTTCAATTACATTTGACTTGAACAATTTAAATACATACTCTAAATTAAATTTGACTTTCATGATCCAAATTTTTCAAATTTCAAATAAAATTTGACTGTAGATTTCAATGATTTCAATTTCATTTTTAATCTTTTCTGAATATGTTTTTAGGTGAGTTAAACAAAATACAACTATTAATTAGAAATCTATTTAATTTTTTCCCCTTTTATCAGTATATAGATTTAGAACTACATTTCAGAAACTATTTTGACTAAATTTTACATTTCACAATTTCACTTAAACTAGTGGTAACTTTAAAGGATAGGAAATGAAAGTTGAAAATGAAAGTTCCAGGAAATATGTGTGAAACTGAAACTCCTGTTTATTTTATCATCACTAGAACACGTGTTAGAGATCATGTCTTTTCTTCAATCTCTAAAAACTTCAAAGCTAAATGTGAACTAAGTTTGAAAGTAGGGCAAGAGAGTTACTATTTGAAGTTTTTACACTCACTATAAGTGAACCCGAGTCGATTTGAATATTCAATTATTCAGGCGGACAATACTTATCATTTATCTTACAATCTATCGCTCAAGAGTTTAAAATTTCTTGGCAAAGTTTCAATGTTTTTTTTTTATTTATTCATGTATTTGGCCTATCTTATGAGGTCTGATGATGAGTCACTCCTAGAAAAGCCCATGAACACATCATTTCACTATGACTAAATATCTATATTTATACTTATAGGAAAACCCTGGTTGGCATTGAGCCAACACACTTATCTGAATATTAACCACGGTCACAAATAGTCTTGATCATCCAGACTCTTATGGTAAAGATATTGATTAATGTCTGGATAATAAAAATAAAGACTCTACACAAGGATTCCCAATGATCCAGTTTATTTTTAGCGATTACGTTTTCAATTTCTTAAGAGTGGTAAGACAAGTTTGGTTGGTTTGGATAAGATCACGCGAGTTAATGTTTTGACATAAAAACAATTCATACTATCACCTGTTATTTCTTGAAATATTTTAAACATTTGCATCATTGTTATTAAGGTCATTATGAAAACATAAAAACAAGGTTTGGACATGATGACCTTACACTACCTTTCTCATGAAGATTTGATTAGACAAACTCTTCCATCCTGGCAAGATAATACCTCCAACCCAGCTTCCCCCTGTCAGTGTAAAGGTCAGAGGAGCTGACATGCAAAAAGCTTCCTGTCGTTTGATTGAAAAATAATTTGAAACCCAATGTGCTATAGGCTCATTGAAATTAAAATCTTGTGTAGCAATTACAAAGATTTGGCATGACGTCACACCTTACATCACCTATCTCTATCTAATCAAATGATGTTTATGACAAACCCGATGGCATCTCTCTCTCTCTGGGAATAGACACAGCAATGTTTTATCAAAATATTCAAGGAATATGGAAATTTAGGAAACTGTCAACAATTTGCAAGAATTTTCGCCAAAGACATATTTTATCACAAATACATTTTGATAAGTGGACATATTTGACATTTTAATGATAACCCCTTAGATTAAGATTACATAATTTGAATTATTTTAATAACTGATTGTGAATAACTAACCAGGGCTGTTGATTTGGTTCTATTTACCATACATGATTGACAGGAAATGCCTGATGATCACAAGTCTGTGAAAGGTGTCATTCAATGTAGGTCAAATTGCGAAATTTTATGGGGTACAAAGTTACTACAGTACACTTTTAAGTTTTGCCCAATCTCATGACAGTTGCTTGAATTGTTTAAGATCAATAAGTCCATAATTTTGTTTTCTATGATACAGGTCTTTATATATGCCATATTTTTTTTTTTTTTTGTATATCAGATCTATTAGGGAAAGTTCGTACTTTCTTATACGCCAATTGCTTAAGTGAAAGTATTGTAATGTATTATAAAGGGCTTAAACATTAAAAAACATTAAGAGATATGAAAACAATGGGGCTATTAACAAAGACAGTAAAAAGAGAGAGAGTAGCCTAATTATAAAGGTCAAGGGTTATTAAGGTGAGACTTAGATAGAAACAATAGACACTAACAGATAAAAAGAAACTACTGTTAGCTGACATTAACTCCTAAATTTAACTCATTGTACACCTTTCACCTTTACTATTTACTTTGTTCGCTATACAGGTCTCTTTTGACACAATCTTATGATGTTGAAACAATGTACTGTAACAATGTGAGGTGAAGTTACTTATCCAAGTTTCAATTTTCTCACTTGCTCTATATTGTTCTTACGGCAATCTTTCTCGTTTTAATGTTGATTTCAAAATACAACTTTGATATCCCTCTAACTGTCAAATTCTTATTTCTGCATCTCACTTAATTAAAATCATGATTAGAGTAGACCTATTCGCATCATAGTTTTATCAAGTTTAATATACATCTCTCAAAAGGTTCAGTGAATTAGAGGCTTGCTCACTAAACTGAAGGTCAAGGGTTCAATTATGGCATAGGTTAAAATGATACCTGATTTTTTGGCACACTTTCCACTGTGAGTGATGCAGGTCTGAAGGACTGATAAGGCAAAGCCTCTAGTTATTCAGATGAGAGAATAAACAATTTCCTGCATTACACACTGCATGGTGTTGCCGAATAAGGGACTTCTTTCATTTATTATTCAACTTTAAAATATACTTAGTTTTGTAGTTTCGATGTTGAATAACTCAGTCAGAAGCAAGTTTTCGTCTTGCCATGGTGCCATGGATTCTAAACCTCCTCAAGAAAAGAAAAAATCTGATGGATGCCACGAGTTGGCCTGGTGTAAGCTTTTAACCTCTATTACTATTATTTCAGCCAAGATATATATCGGCTGTAACTTGTATACAGGGCAGAGAATCGATTTGCAGTAACACCTGCAGGAAGTTTTTACATTTGCACTTTTTTTTGCCACATGTTAGTTGTTCGAAAATTTCTTCAGTGTGTACTTTAACTTCTTTCAAACCAGCATATATTCAGGTGACTCCTGCCTTGTCCAATGCCTTGAAAGACTAGAAGTAAGGCTATAAAACGTATATATTATTGGTTTTTATCAAAAAGTGCGCTTTAGAAACTAATTGGTCAGAATGGTCTGTAAATGTAGCACTACTAGGACATACAATGATTTTGTTGTTGTAAAAGAATACTTTTAAAATCTGTTAAACAGGTTTCATATAGACCAATTTAGATGGCCTAATTTATATGTCCCACTTTCAGTTTAGTAGGTTCTATAACATGTCACAATAGTAAAGATATAACAACCGGCCTCATATCAAGGCTGTAAAGTAATCATATCCCACCACCCTGGCCTGGGTATCCCAAACACTAGACAGATATGATCTATGGCAAGTACACAATTGATAAGCCAATCCTTTCTTTATTTAGAACATCAACTGATAATACAGGTTTCCTCTACATACTAACACAGTGAATCATACTCTTTAATATGTAAGTAGGTAAGGTCATAGGTCAACCCACTGAAGTATCATATTATTGTGTAAATGCAAAGTGGTTACCTGTATGAAATGGCCATGAAATCTCAGCATGAGTAATATTTATTGTTGTTTAAACACGAAGCTTGTGTTTTTCATCACGATTCATACACTTATCTTGTAATATTGAATTTCACATCAGTAACCCATACCTGCACGGCACAGTTATATATACCAACATAAGAGCCCAGCTTTTACTTGTACGTACAAGTATCTTGAATATTCCTAAGTAAACATAATCAATCTATTCGGTTCAATTGTTCAAATTATGTGTTATGTTAATAGCTAATATACTATCATTCAAAAGGACCAACTTTAAAACAACAACTAGAACCACTCTTTACAAGACCAACTAGGACCATGTTTTTTATTAGACTTGAACCAAAGTTAAAGACAACTCAGACCACCTTTTATTAGACTCTGACGAAGGTTAAAGACAACTCAGACAACTTTTTATAAGACTCTGACCAAAGTTTAAGACAACTCGGACAACTTTTATTAAGACTCTGACCAAAGTTTAAGACAACTCAGACAACTTTTTATAAGACTCTGACCAATGTTAAAGACAACTGGGACAACTTTTTTTTAGACTTGGCTAACATTTAAGACAACATGGACCACCTTTTATTAGACTCTGACGAAGGTTAAAGACAACTCGGACAACTTTAAATAAGACTCTGACCAAAGTAAAAGACAACTCGGACAGCTTTTTTAAGACTCTGACCAAAGTTTAAGACAACTCGGACAACTTTAAATAAGACTCTGACCAAAGTTTAAGACAACTCGGACAGCTTTTTTAAGACTCGGACCAATGTTAAAGACAACTGGGACAACTTTTTTTTAGACTTGGCTAACATTTAAGACAACATGGACCACCTTTTATTAGACTCTGACCAAGGTTAAAGACAACTCGGACAACTTTAAATAAGACTCTGACCAAAGTTTAAGACAACTCGGACAGCTTTTTTAAGACTCGGACCAATGTTAAAGACAACTGGGACAACTTTTTTTTAGACTTGGCTAACATTTAAGACAACATGGACCACCTTTTATTAGACTCTGACCAAGGTTAAAGACATCTCAGACCCCATTTTATTAGACTGACCAAGGTTAAAGACATCTCAGACCCCATTTTATTAGACTCTGACCAAGGTTAAAGACATCTCAGACCCCATTTTATTAGACTCTGACCAAGGTTAAAGGCTCTTTTTATAAGACAAAATTTAAGACATTGATGGCTATGAAATGACTGTTTTTGTTTCTTTGCAATACATTTGTATACAAGAACTTTGTAGTCAAACTTAAAAGTTGGTCTGAGTTGTCTTTAATGTTTATCATATATAAATCAATTATAATCATTTTAAAAACAATTGTACCCTATGAACTAACCATTATTTGTTAAAAAGATGTAAGAGCAAAATAAGATTTTTTCCTTCAAAATATAAAGGGAAACAACTTTGTTATAAAACAGGCAATACAACAACTAACTTTTCTTCCACTTTTCCAGTATTGTTTTAATTATTCAAAAATGTTGTGTAATTCAAGCACACCCTTTAGTACTTATTTCCACCAAATTCCTTTTAAATACAAATACAACAAGGGAATGTTGTGCATAGCAAAAATGAAAATAAATTGAAAAATGAAACTCCTAACTTACCTCAGTCAAATATATTTCGAAAGTACAATGTATTATCCTACTCAGATTTCCCCACAGGATTCACCATTGATATATCACATAACTGCTTCATATTCCACCATATTATGAGCACCATTCTTCATAGTTAACCTCATAATTCCCTCACCCACAAATGTTTTTGTGATTTTAAATATTTCTCTAGAAACCTCCTGTACCCGAACGTTGTCATAATCAACTATATTCTCTGCCATGTACAGCTCTCTTAATTTATGTTTGATTGGTTTCTGACTCAGATCAGTTAAGAAATTATAAATTGTCTGGAGGGAAATTTGGTTATAGCTGCAATATACCACAGTAAAACAGTTTAAGCTACCCGCTTATGTGACTTCCTACTATAAAAAAAAAATCCTAACAGAATTTTCTACCATACTTTACCTGATAGAGCTTATGAAGTGGGGCAACCCCATGCAGTATGCAATGAGAAAAATAAAGTGGCCTTAGCTTATCCTCTCAGATTTCAAACTGTCAAGGAATCTGTAAGGCGTGTGTAGCACCAAGGAACACAGTTAATTGTCAATCCGAACTAGATTGTTTTTTTACAACAGCCTCATTGACCTGCAGCACTTCACAAGGGGAAATCGAGTTGAATAATCCAAAGGTATGTCAATTCTAACCAAGGTCAAATGAGTGCGATCAACTGATGCACTGCCCTAGTTTTAAAAAGAGGTAATAAATACAAACTTACGTTATATCTAAACACTCAATATGGTTATCTCCTTGCAATATAGCTTCTAATATAATCAGGGCTTGTTTACCTGAAAATTATATCAAAAACTTGATTAATCTAAGGCAACAATTACAACAATAGCAAACCGTTTACTAATTATTATGTGAATAGTCTGGCTTTAACATTAGCTCCAACTTGAATAGTAATGGCCTTATTTTATGTCTTGATTTTGTTATCTTTGAACTTTAATCCATGGATTGCAATTATTCTAGTTTCCTATCAGTTATAGCTATTAATTCATTAGGTTAAGAAACAAGTTTACCTAAATGATTGGAAGAAATGTCAAGTTTTTTCAAAGTAGGATGGTTACACAATTCTCTGATGAATACAGTACATAAATCTGAAAGGAAGCAAGAGTAATGCATTATAAAGCTAAAGGCTTGGAAATTACAATCATTTCATGAGACTTTCATGTGTCTACTGTTTAGTAGTGTAGAAAGTCATTCATGAAGGAGCCCAAACATACTGATTTTTACCAAGTTTCTTATATACAGCTTATATATCTGCTAGCATGAGGTCAATAATTATGGGCACAATTTAAAGAGATTTTAAAAATGAATTCATTGATCTCTACCCCTTTCGGTTTTGGATAAAAATGAAAAAAATTGCAACACTACATTCAACTTCAATTTTTTGTGTATTATAATAATATTATTAATAAAATAGATTGACTAGTTTTGTGGTTGATCATTATCTCACCGCACTTTTTTGGACTGACTCTCATTTGGCCGACCTCCATCAACACATGTATCAGAGGTGAGTCATACAGTCACTAAGTTTCGCAGTATTCGAAACCCCAAAAGGCAATATAACTGAACAATGGATACAAAACTGGTAAGATTGGAACAACAATTACACTCTAGGTAGATAATATTAAAAATATTAACATAAATTGCACAAACCTTTAGAGTCGCTCAAATCAATTAGTGTGTGTGAAAGAGATAGGTTTGTTAAGGTTATTTTCTTCCTGATTAAGTTTATCCAACCATCAATCGTTACTTTACTCAGACTATCTTGAAGACATAATCTTTTCAACTGCCAATCTTCAATAATGAAAAAAATGGTAAATGCCAGAAATGGAAATAATAGTTAAGACTATTTGAATTATTTACAGAATTTTGTGGTTACATCTCCGAATGGCTGAAAGTCTTTTTGTACTGATTTCCAACCAAAGTTTAATTCTTTGTAATGTAGGATTGAAGATGATATCATTGCATTAAATTACAGAACAGAATGGTAAATATGTAAACTTTACCTATGCATTGATTACTTGCATAATATTACATAACCAGATAGGTAAAACATTTGAAATAATCCCCTATTTTGAAGAAATACGTTCTTCTTTTCTTGATTAACCAAGAATGGTTTGAGTATGATAAGAACATTTATAAAATCAAATGCTGTAATCAGAAAGTGACAAATTTTTTTTAACTTACTTGAATTAGATATTAGATGAATGAGCTGTTCAGATGTCTTTACACAATGTACTTCCAGATCCAAATCTTCTAATATATGATTAGCTTGAAGAAGTTCATATAATTTACTTTGTCCAACAGATCTTATATTAAATAAACCTGTATGTAATTTCATTCTCTTCGCTATGTTACATACACCTGAAATATAAAACACGTTGCACACTAAGTAAGCTACATAACCTATATTTATAACGGAATACTACCTCTCGGAATGAACATCAAATTCTTATTTAACAAACTTGAGAACTATAAATTTACTAAAAACAAAATACAACTCACCTGGTATTTGAAGATTTTGAAATCTTTTCAGCTCTGTGATATTTGTTTCAATACCACTTATACTTTGAAATGGCGTAATTGCTAATACTTCTAAATATTTACTTCTATCATAGGATCTTAAATATTAATGTTAAAGTTTCCCATATTAGTGGCAACCATGGAAAAAGCATCTAGTCATTTAAATGGTACAATATACGAAGGCCCTGTGTATTATAGCTTGGCTAATTTCCCTCATAAGCGCCAGTTTTCATTAGTATAGTAGAATCATATGCAGATAAAATTCATTTAATTTAAAGATTAGAGGATAATTGTTTCTATAATAATACAATAAATTGTTATTTAATCATAAGAATTTTAAACTTACATGTTAAATGAACTGTAGGATTTTATTAACTCATTAAATACCAAGGCTAAATTTCCAGCTTCAGGTAGTAAGAGATTCAGGCACAGATGCGTTAATTGTTGTGTTTGTATCAAAGGTAGAATACTTCTTATCAATCTTCTATCAGTGTCTTTATCTACAGGAAAATGAGGAAAATTGTTTGATCAAACAAAATAAATTTGATGTGTTTTGGGTCTAATCACATTTGGAATACAAGTACTGGTAATATTACAGGTTAATGTCAACAGATTTTGTTCAAATACGCAAGACTCAAAACTTCATGGTTTATTTGTTCATGTACAGAAAGTCTTATCAAGAGGTAATTCACAAACTGTAAAACATTTTAAGCGTCAAATTATTTTTTAACTGTTCACTATGGAAACAAATGATAGGATAGATAAAAGAAATAAAACATGCTAGTACCTGCCAGTCCATAAACAGACAATTGTTTTAAGTAAGTCCATGAAGGAAATATATCAGCCAACACATTTATCATTTCTAAATTATCATATTTATTGAAGGAAAGACTGGTCACTTCACATTTGCGTCTGCTTAGGTCTAATATTTTATGACAAATTTTCCTTGGCTTGTTCCTTTGTTTATCAGGAATTAGAGCTTCATCTAAAAGATCCAACTCTGATCTCAAGTCACTTTCACTATCTGAGTCACTACAACTTGAGTCACTACCTGTTATGAAATTATTTTGCAACTCTGTAGGGTTAAGATCATCACAAATCCCAGCACAAGTACCTAATAACTGACGTAAAAGTTCTGCATCAGAGACTAATATTTGACACAAACTGATATTTGTAATTTTACCAGCACTCATAAATAATCTTAGAGTCTTAATTACACTTTTAAAGTTATTGTCACACACTAAGGAAACTTCAAGATGTGTTATAGACTGTATTAATAAATGTAATATATAAGATTCTTCTAAGAATTGTGAACAATAGCGACCATGCAGAGAAAACTTTGTTACATGTTTGATGATATTTTTCAAATCTAGTTTTTTATCCTCATCAGTGATATTAGCTAAATTCTGTGTTTTTCTGTAAGTACGAATAGGTGATCTAAAAACTTTATAGGGATCTTCTGAAAATCCTGAAATATAGAGAGAATTGAAGACATTGAAACATGAATTTCACAGATTATAGTTATTATCAAGTTTTTGTATATTTCGAGATTTCAGAAATAACATAACACTGTATTGTTTAACAGAAAAGCTTATATATAAAAAGGAGATAGAGTACTTGATGATCATATTCTAGTTTTTACAGTTGTTTTAGGCAAAATTGTTATTGAGTGTAAATTTTCAGCTCCCCCACATTTCGTCCAGGTTTTCCAATTAAAGAAAAAGATTTTTACCATGTAAATGATCATCTAATAACCAAGAACAAATACTATTAAAATGTTTATTCATATATAGCTGATGATTGCTAATGTTTCTGGTTTCTAAAAATTCATCTGTAATGGAACCATTAAACCATGTTGATCTTTCCATTCCCCAAAATCTGCCACTTAAGTGATGTCTCCAATATATCTCACTGACTTCTGTTAATTCTACCAATGAAAACATAAATATTTAATGGATATGTAAGATTTTCCAAATTTCAGTAAATTCTGAAATAAAATTGATTGATTGGAAAAATGTTAATATATCTTTATCAAACTTACTATATCTATCAATTAAAGGTTTTATTCTGTTTAATGTTTCTGCGCACATGTACTCTATCAACCTTTCCAAAACTTCTCTTGGTAATTCTATCAAAGAAAATTAAATTTTCAACCATTATTTCCTAAGCAGGTTAAATAAATATCTTCAAATTATTAAAAACTCCATTGATATTTTGATTATGCCCCTTCAATAAATAGATAAATAAATTGGTACACTTTTCATACTAGAGGGATTGACCAGATGCCAACATTAAACCAAAATATATATTTGTTACAACCACATCAAAATAGTATTGATATCACCGACCTTCAAAATAGTTATTTGGAAGACATGGTCCCATTTTTCCAATGTAACTAGCACACAAATTAAGTAATGCATCAGGTGGCATGTTGTCTTCTTTTCAGGTAGCATAACCCATCAGCAAGAACATAACTACTCAAGCAGATGAAACAACAAATTAGAAAAGTTGGTTAGTGATGTTAAACAGTAAATATCATGGAAGAAAACCCACAACTCGTTTTTTTTTGTCAATCATCTATCATTATGTTTTATAAATAATAGAAGTGTTGATGTGTTACACCGTCTATACATATGCAAGACAATATAAGAAATGCGGAAGATCTAAAATTTACATACACCCCTAAACAATCGGATAAGGTTTGTGCTTATAGAAAATAAGCGGATAACTGTCAAGCTTTACGAAATATTAAAACAATGAGCTTTACGAAAATCGGAACAGTATTTAAGTTGAAGCATTAACAACTTGATAGTAAAATATTACACGGAGATAACATAAGAATTTTTCTACACAACATTAATCTAGCCGAACAGAAGCTAGCAGGCGGTGAGATGACAAATACTGAAATCTATGATAAATTCGTGTGACAATCCGTGCGGATTATCTGATATTTACATACACCCCATGGTACGATTATGGACGAACAAAAGCTAGCAAACGTGGAGCTTGTAGACGATATTCTCATGAAAGCAAACAAGATTATTTTTATCGGAAAATTCTATAGTGGAATGGTTTTGTGTTGTCTATTGATATTTGCTTTGCAATGTTATTTTCAATTTTATATAACCCTATATGGGGTGTTAAAGGCTACTGCATGTAGGTTCTGCAACAAGCAAGTTCCCGTCGTATGTTTATGTGTACATGTATATATAATACTCATAATTAACATAGCATATATCATAAGGACAAGAACTATGAATATGAATATCGATTGATTATATGTAGATCTACCCTTGAAATTGTTGTGATGTATTAATATATTTATTTTTATGTTATATATGTTTATTATACTGTGCATATTGTTGTAGGCCTATAGTGGTAGCCTATTTGTCTCATTAAAATAAAGAATAGAATCTGTTCTGTTACCTTGAGAAATGATCCGTAATTTTTTTTTTCAGCATATGACTCCCGATTCCTGTGCAAATGCAAATGAAAAATGTCAAAGTCTTTTTGGTCACTTTCATTGTTCTTTATATTCGGGCATGTAGCTATGCCAAAGACATAATTAATGATTAATTAAAAAACATTAAAATGTTGATAACGCCCAGGAAATGGTAGTTTGGATTTTTAGAGAATTAAACGTCAGATTTTTTTTTCTGGAAAGTGATACAGATCTAATTGCCACCATTAAGCTACATATATATATAATTATTTTTGGCGAGTATCGGCTGCACTGCAAAAAAGTAATGGATATGATATAATAGTCAAGCCCACATGTATGCCTTAAATGGAATTAACATGTTCCCATACAAAAAGGCACTCTGAAACATGTCTTATATTTTATTTTGTAAGTACATGTTACAGGCATAATAGAGTGAGTGGAAAATAATTGACAATCTTGTGATTGATAGCTTTAAGTTATTGCAAAGTTATTGGAATCAAATGACTGCGTAATGTATAATATACTATACACTATTTAAACGAGAAAATATGATGAATATGGATAGTGGTAAAGAAGGAAAATGCATTCCTGACGCAAAAGAACGTTTCTGATGCATACTGTGTTTCATAAAGTTTTCTGATTTAAAAGCATCAATGGTGTAAAAGGAACTATCATGACCAATCGAGTTCAAAGAGACAGAAAACAAGAATGGTTAGATTTTAATTCGAAACAGGAAGCCAGATATGAGGCGATGCGACAGTCAAGATACAGTTCCATAGTTTACAAGCAACACGAGGAACTACAAAGAAGATTTGAGAAACAGGCGCAGATGTTTGAGAGAACCAAAAATTCTCTTCAATCGGAAATCAAGAAAATTCGTAACAGAAGGGTGGAATACCAGGATAAGTTCACAGAGTTGAAAAAGAAACTAAACTATTTTGGAGAAAGTTCTTCGATTGCCGAAAGCCGAATATCGACAAAGCACCATCGAAATTCATATTTCCGTCAGTCACTGAGGGTTAAACAGTTTTTAAGTCAATATAATATCAATAATGAGACCAATGGAATTCATATATATGGTGATCACTTTCCGGCTGATAAATTACTATTTCTTCCGAAAATCTGTCCCTCAGATAAAATTCAGAAGTCTAAAAATTCAGAGAGTGGCAGAGATCTTGGAACTACAGACACCAATTATGGAACAAAGTCACCAGCTGTATATTCACAATCGGATTCAAGCCACATTAGTAACGATACCGACCTATTTAAATTGGAATGTAAAAGAAATGTTGAACGATACAAATATAGACCGTTAGAAAAAAACTCAAGATATTTATTCAGTGTAAATATAAACGATAGACCAGCGGTTTATGGTAAATACATTAAAAGTGTTAAAACTTACAAATAGAATCTGTTTGCAATGCTATCCGGTTGTCTGGTTGTGCTGTTGCTTAAGAAACTATGGACATCGGACACTTGTATAGATCCTTCTAGTTATTATTATTCTATAATTGCGTGCATCATCGCAGATGTCATGTTTCGGACAAAGATGATAGACAAATATTTCGTCTGTTTTATCAGTGACGCTGGTCAGAGGAATTGATTGCAATTGCCAAGGATTATTGGAGAAAAGCCTGACTACATAATGGTGTACGTGAGTGAGAAAAGTAATGAGGACATTTCGTAATGTATGTTTACGGACAACAATATCTGCATTGTTCCAAGTTCTTGATTTTTTGAGAGCGCATTGTATTAGCAATTATACTGTATATTTATCTTAGTCATTGTTGGCTCTGCGAGAGTTGGCTGACCTGAGAAGCCAATTTGGTTTACAAATCTCTGGGGCCACCGTTGCAATTGAGTTAACATGAGTTTATTTTATGGTACAACTATATTACTTCAGCTGTTATTCAAATTAAACTCTCGCTACAAAAACTATATATTTATTGTGTATTTCATCTAAATATAATAGTAACAAAAATATAACAAATGACAAAATGTAACAAATATTCAGCTCAAGATAAACAAAATTATAACTATCAGTTTTATATAGGCCTACTATTTACTACTACTAACATTGGCGTTTTTTTGTATAATATGTTAAATAATTCAAAAGCAAAATCATGGGAAAGAGAGCAAAATGATCTATTATCAGTCAATGATATTCATATTTCAAATAATAAATCCTTAAAAAAATGTTGGTTTTATTATTGATAAGATAACTTTTCAAGATCTATCATTTGTAACTTTTGTAAGGATCATTTAATCTTAAAAATATTTTTATTCGGCAGAAGATACAACAGATCCTGCTAACATGGTTGTGATCTGATTGATTTGTTCATCTCGCATATTTTTGTCTCGCTGTTGTCGATTGGTCAACACTTCACCATCATCGCTTCGTTTGTAAGGTGATTGCAACATGGAGTCACGGTCTGATAACATGTCTGCTGTTGGAATATTTATAGAATATCCATTATAGTTATGTTGTGGAGGAGACATGGGACGGCTAGCTACACTTCTATCAGATAAACCACCAACAGAATCTATATCTAAATCTTGTTTTGATGATAACACAGATTCTCCATCAACATCCCCAGCAAATCTGACACAAACTGTCTGTTTGTTGTTAGAGATGTGCGAATGATCACCTTTAGGATTTCTAATAGAGGATGAGAATTTAATGTATTGTGCATCACTTGGTGGTTGATAATGTTTATTACTGGCAGCAGAACTGATTCTACTGGCTCTTGATTTTGCAGAAGTGGAATTTCTAGGATTTGGTGATATGGATTTTCTTGGCATCTCATTTACAGGAGATGATTGTCTGGCACCAGGAGCAGATACTGACAGATCATCTGAATTAATTGTTGCTGGTAGTGTTGATGGTACAGAGCGCATTACTGGTATTAAGAGGTTACCAGTTCCAGAGCTGTGCACTACATCACTTGCTGCACGACTTTTAGAAGAATTGCTGCTGCTCAACCTATTCTCTCTTCCATTTTCAGACACTTTGGCACTTTTAATTCGGTTCTCAGTATTTGGGCTATTAAATTTGTCTTTTTGAAAATTAAAACTTTGTACATTGTATTGATTCCTGTGTGCAATGGCATTTCTTAACACATCATCAAGAGTCATATTGTCAACATCACGATCCTCCTTGGTTGATTTTGAATCAATTTCTATATTTTTAACATGGTGATATTTGGATTGTGAGGATTCTGGCTGTTTCTGTAGGCGATGTTTAACTTTAAATCCTGATTCTGTGTTGCCTCTAGCTAGTTTAGGACGTTCATCAGATTTGACCAGTCTTTCAAAAACCACAGGATGAGACTCACAAAGATTCTGAAAAAAGAAAATGATGTAAGATGAGACAGTGGGTATCAAATGACAATAAACAGGTTACAGATCATTAAGAGGTTTTTGCATTCATGAACTTCTCATGGGTCCCAAGTAAGGTTGTGTTAACTGTAAAAATATGGATAGATTTGCACCAACAAGAGTTCATGTATGTAACATGAAAGCCAAAAAGGTATTAATCATTCCCAGATGATCTGTTCCCATTCACAGCTGAGTAGACTGGATAATGAGAAAAAATTACTTATTAAAAGTCACCAGACTTTCACATGCTGACTGATATTAGAACCCACAATCACCATTCATTTAACGTAACTAAGAAATGTCATGTAAAGTTGCTAACGCTCTAGCTGACTGTTCTGCAGAACCCCTCAAAATACTTACCACAACTCTTGGAGACACAACTTGACCTTTAGATTCTACAACTTTAACATCAGTTTTAGCAACTTGATCAGTCCAATTCAAGGGAGTTGAGTCAGCTTTCTTCTTCTTTGGAGCCATTAAATCATCAAAGTTTTCCAAAACACTAAAAAAAGAAGCATAAACAGTTTCTGCTTAAAGATGGGTTCCCTAATTTTCATTTATGAAAATGAAAATGCTAATACTTATATGAATAGAAAGTACAGGTGTACTAATGACTTGGAAAAATACCAGTTTGTCTCACATGTCCATAATTAATTCATAATTAGCTAAATTAAAAGATAATTACCAGAAGAATTGTAATGAGTGACCGATCAAGAAAGGTCAAAAAGTCTTTTTTTGTTTATCCAGACTGTACATAGATAGACATTTATGATTGGTTAAAACTCTTAATTATATGCAATAAAAACAAAAAAAGAATCCAATAGTTTGCTTAATTTGACACTAAAAAATAAGGAAAACCATCTTTAACAATAATAAATACTTATTTTCAGGTTTGTCAAGCTCATAGAAACAAATAAAAAATTGTACACTTACATGTCATTAAAAGCATCAATATCACCACCAAATAATTCACTTTCCTCTTTTGATACAGGCTGTATACTTTCTTTTTTAATTCTCTGTATTCTGTTAGAATGTACTACACCATTAACTCCTATTCTTACTTTATCACCTTTCTTCAATGTTGCTGCCACTTTATTACCAACATTACCATCAATACTATAATACTCATTCTGGTTGTGTACACCTAGACAAACATATTTTATTATGTATAAACAGTGGACCTAATGATTTTTCAATCAATTCTATAATTCATTCACATTGGTTAATTCCCATTATTATTATTTCTATACTAATCATTACTTTTCTGTTTCATTATTTAAAGGGATTGTAAAGAGGTCTTCTAAAAGATTTATGTCTATAGGGTTACTGATAAGATAGCATAGATTTGCACCATTCCAATTATTTTAAATCAGACGTCAATCATTTTTGTGCAATTCCACTTAAATTATGGGTTTTATGACGTCACCATCACAAAGGTTCTGATATATCAATAGCAGTTTTTACAATAGTGATGTCATAAAAGCTTTTTGTGAAAGAGCCACAGACGTGTGACTGAAATTTGGAATGCTATCAGTGTCCCCATATTATTTAGACATTAAATTCAGCTACAAAAAAATAAAATTTCTTTCACCAGCAATTCAAATATCAAATAGGCCAAGAAAAAGATAATAAATATTTTTCTGGTTTCACAGAGTAACCGTTGGTTACTAACCGAGAATGACAATAAAATCATGCACAAGTTTTGGCAACACCTGATCAAATTTACCTGTAAATGCATCAACTAAACCATGTTCTTCATCATCTTGATTACCACCAAATGTTAACCAAGTGTTAAATTGTTCAGGATGTGAGTTGTTAGCGTTTTTCTGTCCACGTATATATTTTCCTTGATTCAAATCATGATGTTCAGGTTGCCACATCTCATGTATTTGATTGGTCAATTGTTTAGAAGATCTTGCTGAGTCTAAAACATCTTTATCGACACGAATAATCATAAATGAGTCTCTCATTTCAGTCTTCTTAGGTTGGGATGAACCTTCAAAAGAAAGTACAGCATTAATTAAGGGGGTTTTAATCTTAAACTTTTGCTGCAAGTTTTCTCATGATGCAGTTTTATGATCAGTTAACTTTTATGAAAATAACATCGATCAGTTTGGTATTTTCATTCAAATGCTTTTTGAGGATCTTTACAGATCTATGCACATTTAACACATAGATGGGTGACCTTCAGAATGCTTTATTTTAAAGAATGATGGATAATAATGTCAAATGGATGACAATGGATACATCAAAACTTTTGGCCTCAAATCAATGATTAAACTCCGCCTAGCTCTCGCTTTAAAAGATATATAAGGTATTTTGTGGTTTCTAGTGAAATTCACACTGAATTTTGTGGCCTGATGGACTAAGTTAAACACATAAGTTTTTGGAGTTAGTGTGTGAAGAGAACTGATTCATAACAATTCGATAAAGGCACAATATTCAATAGTACTAAAACTGAAAAATGTACCTGTTGTTTTTGGTCTTTGCTTTTTAGTTGATGATGATGGTGTTTTAGTGTTTGATTTGGAGACTTGAGATAAAGATGTATAGGGTCTACCTTGTACTTCAACTGAAAATGGAGAAAGGATCTTAAAGTTCAAAGTTCATACTAACCCTGATCCAACTATACATCTATCTGATTTTTTTTAACTATTGCACACAGCCATGTTTACAGTCTGTTTTGTATATATGAACATGCAAGAAATTTGTGAATGAAAAAATTGGTTACTCTTTGTTGTTTCATACAAAGCTATTTGGATAAAATATACCACAATCCCATTTATATCACAAGGGGGTGTGGTTTAAAAGACAATGGAGGAAACATTACTAGAACTTACTGTTAATACGTTGAAGTTTTCTTAAATTCATATCACCTTCATTCTGATTTTTCTGATTTAATGGAGCAGATTTAATATTTCTGTAAACATAAAAAAAACCATTCCAAGCATGATCATAAAATCACAACAATAAAGATCTTCAATAAGGTGCACAAGTCAACTAGAGTACAAAACACAAGCAAATCTATTTCTGATCCAAAAGAAAACTAGTCTTATCTTTCTATGTGCATTGGGGATGCTTGTATATTCTTTACACACTATAGGTTTTCTGAAGATGCTCTTATTGACAGATGACAGTTTTAAACAAATCATTTCTTTTCAGTAACATACCTATTTTTACTATATATTTTATGAATTAGTTGATGTTGTTCTTGTAATATATCTGTTGAAGATTTAGGCCTATAGGTTCGAGTACCACTTAAGTCAACGTCCACAGTACGACACGATAACACTGGTTGAGGAGGTGTATAGCCATATTTACTTTCAATATCTCCCAATGGACGTTTCTGTGATATAAAAAGAAAACAATTGACTGTTGCTTTCTGGTGTTCTTTCTGTTATATAAGCATTCCCCATATACATATATATATTGAGGTCGTTATTTCACCCATGAGTGATATCTGATCCATCTCTTTTGAAAGAAGTTATGGACACAGAATTTTATGTAAGCTTTTTGTGTATCATTAATTCTTGTGAACTACACTATTTTATCTTTATCCAAACAACTGGAAAAATCTTGGAAATTCAGTAAGGTTTTGAAAAATCTGGTCAGTCATCTAAGCAAGGCTTTTGTAACGACAATCTGTTGTGAATTATGTAAAAACATGATGATAAATAAAAGTATAAATGACCTTAGCACGTTTTCTCAATATAGCAGCAGCTCTACGATCAGCAATATTAATGGCTGATATATATCTCTGTGTCATCCTGAGTTACTTCTGCATTAGATCATCATTTTAATCCTGTAAAGATAAAAATAAATATCATAAAGTTTAATTGATAAATGTCTATTAATACGTACAAAAAAAGTTGAGACTTTAATTTGTTTTTTAAATACAGAACTATAATGTTTCGAACACTTTTCTTTAACTAATGTTCAAACATATGACTTAAAGATTTTTTTTTAACAAATGCTCCTACATTTATACAGCTTTTTTGACTGCTCTAACAGTGTACAGTTCTATGTATACTTACAACTTTGAAATATTTAAAAATAAATATACTGTTACAAACATACAGATATAAATTCTCTTTAATACATCTTATTAACTTTTTTCCTTATAAATTCTCTTAAAGCTTTATATTTTCCACATAGTGTCCTCATAGACTGACTGTCTAATACAGATTAATGTAGAGTGTAGAAAATATTCACACAAATTCAATATTGACCAGTCACTAGGTAAATATATAAGCTATAAATTTATAGTGAAAGGATTAGATTTGGGGATTATCTTTTTAATCCGTCTCATATCTTTTCGATCAAATCTATAGATCAATCTTTGATTTATTAATAATAATGTATAATCTGACATTAGTATTTCACTGTCACTTATTAACAGATTATTCTATTCTTGCAAGAACAAAACATTTTCTTATTGTCTAAGCAAACTAAAAAGGTGTTTGAATTTTTTAATTATTTTGACGAGAATTAGAATAGCAATATTAGTCATAAAATGTCTTTGTGTGGATAAAAAGATAAACATGAGCACACATTATTTCTTCGAAATTTGTTTTTACAGAGAAAAATTTCGAGAAATGTGTTTCTTTTCATCAGGTGTTACAAAAAGAGTACCTTATATTACTAGTCTTGAAATGAAAATTCTTACAAGATTTTAATCTTATTTTAGAGCAGGGAAAGTGATTGGTATAAGATTATCACATAGAATTGTTTGACAATCTTTCTATAAAAAGATAAAAAAAAAAAGCTATACAAAGAATTTTTCAATTTCAATATCTAAGTTTCATTTCTAAATTCAATATTTCCCACTTGTGCATGTATATCACCCTGAAGAGACCGGTGAAATTTATGTCAACAGCCCCTGTTATATCCTACAGTAGGCTAGCTATAGATACTAAACACACTATCTTATATTAATAGATATTACTCATATCTAGAGGTCACTTGGCCTCATTATACCTATTCAAAAATATTCGCGGTTCACAAAAACACCTGAACTGACAACTTTTAGAAGCATTTTAGTCTACTTGATGTTGATTTTACAAGATGCAAGGAGATGTCATTAAAAAGAGTCCTAAGACATTAGTTGAAATAGTTATGTTCCAGTTTGATATAAGGTAAACAATATTTCAGAAATTCATCAATTAATTCCCAAAAAGAAATATTAAATTTCAAAATTTAAATTGGCTATTCATTTATTTTAGTTACAAATCAACCAAATTTTATTCTATTGTTAATAAAAAGCTGTATTAGCAAAACAATTCTTTTATCAAAATCTAATCCAAAGTATGGCGAAATTGAGAGTAAAAGTTGTATAGCAGTGGACTCCTCCAAAGAGAAGTATCATCAGGTGTTACAAAGAGAGTACATCTTCTTTGGAGATCCTACCGTAATGTACAACTGTGCACTTGTTGCATGCAACAATAACATCATACATGTGTTGGAATGACAATTAAGTAAATAAAACATATCTAAGGAGTTTGGATTATGAACTTGAATTTGGAAGAAATAATATGATACTAACACCGGTTTGATAATAGTATCCATATTGCAAAATTATATCATTTCCTCTTGAAATAAATATTGTTTCAAATGTTGGAAAGCTGGAAATTACATGATGTAATATAGCTAGTGGCTTTACTATAAAAATTTGAAAGCATCTTGAAATTAACCATTCTGCTAAAGATCAAATGGACTGAACTGTTCCTTTTCACATACCATCATTAGGTTCGAACCACTAAATAACTTTACAGAATAATATTCCCTATTCAAAGACATTTAAATATCTCAATCAATCAATAGCAGTCAATACCTAACAATATGGTGGATAAATGAAATCAGATAAGGCTATTTATCTGTCAATCAACAGATATTGACTATTATTAAGAGATATTATTTAGTTAATCTGAATTCACAACTTATTTCTATTATTCTCAATACAAATAATATCTGAAAAAATCATGAGCAACTATAGCATTTTGCAATATTTGGTATTCCAGCCAAAATAGTGGGTAACTCATGAGGTAACAGGAGTGCATCCATGAATTGTATGCATATTTGGCACTAGAGCTTCTAGCATACCATTTCAATTTCCAGGTCAAACCCTATGGTTACTGTAATTCTAAATTATGGCATCATTATTTACAAAAAAGTAAACACATGTCATGTGGCAGTATCCTACTCTACTCAGTGATTTCCATCTACCAAAAGATTTCACATGAACAGACTGTGGTCCATTTGAATATAAACTATTTTGCTATGTAAAATGTAAAATGAAATGAATGGAGTTTTACTCTTCTGCACCTATGGCTAATGAAGACAGGCAACACCATGCACTGTGTAGTGAGGGAAATTTTCCCAGGACAGCCGCATTAGCTTACTCTTTTTCAAATTCCAACTGCAGAGGGATCTTTAATATTTTGCTATGAGAGCCCTTGCAATGTTGAGAGGAACAATCAGATTGAAGTCACAATCTTGGCTCAATATGGACCCTCAGGTTCAAGCATAATGAACACACATCTTAAAAAAAGTGTCTGAGTTACTGCTTCTGCATGACTTGTCATCTACAGGAATAAGAATATCAACAATTTCTTTTTTATCTCATCAAGGAATAATGATATTGATAATTTTTGTCATCTAGGATTAGGAATACTGATATCAACAAAATTTTCATCTATAAGAATAATAATATCAACAATCTCATCATATGTAGTAATATTAACATTGTGGTTATCCACCATCAATAACAATTAACAATATCAACAATGTTGTCATTCATAGAATTAAAAATATCAACAATTTTGTCATCTAGAAATAATAATTTCAACAAGTTGTAATGTAATCTAGGAATAATATCAACAATATTTTCATCTACAGGAAAAATAGTATAAATAACGTAGGAATACTAATATTAACAAAGTTGTAATCTATAATATCAATATATGAAATTTATTGTGTAAGGTAATGTCAAACTGTTATTTACATGTTGCTACAAGGTATCGGTGAGTGAAATTTTAAATCAATTAAAAACAATGTTGTAAAATGTAACACTTACGACTATATACCCTTGTTAAAAATCAGCAGTGTGTGGGATCAACAAAACTGTCAAAGATGCTTAGCTACCTACCAAAATATGTGTCAAAGAAATTGCAAAGCATGATCTAGTACTCGTAGTCCTTATTCATATCATCCACTCGTGAAAAAACGCAGAAAAAAAGATAACATAACACTTATCTGATATCCCGTTACCTTGTTGTCAACAACAACAATAGCCTCGAGGTGAAAAAAATCGTCTGCTACTAGAAAAATAAACATAAATAGAGAAAGTCTTTCAGTCATTAATTAAATGTCACCTTGTAATTAGATAAGTAGTAAAGTGCAATCATCGATTTAATTTTATTTAAAAAATATATATATGATTAAGCTTTTGGCTCCTGTGCCAAAATAGAAAGGAAAATTTCGCAATACCTGTAATTTGACACGATTCTACAGATATAACAGTAACCTCGATTACTGATTTCTTACCAAGATAACAGTAAACCAAAAAATAACTACTTGATTATCCAGTCTTTGACTGACGTAATTCATAATCCGAGACACTGAATATTGAATAATATATGTTAAATGTGGATGCCTATGCTGGCGATATGGGCATTTCTCTCCAGTGTTATAAGATTATAAAAGCATGTACTTAGACAGAGTTTCAGACTAACAGTGTCTAATGTAAAAACTGGATAATCTAATGTCAAGTACCTGCAAAACTTCCAAACGAGGCTGAAACAATAACATCGTTGAAAGCGGGCTCTTCCCGCACCGGAAAAACTGTTAAATATTAATCTAGGAGGTCAATTTGGATAAATTTTCAAGCGAGATATTGGAGGAAGGTGACAGATGAAACTCAGAAACAAGTGTCAGATTTCAAAACCACGGATTTTTTTCGAATTATGATCAAAACAAAACGCTATCTCGCATGAAAACTTTCTCAACAAAAATGGCTGATGCACTTGCAAAACCCGAAATTGTCGACGACGCAGAAGGTGCATCCTGCGAAGTTCTCGACAAAAGAAACGATTTTCAAGGACCCCACAACTGGAGGCACAATTTACGACATGTTGAAGAATTGACGATAAATGGCAGTTCACATTCTTTTGACGAAAATAAGGATTCAAGGGCAGATAAGCCTGTCTTGAAAAGGTGACAGTCCTTTTCTTTTAAAACAAAGACATGTCAAGTTTTATTGATTTTTTTTTCCTTTCCAGCAGTATGAAGGGAAATACTCAGTATATGAGACTATTTTTTTGATAAATGAGTTCTTATCATAATGTGCAAATATAGATTAAGTTTAGATTTAAGCTGATGAAATCTGGCTAATTAAATTCATGATTATAACATAGAGCATTATAAATGGCACCCTCTATTACTTACATACTATCCCCTACTTCAGCGAATACATTTAAATACTAAAAATTCTTGCATGGATTTCAGATTCTATATAAAGATTTCTCTTGATTTCAGCCCTGATACCAAAGATGTCAAAAAGATTCCTAGACCTCATGACATCAAATTAAGAGATAAGTCAAAACCTCTTCAAACCCCGACATGGAAACAAGCTTTAATAGAGAAAAAAGGGATTCGACCAGTGGTGAGAAACACTTTTTTTTCTTGAAACTCTCAGTGTCTGAAAGTTTGGAAAATTCCTCCTTTTATAGTTGAATATTATTGAATGTCAGAAAACCTCTAAAAAACTGTTTCTTAAGTATTTTTTAGATGTTGGAAGCTTTAGATTATTAACCCTTTTGAAGCTTTATGCATGCCTAAATGGAATGCAATACTAACTCATTTTAATTGTCTGTTTTTTTTCCAAAAATTGACAGTTTTGTATTGATAAAGGTATTGCTAATAAATGAATATTAAAAAAACACACATAGGAAATTTAATATTACCATATGTTAATTTGTTATAAATCGATTTAGGTTTGTGCAGATTTGTTGTATTATTGCATGTCACTTTCCTGAATAGAAATTGTCTAGTTTTGGTCTAACTTGTAGTCAAAATCTTAATATAGTAGATGTGTGATCCTATTAATATTGTAGGTGGCTAAACATAGTCAAGAGTCTGCTGCATCACCTACCACAGCACAGGTTTGTTCCCTTTAGAGAATTATTCTTTCTTTTTATAAGAAATTTTTTCCCTGTTATGCACAGGGTTTATTTTAAGGAGTATCATATTACAATATGTGAGTCAAAATTACCCATTTGTGATAAAATTTTCAGATGATTTCTAAATTTACCATGACCTTCAATAGTGAACACTATTTTAATGAACCTATTGATTATTGATTTTCTTAACTTTTTATGTGTATCACAAAAGCTACTAATACCTAAGAATTCTTATTTGATCCCAATTTGTTGTCATATTTGAATCAAACTTAAAATTGATGATCCAAAACTGAAAAATGCTACTACAAGTTGTTAAAATCAAATTATTGACTCTAAGTTGAACCCTTGTTAATTAGCTCCTACTGTCTAGAATTGCTTGAATTAATTAAGCCAGTCAAGCCACAAAAGAGGCTTTATAAGATTATTTGGGTTATCAGCAGTAGACTGAGAATCTTGTTATCCAATAGTTTCAAATTTGTTTTTTAAATTTACTTTAAATTCTAAAAAAAAATTGATTAAAACAGCAATATCATACCTACTTATATTTAACATTTTATAGAAAAAAGATTACCATTAGAAATTAATGTGATATTTAATGCAAAATTGATTTGTGTATTGTTGAATTATTTTAGGCCCCAAAAAGACGCAGCCTTACCTCCGGTGCGGAATCTGCCTTTACTCAACAAGTAGTCATTCCTGTACAAGGCATTCAGAGGAAGAGGGTTTCACCTTCCAATTCTGTAAGTTGTTCATGAACGTTTAGTATGTAATAGTGTAATGAAAAATGGAATGAAATAAGAATTTAAAGCGTAATAAAGTAAAGAAGTTTTGCAAATTTAAGCATCTTGTTAATTTTTTCATTGGTGTTTTTCAGTTTCGACAAAGTAACCAAGGTGGATCTGCTACCAACACAGCTGAATTGACAAAGAAAAGAATAGAAAGAGTTCAAAGAGCTAGATTATATCTTCTACAGCAAACTGGACCCAATTCTTTTCTAATTGGTGGAGATTCACCTGACCATAAGTTTAGAGTCATAATTGGACCTCAGGTAGATATTATATTTGTATTTCCATATTTCAAAATTGGAAACTCTTAAGTTTACTCCTGTCTGAAGGTAGAACCATAATTTTGGTTGGCAAAGAGTTTAAATTAGTTTAGTCATTTGTTGTCATATCTGGTTATGATCATTTGGTAAAAAGATCCCTGAAGCTGTTTTATTTCTTGAAATGATTTTTGAATTTCAATTTTATTTCAGACATGTAATTGTGGCCGAGGTCCACATTGTGTACATGTATTGTTTGTTATGTTACGAGTATTTAAACTCAGTGAAACAGATTCTTGTCTCATAAGTAAGACTTTAAAAAATTACGAGGTGAGTTTTCCTTGTTCTTGTTTTCTTTAAATTTAGTGTCAAGTTAACTGTGCAATACAAAGATATATATATGCTATGTGTATGGTAATACACAGAGCTTTTGGCAATAATGATAGAATATTCCATTTAATGTCTTGAATTTGAGTTCATTGGATTCATTTTGAATCAGTACTCTGTATTAATATAACAAACTGTGTGAAGAGTTATATGTACAGTTGATTCCACTTTTTTCTGTTATGTAACTAAATTTCATAATTTTTCTTTTGATAGGTTGAGAATCTGTTTCGAGTGTATCATGATAAACAATCATCCCGGATTAACAAACGTAAAAACATTCGACGGAAACGTTCTAAAGTTACCTCAGATGATGTTATGACCAATTCAACTGAAAGTATAAATTTACATAACGAAAGTGATGCTGGGTAAATAAAGTTTCCTTTTTTTTGCAAAAAAAGATAACCTACTGGAAGAAAACAAATGCAAGTTATAGGCTGTTTTTTTTTGTAAAGCAAATTTAAAGTAAATGATAGACCTGAAAACTTGAATTAAAACTAAATAGAAATGAATATATTATTTGTGTTTTGGTCTTATAGAAGTGTAAGAGAAGAAGAAGAAACATGTCCAATATGTTTATTAGAGATGTTCGAAGGAGAAAGCTTATTAAAATGTGAAAATGGTTGTCAAAATCGTCTTCATCATCATTGTATAGCAATATGTAAGTTAATTTGAAAATTATGAAATCTGATACAGAAATTTTTGTAAAATATAGTCTATCTTCAATTAATGGGCATTTCACCCAGTGCAATATTCAGCTACCTATGTTGTTCTTCATTTGTCAAGAAAGCTAAAGCCATGGCAGATATGATTCTTGATAAAGACTGAAATGGCCAGTGAGGTATCCAATATGCAGTTTGTGTTGATGTTTATTCTGACAATGATATATTATTTTCAGGGTTTGAGGATAGAAGAAGACAAAGTGAGCCCTTAATTTGTCCATTATGTCGAGCACATTGGACTACTTCAACTGTAGAGATGAAAAGGTAAAATTTAAATTCCCCAATACAAAATTTACTTATTGTGACAGTTTTGTTTGTCTCTATTTGTCAATCCTGTGTTGTTGATAAAGACCTGGTAGTAATTGCGCATCTGAAGAACAACTTTAATGAATCTGTTTTTAAATTTGTTTAATATATTACAGTATTTTTGAAAATTTTATTTATCCTTACAGCACCTTAAATACTGGACAAGAAGCACCACCTAACACAAGGGCTTCCTCACCACAGCATCCTGGTATAGAAGGTGATATGAGATTACCTTATGCCGAGCCTATCCCATCAGAATATACTGATATTGCTACGCCATGGATACAAGTAAGAATGGATCTTATAGTATAATTACAATTGACAGTAAAAGCCTGAATTTCCATGAAGGCTAAATTTTGTGGATTTTTTGGCCAAGCTGATCCATGAATTTACTTCAAGAAATTAAGAGCTGTGAGTGTTATTAATTGATTCAACTAAATATGGTTTAGTGGGCCATACAGTGTATATAAGTTTTATTAATTGTAATTTATTTATATCAGGTTTTAGGTGAAGATTTAGTGAATTGTCTGTTTTCACGGAATTGGTCAATACGTGAAACAGGCTTAAAACATTTAAGTAAAGAAGTTGTTGGCACGTTGATGAGGGGTGTTGGTGAAGGAAGGAGTGGTGTAGTTGTTTCATCATCCCAGTTAGAAGCTAATCATACCATGCTGGAGACCTGTTGTAATATTCTAGCCTTTATGTGTGCTGATCCTGTCTACAGAGTTTTTGTTGCCAGTTTGGTGAGTTGATTTGCTGGTAATATTTAGAATTAGAAGTGATAGACGAGTATAATATGCCTCAAATGTTTGTAAAGTGCCTCATTGCTGGGTTAATAATTGACTTGATTTTGCTTTCTCTCTTACAGCGAGCAATGAGAACAATGCTGTCTTATACACCATGTAGAGATGAAGAACAGATGTTAAGATTGCAGAAATTATTAAGACCTATAGTGGATGCTATCATAATTAAATGTACTGATGGCAATAGGTATGTATTTAAGTTTGACAAAACTTAATGATATTGTTGTCGTGCTCATAATTATCAATGTAAATATTTGATTTGTGATTCACATCAGCTCATGCATGGCAAGAGTAGAAATCTGCAGAAATAATATAAAACAAAAATCCACTCCTGTATTTTGATCAAATTTGATATCTTTATAGACGTACTAGTCAGTTATCCATATCAACATTGGTAGAACTAGCTAAAGGACAGACTGGTGAATTAGCTGTTGGTAGAGAAATAGTCGATCCAGGTCAGTAGAGTCTAAATGGACATGCTCAGTGCTCAGAGAGTGAAAGTATGGTAAAATCTCAATCTATTTTGCTTTTTAAGCAGATTTTGTCTAACAGTTACCCAGTAATATTTCCATTGTTAATATACTTATTTATTATTATAAGAATAATAATACATTTTATTCTAGACTATGATTATATTCATGCTAGTTGGTTTTAATTTATATTCCAGGAACATTTGGAGTAGATGGTTTATCATTCGTGTTAAGATGTACAACAGAAGATTATACCGACAATGTACAATGGCAGTGGTTGTTAGGACGACTGTATGTTATTGATAGATTAATCGAGACATTTCCAGATCAGTTTTCTTTACCATGTCCTTATCCTTGTATCACCAATGATGGAAGTGCTGCAGCAGGACCAGAGGAAAGTGAATCACCCCAAGTTGACTTGCCCACTAATTCTCACAAGATTCTTGATGTAGCTCAATTTTCCATCAAGGCTGTTTGTAATGCTCATACTAATATCTCTTCTTTGGCCAAACGTATCTTCATAGTGGCAGCAAAACTAAGTTTACATGTAGAGAGTGTGATTAAGGAGATAGAAAAGCTCTTTGCTCTGGTGGACTCTTCAGCAGTGACAGGACTCAAACGTAAATTGGCTAAAATTGTAGAAAATTATAACATATCTGAGAAAATTGTTCAGGAACTTCATCATGGTTCTAAGTGCAATGGACATTTTGATATAGGATCTCCTACCCAAACTTCAATGGACTCACCGGTTTCAACTCCCCGGTGCAACTCTCCTGTCACTGATACCAGTGAACAAAATGCATCAACTCGTATTCCTCAGGTGCCACCTAATACACCCACCCATCGTTCACAACGAAGAGGCTGTCGTAAAATTCCCAAAGAAGTTATTGACAAGGCTGTCTCACCTGAATTAAATGGCAAGCACAATGGTGAATTTGATGATATCATACAAGCTCACATACCTTTAGCTCAACTACGTAAATTACGCCGTGATAAATCTTTAGAAACACCTCATCGTCATGGCCTTAGTTGTGTACCAGAAAATGAACCCATGACAAATTCTGAGGAAATCAGACAAAGCATATCACAAGATTTTTCGAGTAAAAACTCAGGCAGCATAAATCTATCTGGAAGTGTATGTCGCATGATTCCGAAAGACTCAATTAATATTCCTAAACCAGAAATGGGGAGTTTATCCGAGGATGAGGTTCAGAGCATTCCTGAACTACATTCGGAAAGCATTCCTGTAATCGTTATTCATGATGAGAGTGTAAGTGGTGTGGATGTAGAGAGTATTTGTGGAGTCCATATTGATCTTGAAAGTATTCCAGAATATACTGGTGATATTGAAGACAGTATTATGTGTGAAGAGGATACTAATATAGTGGATAGTGTCCAATCTTCAGGTGTCCAAAGTGAGGACGTATCAATCTGTGATAAGAAAGACTTGAATATTTGCCTTCCCAATATAACTCTTAAAGACTCTCAAGTGTGTTGCTGTAATTGTCATAAGCAACCAGTTGATGGTGCATCATCATATTCTGGTGCTGTTGCTGCACCCAACACACCTGATGAAGGATCGGTATGTGTATATCATACTGAACAGGCTGATGAAGAAAATAGTGATGAGATGATGGTGTATCAACCAGCTGGTTGTAGTAATGGTGATAGACCTGTATCATTTATTACTGAAGTTACCCAGTCTCCTTCAACTTCCCCTAATCATGCTAGAGAACATAGTAAGTTTTTATTTCATCACTTTAGTCTGCATATAAGCCAAGATGAATCATGTAATAAATCTCTTTAAAAACTATCCTTATTGATACAAGTCTACCTGATATTATTCTATTTTGTTATAAATGAATATTTTAGGCCAAGTTAGTGATTGTCCGTGTAAAGATGAAGTAGAAAAGGAAGAAGCAGCAGTATTGGCTAAAGCTTTAGCTGTCTCTGAGAGGACTGATGCATGCCCTGTAGTACCTGGTCTAACACCAACTAGTAGAGAAGAAGTTATTACTATCAGAATACAACCAGAGGTCAGTGATTTACAAAATCCAAATATTCAATACACATTCAAGATATCCAACCCAATTTTGTTTACCTGTGACTGTGATCTGTGAATGAGTCATGGAGGACATAGCTCAAAATAATATATATTGAGCTACTTTAAGGATCTTGCTGATTATAACCACACTTAGTATTTGTATTTCTAGAACTATAATGATGTGAATGATAATGGACCTAGTATATATTTGGAACAGATACATTGGGTAAAAGGACCACTTTTAGGTACTGGTGCCTTCAGTACATGTTATCAAGCCAGAGATGTTAGAACTGGTGTTATCATGGCTGTTAAACAGGTGAATATTGAGCTATTATATAACAATATTTTATTACTACTTTACACATGATATTATACAACAATAAAAGTAAGGCTTTAACAACAAGACATAGCTTATGATTTTTCTGTCTGCCATAAAGTCAACATGAGAATAGATGTTTCAGTCTATTCAAGCCTTTGCCTTCCTTAATTGACAGCAGACCTAACTTTGAGAGCAGAGAAATTGAGTGTTTATATAACCAATCTTAATTTTTTTGCACCATTTAATGTAGTAAGGCAAGTTTACCAAAGGAAAAGATATTTTATGTCAAGTTAGAGAATGAATTCTATTCAACACTCTTGTTTTTTTCAGATTTCATTTTGTCGCAATTCATCATCGGAACAAGATAAAGTAGTAGAAGCTATTTCAGAAGAAATCCACATGATGTCCAGATTAAATCATGCCAATGTGGTCAGAATATTTGGTGCTACTAAACAAGGCTGTCATTTTAACATGTTTGTAGAATGGATGCCTGGTAAGGATTTGATGAAATTTTTGTTTAAATATAAAATCTTGGTCATCTAATACAATGCGCCCAAAATACCAGACATGCCTGTACAGATCTTGGAAAAGAATGACTTCTGAGAAACTTTTCTAGATAATCTATACTGATTATCAGCAGGATCAATTGAAAGTTTGATGATATATAGAGAAATAGAGGATAATATGCAATATTACATGTCTCCCCAGAAATCTTTCTTTTTACTTTCTTTAATATAAACTCAATTTTTCCTAAAATTTTTGTAGGTGGTTCAGTAGCCTATTTATTAGGAACTTATGGTAGTTTTTCTGAAGGAGTTATATTGAATTATATTAAACAGTGTTTATTAGGTCTATCCTATCTTCACGATAAACAAATTCTTCATCGAGATTTAAAAGGTAAACATATTTCTATGAGAGTAAATAATGCACTGTATTTAGGTTCATCCATTCTTAGAATAAAGTGATTCCAAATTAATTCAATACATCTAGAAATATATTTGACAAAGGATATTTTGCTTAAATAAATAATTATGCCTGAAAATTGATTTTTAAGGTGCTAATTTACTGGTAGATAGCACAGGACAGAAGTTAAGAATAGGTGATTTCGGTGCTGCTGCCAGACTAGCTTCCCAGACAACAGGTGCTGGTGAATTTCAGGGACAATTACTTGGAACCATTGCCTTTATGGCACCAGAGGTTTGTACAAGATAATTGAGTTTTTTAAAGAATATTAAATGATATTTTAAGACTTGCTTTTCTGCTTGACATTGGGCTAATGAATACGAGCAGATCCATGCAGTGTTCTGTGACAAAAATATGTATGGGACCCCGGCATTAGGCTATTCCTTTTTCTTTCAACTGTTTAGGTATGTTAGAAATGCAAAGAATTTAGCAAATGGACATGCCTCTCAGAAAACTGGAAGAATGGGAGACTGTAATGTAATGGATTTAATTTCTACATATTAGGTTTTACGAGGATATAGTTATGGTAGAGCTTGTGATATTTGGAGTGTAGGTTGTGTGATTATTGAAATGGCTACAGCAAGACCACCATGGAATGCTCAAGATGTATCAAATCATTTAGCATTAATATTTAAGGTGAGTTTGACAATAAATAAAGTTCTTGATCTCACTGAAATGGAATAAAACAGGCCATTTCAATCTTTTTTTTGCCATCAATTAATGCCAGATTTAATGCGTGAATAGTTGGCAGATATTGCAGACATTATTATTGATTGTTTTCAATGATTTTTTTCTTCAGATTGCATCTTCAGTGCAACCACCTCCAATTCCAGACAACTTATCTCAACCTTTACGAGATTTACTATTACGATGTTTGGAACAAAACTCAGACAACAGACCCACTTCAAAAGATTTACTTATCCATCCTGTCTTTGAACAGCTCATATCATAATATATATTCATATAAAGATATTCAATCATCTTTACAAAGTGCCAAATTATCTTTGAGATAATCTTATTGTGTTCTTTTAAACAGTGCCAAAACTTTCCTCATCTTGTCACAGCCAAAGTTTTATTTAAGTGAATTTCAAATGTGAAATTCTCTGACTGCATAATTATACTTTACTTACACATACTCACTACATAATATATGTTCATCAGTACTTACACTGGTTTAATACATTAGAATTTACCTACTGCCAAAATGCATAAGATATTAAATTTGATCATACCAAAAAATAACTCTTTATTATGTTGTGTCACTAATGCTAGCATTTCAAGTATGAGTTTTCTTAGCGTGACAAGATGAGAGAGAAGGTTGTTAAAATAGTATTACCTCGGTGCATAAATTGACTTTATTTTGATACTAGATTTTATACTTACTGACACTTCACACTTACACATTTTATAAATTTCATTTAATATTGTTCAGAAATTCCATTTTTAGGAATTCTTTCATATGAACATTTTAAATTTCCTTTTCTTTGTACGTAGACATAATATGATGATGGAAACATTTTAATATTTCTCTAGAAATTTTTTTTATCTAAAATGGCAATTCAATTTTATGCCAGTATCACTTTTATTTTTAGCTTATTCTCGTGCTCATTTTTTGTGTGTTTTATTTTTTGAGAGTTTTAATGTTTTAGTATGAATGTAGATCATAAAAGTGCTGGTTTGTTCTAATCCCTTTTAGTTAAAAACTGTTTTATATTAATCAAAATGATGTAATTTTATAGAAAGCTCAGTCAAGTTATTTTATTGTTTTAACCAATTAAAAAACACAAAAAGCACTGGATTTCATTATAGAGATGTAGACATCTTATTCAGCAAGCAATTGAACATTTTTTAAAGGGTCAGTATCTATGTACCCTTCAAATATTATTTTGCAATAACTGTGATGCATGATCCAAAAAAATCATATCTGTTTTGTCAACAATATTTTCTTCAGGTTAATATTTTTAAATGGTTGAAAAATGATAAAATAACTTGTTACTGTTCTGAGTACATTTTTTATGCACATATTATTTTTGAATATAGTTTTAAAGACCAGCTGCAGGCAGCATCTATTAGAACACATTATTAATTGTAGATACATGTACAGTGTAGGACCATTGAAGGCTTAACTTAAGGTTTATATAATCATATAAGGAGAGGTGTAATAAATTGCTCAGATTTATAAGTTTAAGACTGCATTTATTTGAACTGCTAGATACAGGGTGGTTGTTTTACAAGTTTTGTCTTTCGAATTCGTGCTCATATTTGGCCTACTAACATGAACAATTGCTCTTTAATCATGCTATGAATCAAGCAAGGTGAGAGTCTTGATTAGTAAAGCTTTCATGAATTGATTATTTATCAAGATCTCATAATCATTATTTACTGAAACTCAACATTTTGACAAATTTATTTGGAGAAGTAGCTTCACATTCTGTCATAGCTGGTAAGTTTATTCTTGATTCATTAAGATTCAAGCAGTGTACAGAATGTTTAGAACTGGCCTAAAATACAGAGTTATTTTAAATTCTGGAATAACGTTCTTCACATAAGTTACCTAAAGTGCCTGAACATGTCTCCAAATTTTGTCTGGTTATGATTGTAAAATGTGGTATATATTTTAAATGATGTAATTATTTAAGGACTCAAGGTACTGTAATTGTATAAATATTGAAAATATTTAGCATTCATCTTTGAGAATTCAAAACATGGTGAAAAAAATCAAAATTATTCCTTATCTAATTCATTTCAATTGTCTGGGATCTCTGATAACTCCATAATAGACTTAGGATGTATATGTACATGGAATCAGGTGTAAATATACCATGCATATCAAGATATATGCAATCAGATTAAAATCCATCCATGATATGACAAAATTTTTCTTCAAAGTGTTCCCCAGGGAATTTTGACCCAAGAGCATAAAGTTGAATATATTCAAAGTGTTATCTTAAGGTGACATTCTTAAGATAATTATTGATGTTTACATTGTGTGTGTTTAATTAGGCAATTTTGTGTGTTTACTGTAAATGATTCATTGGGCATTTAGTTTTCTTAAACACTGTAAAGATCTGGTTTAATTTCTGGTTTTGTCAGAATAATTCTACACATATTGGAAATGTTAAATTTTTTACTTGATATTCTATTGGAATTTTGAATGTTCCAATTTCTGTTGAATTTAAGCATAGATCTGAATATGCAGTCTAAAAAATTGAATCTGTTCGAAAGGAAGCAACAGATCAAATATTAAATCTTTCGAGTTATGCATGACTTAATTTAATTCAAGATCTTTTCTACAGATTTGTTAAGAGTTTAAAGGATCATCTACAGAAACATTCAGGCTTTTAAATTATAGACTTCATCACTCATTTAATCATGTTTGATGTTCACAGTAGATTCAAATTTCATTTGTATGTATAGCTAGGCCTAAGTGTAAGTACAGGGTGCAGAATTATAAATTGTGTTTGTGTGTTCTAAAACGGCTTATTGTTGATTTTCTTTTGGCTGATCTGGTTTTAACTAAGGATTGTGATTAAGTTGAATGGGACATACACTGAACTTTCCAAATAAATTAATGAAATGGTTATTATTTTTAACATCATGTGTGATTTTTCTATTTAGCGGAAGATTAAGAAACTAAACAGTTAAGGTAAGGTGTGTGCTTAAAAGTTATTACATTACTATTTATGGAGACTTACATCAATCCTGTTGTTTAAGCCAGCAGTTCTTTGTTATTTTGTTTGTTTTTATTTGATTTGCTCTGGCAGTATGAATTGTATTGACTGTGTTTTTATTTTTGTTATGTTTTCATCACTTCATTTAGTAAACATGTGAAATGAATTGTGTTATTTGTTGATAAGCAGGGACTTTGGTGCACTGGTTCACTACATATTTGCATACAGAGAAAGGAAAAATGCCACTTCGGCATGCAGCTGGTAAAAGGAGCTCTTTCTTGATTCTATTTTGGTCAAACTACTTCAAATTAATTAGTGAGATATAACCATTGAAAAATACATTTGTCATCAGATTTTTATGAAACATAAAATGCACATTTAAAATGAAAATATATTGAACTATTTTTTTACTTATTGCCCTTAACTTGGTTTTCATTTAGCATTTTAAAAATGCAATATAATAGGGTTAAACTCATGGGGATTAATATTTGAAAAGCACCAAAATTTAAACCTGATCTTCATGTTAGATTCACAAATCAATTTTTCAACATTCTATAGCATTTTCAATACAAAAGGCAATCATGAGTTCCAACAATATTTCTGGACAAAAAGAATATATGGGGTTGATATGCCGCATTTCAAAAACTTTCAGTCAAAAGTGATAACATCTTTATTTTTCATAAATAATTTTGAAGTTCTGTGTAGTATTATTCACTAAGAGAAAAAACATATTTTGATTTTGACCACGTGTGCACAAATACTTTTCCAATAACCAAGTGTAAAACATTTGAAACACTATAAACACAAGATTTCAAAAGATAACTAATTTACATCTTTTTCGTAAAACTTTCCACAAATCTTACTATTGCTTGTAATATTTTGCTGATTCTCCCTAAATTCTATAAGTTTCAATCTGGAATGGTTTGGAATAATCTACTAAAACTTAAAACTACCTTCAACTGTATCTTTAACATAACAAATCTTGCAACAATAAAATGACATCAATTCAAGCTACAAGGACAAATCTTTCTCAGAACATATTTTCATTCAAATAAAAAAAGTATTTCCTTCGTTGTATTTCTCAACAAAATCCTGAAGGTTAACCAAAAATAAACAGTTACCAATTGGATAGGGACCTGAAGCTAATAAAAATGTGGATAATTAAATAGTTTGGATGGTTGACAAGATTGTCTGAGATACAAGTAATCTATTTGTTTTTGGAGAAGTAAGATTGGCTTCCCTTTGGATCAGGTTTCATGGTGTCACTTCCAGGCTTCCAACCAGCAGGACAGACTGAAATAGACATTAAAGATATTCAATTGTTGGCACAATTTTTTTTTATAATAATTTAATATCTTAGTGAGGTTTAATAGCACTAAAGCGTTTGTTCTTTACATGACGCCATTTGCTTGGTTAAGTCGAGCAAATGGCGGCCGCGGGGTCTGATCAGATCATCATGTGCAAGTTCAATGAGCTTGAATATGTCATCTTCACTCATCATTCCAGTTGACCCAGCTGTAAATGGGTACAGATAATTAGGGAAAGATCAATGCCAAGAGGTTTGGACCAGCTGATAGAAATTAATTGTGAATCTAAGTTGTTATCCTTGTAGTTGTTTCTTTCTTTTTCTTTTCTTTTTAACTGACACAATTTAACAAACACTACAACTAATACATGTAGAAACAAAATTTTGTATGTGTGTTATTTAGAGTATGTTAAAACACAAACTTTTTTATTTTATTTCAAAATATAAATATATCTTACCTTCACCATGTTTGTCTGTGAATTGGAAAGCTTGTACTAATCTTAAAGTTTCATCTACAGATCTTCCGACGGGCAAATCATTAATTGTTACTTGTCTTAGATTGCCTTTATCATCAATAATATATAGTGCTCTACAATGTCCCAAAATTTAAATTTTTAATTCAAAATTGATTATTCAAAGTTGCAATTTAATTAAAGCCTACAATATGTTTATTATGTTCATGTGCTCAATTCAATATATTGGAGGTCAAATAAACATGAGGATTAATTTGATAATTCTCAGAGGCATTTAATGAATCCTTTAGTCAAATAATCATATGCTTTTTACCTTTTTTATCAAAGTCTACCTGTTAGGCTTTACCTTAATAAAACGGCTTACCTAAATGCTACACCATCATCTTCTTTCAAACAACCATAATTTCTAGATATATCAAATGTTTTATCGGCTAAAAGTGGTATTTTCATCTGCCCTAGACCACCCTGTTTTCTTGGTGTATTCACCCTGTAACAATCATATTCAGAATAAATTTGGAATCTTGGAATTCTTAAAGGGACAGATGTGCCCTTTTTTTGACCAATAGTACCCTAATCACAGAAACTGGATTTTTTTTAGCTAAGCTAATCAGCAAAAGTGTTCACAGCTCAGCGACGAAGTTTGACCCTTCAAATCCATGTTCAGAATTATCTGCGATTGAATGTTAAAATGATGACTCGTAATATATAGAAAAGATAGAAATAGAATGTAAAATTCTAAGTTTGAAGTATTTTTAAATGAATTATGTGATTTTTGTACATTTCTAGTACTTTGGAAGACTATTTACAGGTATTCAAGACCCAAATCAACCTCCTAAAATGGTGAAGTAATGACATATTAGAAAGATATTTGTCAGTTAACAGTAAAGGATCTTTTCTATCTTTATTTGCAAATTGTTCAAAGAAAATATAAATGAATTTCTTTAGCCACTTACCAAGCTAAATGTGAATAAACACTATCAGTTGAACATGCCAATACTTCACAATTAATATTTCTAAACTCTTCTACTCTGTCACTAAATGCGATAATTTCAGTTGGGCATACAAATGTACTGAAAATAAAAACAGGATCATCTGTTCAGTAATGTTCTCCACCAATACAGTATATTTGTTAAAATATTCATTTGCTCAACAAAGAACTTAATCCCCCGTTATTTACTTAACTATTATTTTTGGAAGTAAAATCTGGTAAATATGGAGCATAAGAGAAATGTACAGGCAGAAGACATTCTAATGAGCAGCTATTATTGATATCATAATATAACGTCACATGAACATGTTATTAACTATAACAGTCAGGACCAGTCATAAAAAAACAACATATATATTTCACTCTAATTGCATTTGATATCATTCAATTGACACATTACTGAGAATGAGCTAGGACAGTACATAATTAGACTATATATAGATATATCCCAGGGCTGTTTGCGTTTTTGTCAATCAGACATTTTTTAACCTATTCCTGATGTCCACCAGTGAGGACATTGATCATTGGACATTAGAGCTGCCCTACTGGTCATGTTCGAAAAATAGAGCCAAATCAACAGCCCTGTTTTATCGTTAAACTTCACAGGCAATAAGAATTGATAGAATATTGTAGATTTTATTTCATGAGACCCATACACCTTTATCAATATTTTGTTTAGTGAAGTCTTTTCATGTGATTCACCTTAAAAGGATGAACAATTATTTTGATTCATTGATCTAAATTAAGTAAAATATTTTAAGAAAAAAAGTTAACACATTTCTGCTAAAATCTTCATCCTTTGCCATTTACAAGCTTGTGTATATTGAAGTTATGATGCTAAACAAATAAAGAGAGTAAATATTGTTCAAACACTGTAAATATCACATAATCATTACTTAGTTTAGGTTAAAAGTCGTAATTAAACATTTTTAGAATTTTTCCACTTTTTGTCACAAAAAGACTTAATCTTTCTGTAAACAATTTTCACTCTATCATTAGAATGTAATGCAAATTTACAGAAAGGCAATTTATTTTTAGTGAGATTTTTTTTTCAAAAGGTATCACTGATGAATATCTACTCTTATTGGTTAAGTTTTATGTTCAATTAAGAGTTAGTATTCCTTAAAGACACAAGAAATTTGAAAAGAATAAGTATATAAATTGAAGTAAAAAAAAAAGTTCTAATCAATTAGGAAATTAAAATAATTAACAATGTTGCTATATCATAAATCATGAACAGTTGAATTTATTTCTGAGTTTTTAACATTATAAAATCAATTAAAAAGTACTGCAATTAAAAAGTTTTGAGCTTCAAAATAAATTTCCCTGTCTAAGCTGTCTAGTTGAAGCTTTCAAAATAATCCATTTCTTGCCCACAGTAGAATTCTATTACTTTAAAGCTTGTAAATATATATAAATTATTATCTCGACCTATGCCAGGTTTGAACCCTGGACCTTTGACCTTAGCGAGCAAGAGACTGGGATATCTCAAATTTTAGGCTTAATTGTGGAATACAATCAATACTTACAAATCTAAGGGATAGAAAAAGAAGACCACATATTTCCCTTTATAATCTGTTAACTTGATTTCTTTAAAGTCTCCATCAACAACAGCCTGGGCAGTGAATTCTGGTGCTGGTTTTGTTAATTTTAAATTTCCCACAGACATATTAAACTGGAAAAAAAAAGGGTTAAATATATAAATAATTCGTATTGAGATAATAACATGAAGTTATGGAGTTTTACATCCTCTTTTCCGCACCCAATTGATCTAACTGTAGTGTGCAAAGAACAGCATCACAAACCTCCTTTTTGTTCTTTTTGATCTTCAACATGTATGTACAGCCTGTACTGTCCCTAACAACAAACAATTTTCTTTGTGGAAATACAGAGTTATTGAATGTAATTGGAGAATATAATGTAACTGTCATTGAACTTAGTAACTAATATTAAATTCTTGCCTTAGTGGTTTTATTTTTTAAAATTCACAAAGCTTATCAAACTCATCATATACTTCCTTGTATAGGTCTATAATAATTCTGACAATAAAAACCAATATTAATATTTCCAGTCTTATTGTCAACGATATATATAATTTTATTCCACATACAATTTGATTGATTGAATTTAATATCAAATTAACAATTATATGACATAAAATAATGCTGTTATGATTTTTTCTCTTTATTGAGTTTCAAACACAATACAATATTTGTTAATTAAGAAATTCAGATAGTGCGAGAAAACAAATAAACAACAAAATGTGCACAAAGTTATATGACAATCTAGTGTTGGCATGTTATATCAATGAATCTAAGTATATTGTATCGAAAGGTCGTGTATCGATACTAGACAATTCCTTTCATTCCATAAAAAGTCAGAATTTTTATAAGTTCGTGGATGGAATCACAAATTGAAACTTTGAAGACAAATGTTATCTTTTATTCCATTAACCAACATCGCGAAGACAAATTGAAGACAAATGTTATCTTTTATTCCATTAACCAACATCGCGATATGTATCGTAATGTGACCCTTGCATCCTGGTATGATTGGCGACACCCAGTCTATGACAATCCCAATTTTTATGGAAAAAAAGTGATGTGTTTACTTATTTCAACTATTGCACTTTCAATATTCTTTTTATCAGACAAAGTTCTTATTTGATCTAATTAACAATCAATTAATATAATTTACAGTAGAACAAAAATCGATATAAAACAAGTAGAAAAATAACTGTATTGCAACAACCTTACCTGTTGAACACTGTTGAAGTAACTAACTAAAACTAAAAATGACAGTTTGATGTTTAATCCTATTATTAGCTACCACACTAACCACAGCTGTCTAATACAGTTTTAAACATCACATGTCCTGAACAAGGTGATACATCCTGCTTTCATACACGTGGTATAAATTGAAGGATTATTTAGGTCCTGATAAGATATCCTTTATATATCATTATAAACATGTATCTTACTGTGATATATACTATCGTATATATATATATATATATATATATATATATATATATATATATATACTACTATCCATAATTAGTCTCACTACATGCAAGATCAAGACAAACATTTGAAAATGGTCAATTTCTACACCAAATCAACTTTCTGTCAATTTTGTATAAATTTGTTTAAAATCACAAATCTTGACCCATAATAACATCTTGGCACTATAAACAACATACATACAATCTTGGACTCTGAAATGACTTTTAAACTTTTATAATTTCCTGCGATTTTTTTCCTCTGATAGAATAAATGTGTTCAGATATAATTAGTCCTGAAACCGAAATGCTGCATAGAATTTGTGATAAATTTAGAATATCTAAATTAAATTTTATACAATTTTGAGAAAGACCTTATATAAGCCACCTTTGACACACACAGATATATGTGAATTATATATATTAATCAACTATTAAAAAACACTGTTTAACATTATAACCACTTGTTGCTGCAGTAGAAATCATTTCTATTAACTAGAATATTTTATATATAATAATACCTCATGTGCATATTAATAATCACAGGTTTAAGTATGCATGTGATTGGCTCACAACTTCATCTCTGTAAAGGTCATGCTGGTATCTATCTTCTGATTTCTGATGTTGACAGATCTAGATTACGGAAAGACATGGTTGCCCACAATTTAAGTTTACAATATATCAAAAGTTAGAAAGTAAAAGTTTACCTTTTCAAAATTTTTAATGTAGTTTCTATACATTCGAACAGAACCGTACGTATCAAATAAAACTTTTAGTTACGCAATATCAAGAGCAATAATACTATATCGTGTACAGAATAAAATGAATTGGTCATAAATATTAATACAAAATATTTGCTGACTCACTTAAAGTTGTTCTGTTGCCCTTATTCACAAAAAGTATCCCCTGCTCATATTTTTTCTTTATTTAGATATATTTCTAGGCCAAAAGAAAAAATGTTGTGTTTTCGGTTATTCATTGAAAGATCAAATTCTGTATTTTATTTTGTACTTTTCTATTATGTGACTAAAACTGCATGGCAAAAAATATCTAATACACAGTATAGTATTTAAGTATTAAACTTCATGACTTGTATTCAAAGTAAGTTGAAATATATTCCTCGTATACACTAATGGAATTGTAAATTAGCTTAATATTTATATACCAGTAAGTATGTGATATTTGTTAGTAGTTTATATTATCTGTGATCTAGTTGGAAATTGCCCATTTAGTCTATATCATGGCTTTGCAAGTTGCAATTAGTGCAGAAGTTGGGCTTATCCCCTATTTGTGACTATGATTTCATAAATACAAATTTAAGCCAGCCCAATCTGAAGGCCCCCATATTCATGCTTCCTTCCAGGGGCATATCCAAAGCTCAATCTTGGCTTGTCTTTTCTTACGAGCCTTACAGATTGCCTAAAATACTGATAGGGCCAAGGCTTCATCTTCATTCAACAGCTACCATTGCAACTTTGATGACATTGGTGTGTCAACATTTAGTATGAGAGGATAGATGACATGAAACATGACAACATATAAACAGGTAATATGTACACATAAATATTTTTACTCTAGAATTAACCATCTACTAAGACCACTAAGCGCAAGTTTTACCTTTCCTCTGATATAAGATTTGGTCTCCCAATACACAAAAATCAAATAAACTGGAACCCTATTCAAAACACATTTAAATCTATCAAAATCTTTACATTTAATTAATCATGTCAAAATCTTTACATTTAATTAATCTTGTCAAAATCTTTACACATAAAAGTCCCTTGTCAAACCACCCTAAACACACAGTCTAATTCAATTCAAGATCATGACATAAATTTATAGAATATAAGATAAGTATTACCTTTCCAAAGCTTTGAATAAAATCTCTATACATTTTCATTTCAATAAAAGGTACATGACTTCATAGTATATTCAGTGTGTATAATAGAACTTGAACCAGCATTACACATTATACATAATATAATGACTATGGCTCAAATATTGAACTGGATAAAAATGATAATGGAAGATCTTCATTAGTTTCCTCAGGCATTAAAGTATAAATCAATATTTATGTCTTTCAGTCAAGGTGAAAATTCTAATAGATAAATCAATTGTTTAACCTTTAACGAAAGGTTTGATTATTTTATATTTCATACATGCACAGGCCAGATTGGTTCAAAATTTTATGTTCATGGTGTCTAAGAAAGGCTATCACAGTGGAGTTGCATCTATCCGGTTGCTGATAATCCAGAAACTGATATCCGCACGATTTTTACTGGGAACGGAATTTTTACTATGTAAAATTACCTGTTAATCCAGTGATTTTGATGCATAACTGAAGTGGCTATATTAAAAATAAAAGAAAGTTTGGTCTAATTTTAATTAGACTGCTATGCTGAAGTAACAAAAATAAAAGCTTATACAAAAATGAACAAAGGTTTGAAAATTGGGGAATATAACAGTTGTCTGTCTTGTTGATAAGGTTAATTCATTTATATATTCCGGAATAGGTGATGCTAGTCCCTTTCAACAGTTGCACAGTAGATATTGCATTTTAGTAGATGTTGTGTCTTCTATCAAAGCTAGTCTCTTCCGCCAATTGACCTTGAGTATCAACCCAATCCCTTTCTGTTCTGAGCAGTATATATTTTTACCAGCAGCTTTTTTTAATCATTCCATTGCCATAATCAATTTCAATCATACATATTGTCATCAACCTTATTGATTCACCAGTTGCCATTATCATTGATTGTCATTAATCAAACCCTCTATTGCTTGTTGTTTTAGGTGTTTTGTGTGTATATTTACTAATTTCTCTTGCCATTAAATAATGTATGAATAGATAGCCACCTCCAAAGTGTCTTGTGCTTTTCTCTTTAAACAAAGTGGAACCTGTTTTGTTCAATTCCCATTAGTGATAAAATCCATTAATAGAAATCAAATACATGCCTTTTTCGATAATTGCTTTTGACATTTATCTGTATTACATTTTCTATGACACCATTTTCACATATATCACATTCACAAGTAATGGCAGGCTGTCTTGATCTAATATTAACAAAACTATTGCAATTTGAAAATAAATCAGATCTATACAAGTCAAATTTGAATGGAGCAACCCTAATCCTACATGTTATATGCTTACTAATAGATATCTTAATCTTTGATTAGAATATATAATCAATTTATTCCAATATCCTACTGATTCATTACTATTCAAATTGTTCATCCATCACCAGAAGAAATTGGCACAATAATTGATAAACAAAGATTAACAGGTTAGTTAGTTAGAGGAGGAACCCACTAGGATTAAAACGAGGTGGAAACCACTGGGTGGAACCTGTAAAGGGGGGTGGGAATCACTACATGCCTGGCGCAAGCGAAACATGGCCTTTGCCTATGGCTATAAAATAACAAGAGGGATTGGTACCAATCAATCAACCGGTAAAAACGCAAAAATGGTCGAACAAGGATAAAAAGTACATTTTTGTCCATTCATCAATTTAAACTTTATTTAAAAAATAAATACTCACCAAAAGTTAATTATAATTTACAGGCAAATGAATATTATCCGATATTGTTTAAAAACACCAAATTCGTGCACTTTTTTTTAGCAACAAAAGCCGACAGGAACACACGTGACTGCTTTAGAAGATAAGACGAGGCGAGTTCGTTTCGTTCTTAGAACCCGGACTGAATTAATTACCTATCAGTGGATACACTGCATTTAAGATATAATCAATAGTGTCCGAATCAAATTTTGGTTATTTAGCCCCGGAAAAACTTAAAACATTTAGTTAAATTGTAAATCAATAGTAAAGCATGTGCATGATCACTTCCTTGATAATTCCGAAGGTATCCCTAAACATGTCGTGTTCGAATACAGTAAATAACGATTCAAAGGAAAAGACGTAGAAATTTTCTGATCATGTAATTCATCATATCATTTTAAAATAAACAAAACTCAATAACCCAGAATACACTACGAAAATCCAATCTTTGAATTGTACCAAGAAACAATAATAGGACGAGGTTTAACAGGGATTGTACGCGTTAACACAAATTCCTATACTGTTACGAATGCGCATATTCACCGGAAGTTAAAAGGAAGTAATGCTTGTTGTGAAAACGTTTCCTAGAAAATTATAATACCGATTTGGTTCAATCATATAAATATTCATTTAAAAAACAAAGATGCCTCGAATAATGATCAAGGGTGGTGTCTGGCGGAACACCGAAGATGAAATTTTGAAAGCTGCTGTAATGAAATATGGCAAAAATCAGTGGGCACGTATTGCTTCACTACTTCACAGAAAATCATCAAAGCAGTGCAAAGCACGATGGTATGAATGGCTCGATCCAAGTATTAAAAAGACAGAATGGAGCAGAGAAGAAGAAGAAAAACTGCTTCATCTCGCCAAATTGATGCCAACACAATGGAGAACCATTGCTCCAATTATTGGACGTACAGCTGCCCAGTGTTTGGAACATTATGAGTATTTACTTGATAAAGCCCAGAACCGTGATCAAGACAATGAAGACGATCCTAGAAAACTTAAGCCAGGGGAAATTGACCCCAATCCTGAAACAAAACCAGCACGGCCAGACCCAGTTGATATGGATGAAGATGAATTGGAAATGTTATCGGAGGCTCGAGCCAGATTGGCAAACACTCAGGGTAAAAAAGCTAAAAGAAAGGCCAGAGAGAAGCAATTAGAGGAGGCAAGAAGATTAGCAGCTCTTCAAAAGAGAAGAGAATTAAGAGCTGCTGGTATTGAAAGTCGACAAAAGAAAAGAAAGAAAAGAGGGGTTGATTATAATACAGAGATTCCATTTGAAAAGAAGCCAGCACCAGGTTTTCATGATACTTCAAATGAGACATATGACCCATTAGACCCTAATTATAAAAAATTACGACAACAGAATTTAGATGGTGAATTGAGAAGTGTCAAAGAAGATAGGGAGAGACAAAAAGACAAAAAGAAACAGAAAAAACGGAAAGAGAATGATTTACCTGGAGCTATTGCCAGTCAAACAAATTTTCAAGAACCTGTTAAGAAACGAAGTAAATTGGTGTTACCTACCCCACAAATATCTGATATGGAATTAGAAGAAGTGGTGAAAGTTGGACAAGCTAGTGAATATGCTAGACAGCAGGCTTTGGAGGCTGGACCAGAAGATGCTGCATCTAGAGGTTTACTTCAAGATTACAGCAGTACAACACCTGGATCTGTCAGTCTAAGAACAGCAAGAACACCATCAACACAAGATAATATTTTGCAAGAAGCACAGAATATTATGGCACTCACTAATGTTGATACACCACTAAAAGGAGGGCTAAACACTCCTCTCCATGAAAGTGACTTTAGTGGGGTTACACCTAGACATCAAATAGCCCAGACACCAAATACTATATTATCAACACCATCGAGAACTCCAGGAGGTTCTGAAATATCTGCTGATGGCATTACCCCAATTAGAACTCCAGTACGAGACAAACTCAATATCAATCAAGGAGAGGACATGAATCCAGCTCTAGTTGACAAATTCCAGCAATATGAAATGAAAAGTCAGTTACGCCAAGGTTTGGCAGGATTACCTACTCCAAAGAATGACTATGAAATAGTTGTACCTGAAGATGAGCATGATGGCCATGTTGAAATGATGGACACAAATGGAATGGTGGAAGATCAGGCTGACCTAGATGATAAGAGCCAGTATGAATTAGAACAACAAAGGCTCAAAGAATTGAAATTAAGATCTCAATCTGTACAGAGAGATCTTCCCAGACCAACTGATGTCAACAGCAATGTTTTGAGAGTTGTTGGACCCAATGACGCAGCCTTACTTGACCTGCAAAAAGCTGAAGAGCTGATTAAGAAAGAAATGTTGACAATGCTCCATTTTGATGCTGTCTATAGTCCCACACCATCACAGCTTGGCGTTAATCCCAACAGCAAGAAACAAACTCAAGGTAAAGCTAATCAAAGTTTAGCTCACCACAAGGCTTACTTAGAAAACAAGCCCTACCAAAAGTTCACTGAGAAGGAACTGCAAGAGGCTGACAACATGTTACAAGAAGAAATGAAATTTGTCAAGGATGGTATGGGACATGGAGATTTATCCATTGATGTTTTTTCCCAAGTGTGGGATGAGTGTTATTCACAAGTTCTTTACCTTCCCTCTCAAAATAGATACACAAGAGCTAACTTAGCCAGCAAGAAAGACCGTATTGAATCTCTGGATAAACGTCTTGAAACTAACAGAAATCACATGACCAGGGATGCCAAAAATGCTGCTAAATTAGAAAAGAAGTTGAAAATATTATTAGGTGGTTACCAATCTCGGGCTCAAGGTTTGATTAAACAAGTGACAGATACTTATGAACAATTAGAGCAAACTTTTGTTGAGTTAAAAACATTCGAAAATCTACGTCAGCATGAAGTTGGTGCTATACCTAAACGACTGGAATCCCTCACTGAAGATGTCCAGAGACAAATGGAACGGGAAAACGAACTTCAAAAACGATACAGTGAACTACAATACAAATATGACAATTTTAAAATATTAGTCAAATCAAGTTCTAAATGAGAATTGAAAGTTTTGTCATGAAATTGTGTTTACAAAAAATTTGTCTTAATAAAATGCAAATGAATGAAGAATTACATACTTCTATTGAGAAGGACATTTCAAGTTTATCTCTTAAAGGGATACAAAGAGGTTTATAGTCTTTTGGATACAAATATTGTTTTCCATTTGGACCATTCCAAATTTTGGTTCGACAACTGTGGGTACTGATTTCAGAAAGATTCGATATATATTCGCCATTCTCTGTATTCTGTTAAAATGGCAATAATCAAGCTCCATTGAAGTCAGTCTTGGAATTGGAATAGATTGGAACCCAAGATTGTCCCTGATGCCTATACAAATATGTGATCTCTACTCCTAAATGTCGCTGTAGGATTATGGAAATAAATACTAGAAATCATCTTCTGCATCCCTGTTAATGATGGCTACCACCCCTCTTCTCTATTGCATGTTTATGAGTGTGACTTTGGTGCTAAATGCATATGGAAGATCCTATCCCATGCATTGGGAGGTTTAGTTTTCTTGATGTACTCTTGAGATACCGGTACATGTATTTTGATATTTGTACTATTCATAATTAATAATTTCATGAACATTCATGTAAGTATTGTTAATTTTAATTTTAAAAAGAAATTAAACAACAATTTTGTAACTGAAAATGTCATTTGTATTACAAGTTTAAGTTTTGGGTTTTGATTTAATACATCTTATGATAGGGTAACTTCATCATAAACTGATTATTATTTTGGAAGCATGCTACACAATATAGACAAGAAAGAAATAAATACAATGCATTATGAATTTATTAGTTATAAGTTAGGATCAACATGTTTCATAAAAAAAAAAAATGATTGCCTCAAATTTGAAGTAATACACTACTGACGTATAACTGGAAAAAGTGTTGATTGACAGTTACATAGGAATTTTCCCTTAGCCAATGCCGTATACAACGATACGTCAATTGTTACTATAAATAGACCATATTTATAATCCATTATCAGGGCATCCATGCAGATCAATGTAAATTTGAACCGCGTGATGGGGCCCAGACCGTGACCTCCATTATAAACCAAAGAAAAATTATACCGATTCCCAAGGTCGTTCGACTTAGTAATTATTCTGGCCGCAGACTGTCCAATTAAATACGGCGGTGTCAGTGGGGTTGGTGAACAAAGTTTGCAATCAGGGAACAGAGTTCGCAATGATAGTGCGGGTTGTTCGGAGCGGAATTGGTCGATTTGCTGGCAAGTAGTGATCATTTTGAGAAAAATTAATGCTGAGGGGAAAACATGTGTTCCGATACCGGGAGTCGAACCCGGGCCGCCTGGGTGAAAGCCAGGAATCCTAACCGCTAGACCATATCGGAGACGTGAGGGCGAGCGGTTGTTTGCAGTGAGAAACCTGTCTGCCATTTCGGATTGAATTGTGAACTTTGAAAAAAAGATATCTGTGCATCGACCGGGAATCGAACCCGGGTCACCCGCGTGGCAGGCGAGTATTCTACCACTAGACCACCGATGCGGTTGCAGAGTCTCAAATTTATCCACTTTTTGTCTATCAGAACGGAAGAGAGGGGCTGGGAAAAGAAGACGAGAGGTTCTGGCGAGGCTCGAACTCGCCAGCTTCTGCGTGTAAAGCAGACGCGATAACCGCAACACTACAGAACCCCGTCTTCATATTTAACATGATCTGAAACACGAAATTGGCTACAAACGAGAATGGTTCGTCCAGGGGTAGAACCCCGGACCTCTCGCGTGTGGGGCGAGCATAATAACCTCTGCACAACCGCCCTTTTTGCCGCGACCAAGTGTCTGTTCAACGGCGGGTGGACTTGGCTTATTTGACAGCTTTCGGTCGTGTCCTCGGTAGTATAGTGGTC